AGAGGAAGAGGAATCGGATGCGGATGCAGCGAATGCAGCGAATGCAGAGAAAGCAGCGAAAGCAACGAAAGCAGTGAATGCAGAGAAAGCAACGAAAGCAGAAGAAGAGGACACAAACATGAAATGCAGCCAGAGCCACCTTCGAATGGAGGCAGATGGTGAGGAGGCCAGAAACCCCAGGTCTCTGCGGAGGGATCTCCTGGGGGAGTACCGCCAGAAAAAGACGGAATCGATGGTAAGTCTCAACATTTTCTGCCTCCGATCCCCTCATGCCGCGGGACGAAAGGTCCGTACCGGCACGGGGATCGGTTGTATGTTACGCTTTGTTTGAGGGACCGCGAGTGGACGGGATGAGATTTCTCGCCGACTCGCGAGTGGCCGCGTAAGCATTGTTTATTTCTTATGTTGTGACTTAGAGTAGGAATAGCTTTCTCCTGGGTCCGCGGTAAATTACGATTCGCGTTTATTTATCATGCGCCGGGAAGTCGGACGACCCTCCGACTTCGGGGCCATCGGTTTCGCGATATTATTTCGAATGATTTTAAAAAGACTTGGGAGGAGGATTCGCGAGGAGCCGACCTCGAGTCGAGGTGGTACTTCGATGTACCTGATCGATTTAGAGCCGCCGCCTCGACGAGGGGAACGTTTCAGGGTTTTCAGCTATTTTCGAAATTCTGATATAGAGTAGAGTCAGTAGCCCGTTTCAACGATATATAAGTTAATCGGAGTAGGATTCTTTCAGCCTCTACAACGGTAGGTGCCTTTTATTGTGGCCGCGTTCTTTGTTGGCCTCCACCCTTCGACTCCTCCAGGAGCGGGTCGAGCGGGTCGGGGCCAGGAGATGCGGTAAACCGTAACATCGCGAATTCCTCCAATTGCCATCCGCCTTTCGATTCCGTAAAAAAGTTACAATTTTTCTTTCATTCAACCGGCGATGGCAATCGGAACGTATGAGAGTGAGAACTGAGCTCGGGGGTCGGAGGCATCCCGGGATGCTGTCCCTAGTTTAGGCTTTTTGTCCCCGGGCGGTATGAGAGAGAATCGTGGAGTGAATGTGTTGGAACGAATGTGTTTTTTTTTTTAAATATAGCTAGGGAGGTAGGTCAGTTGTCTTGAGTGAATGTCTAGTTGTAAGCAGGCAGGGCCAGGGCGGGATCTCATCCTGGGGGTTTGGGAGGAGATCCCGAACCTGGGATAATTTTCCATCGTCCGCGCTTCCGAAAGCGCGGAGGATGTCCACCCTGTTATATATCCGCGGTTGTACAAATTTTCTTTCAGCACTGAAATTAATTAGACCGCGCTTGGGGATCGAGTAAATGTGCAATACGCTCGGACTGCGCATCCTCGGATCGCAGGTCGTCGTTTTGCTAGCTTTTAGATCTTCTCGCGGAGTGATTTTTTTTTTTCTTTTATTAATCCGACAAATCAGGAGACTGCCAAGCGTTCGAGACGTAGGGGGCTCTGCCCGAAGAGACTGCAAGAGTCGAAGAGGCTATATGCCGAAGCGGCCCCTTAAGAAGAGGGCAACTACGATGGTCTTCCGTTCTTTCGAACGGACAATCATCACTTATTTGGCCACGTTGTCCCTCCTATATTTTTATACGTATTTTATCAGGATTGACGGGGAAGAGACGGCGAACAATCATTTTGAACACATCTTCCCTACTCTTCATTTAAATGAATTTTTCCATACTTAGTAATTTGCAGAATACCAGTTCAGTCAATTTAACAGTTCCATTAATTAAAAGTAATTAATAGAAGTCTCATTAATTAAAATTAATTATAAGAAAAAGTCCCATTAATATTCCTAACTTTTAGCAACTTATTCGCCGTCTAATCTCCGACTTCCTGGATTTTTTTCTGTCCTGTTTCGCATTTTCTTCTTGTGTCCCTTTCCAGGTTTAGGTGGACCAGGCTCCAATTTATTTATTTTCTTTTATGTCTATCTCTGCATAGCTTGTTCATCTTGTTGGGAAAGATATTAAAAGTAATAGTGTACGATAGAAACATAGTGTTAAAACCGGTGTAAAGCAGACGGTGTAAACGTATCGAATGAAAATCAATCTTAAGTTGTTGAATTTCGTAATGAGGATTGTGAACCGAGCTTGTCGAGAAGAATAAGCAGAAATGCTTTCCGTGTTTTATATGGCGGGAAATCTGTGAACTTGGAATTAATAATTCTCATTGTTCCCGATTATTCTTAAGAGCTGCTAGCCGTGAAAAACCTCGACATCTTATTCAACATACTTTGTTAATGAAAACGTAAGTGCGGACCACTGTCTCGTTACTGTTTAGTTGCAAAGTGCAACTTTGCTCTATAACCTCAAAACTATTCCCAACATTTTAATTCGACATATGCTTTGGATTAGTTCGATTTAAATTGATTTATGTACTTCAATGAAATAATGCGGTTTTTATATGGTATTATTTATTCCCTGCCAGGGAAATTTTGTGGTTATGTTAATACATATTATTATGAGGTGTCTCGTAGTTGGCGGTTAATGGATTAATATGTTTATTAATGTTCGGATGTTTGGAATAGTATTTGATGCTGCTATTTGTATTCGGTAAAGACTTGCCGGGATTAGAATATTAACTTAAAGTTTAATAACGTCAGATGGCAGAAAAAATGGAAGACTTGAATCTTCCTAACGCCGTCGTTACGAGGATTATCAAGGAAGCTTTGCCTAGTGGCGTTACGGTTGGGAAGGAAGCACGGGCTGCCGTTACGAAAGCTGCTTTCATTTTCATTCTTTACCTAACTTCGTCTGCTAACTCGGTCGCCAAAAAGGCAAATCGTAAGACTATTAGCAGCGCCGACGTGATACAAGCTATGGAGGATATTGACTTTGATCAGTTCATTGAGCCGCTGCAGGAGGCGCTGGAGAATTTCAAGAAAACACAGAAAGAGAAAAAAGACGCGACGACAAAGAGGAAACAGCAGAAAAAAGACGAGGACGACGGGGTGGATGGGACAGAAGACGAGTAGCTTTAATAAATTATCCTGACTTAATGGGTAATAGTCTATTCGTTTGAACTCCGATTTCAAACTAGCTTTTGTCCTGATGGGATTTTTCTTTTTTTGTGAATAATGTTACAGAGTCTTAGAATTAGTCTTTACTCAAATTCTCATTTTTATTATTTGACAAACCTCAATATCCTCCTAAATAGCTTTATCACGTCATTGCCTGATTTTCGTTTATATATCTTTCCTGATATCCTCAAAATTTACTTTGGAATAGAATTTTGTTATTTGATCCCATGAAACATAAAAGATAAATTCACGACGGACAAAAGCAGTCTTAAAATTTCTTTTGTTATTAAGCTTCATGTATCTAATGTAATGTAATATTTATACAAATGTCGTATAAGATATTTTTGTACTCCAAGCAGTTTCTATTAACGAAATAAATTGTAAGAGCATGGTATTCATAAAAGCGTTTGTTAAAATACATACTCTGTACGAGACTGAACATAAAAACAATTGACCTCATATATATTTATATATCGAGGTCAATCGTTTATGAAACTTTTCTCCGAACTGGATGGACCAATTTGTTTAAAACATTGCCATTTGTGTATATGTATATATTGATATTTTCATAACATCTTAAAGGACGCAGCATAGTGATAATCAGTCAGCGTACAGTAGTTGTAAAGAACAACGTATATTTCAATGGTACATTTTTCTTGTGTTGGAAGCAACGCAATCGACATGATTATTTCAATACAACTTCATTGTTCTACGTTACTCTAGATGTTCACATAATGGAGCTACGTATCGTGTAACTTTATTCTGTGAATGTTGTTCTTTTGTTCGGATGAACAGGCTTTTATCAAATCTAACATTACCATGTTCTTAACGATTAGCGCGTTACAAAATGCAGATAACAATTTTAATAAAACGCCTCGGTCGCACCACCTCGTAAAGTTGCCAGCGAGAGTGAGCACAACGCATCATATAAGTGCACATTGCAATCTCAAATTTGTAACGGTGCATATATAAAAAGTCGATTACAATTGTGTCGACTAGTGATCTAGATATTTCAATGCATTCAAACTTATCCTAATTTCACTGGATTAATGATTTATCCGTATGTTACGAAAAGTCAGATGTTCTCACACTTAAGACTTGCGTAGCAAGGTTTTTTATTTCAATATCCCGAATGTATTATAACTAAGATTATTACAATCTTATAAAAAATCTTGGAGTGTAACATCGGTGTGCAATATTCTTGTCGTAAGGGTGTTCATCGTAGGATCCACTTCGTCTAGCACTCGGTGGACATGGCACGTGTAATTTTGATAACTCCGACACTGATTTATGTACATGTCGAGACTATCTAATAATATTCCTTACGTGGCTGAATATATCAAGGAATTAATATTACTCCAGTCTGTATAACGGAAAGCTTGCAGAGAGCTATAATTCTAAATTCAATCAGGGTGGAATGTAGCCTTGTAGAAAATATTCAGCCATGTGGCGCACCTAAGGAAAGCTTTGATCCTCATTCCAATCGACAAGACACCATACGATCCCTCATATCACAGCTCAAAAGTTCAAAGAAGGCAACTAAATCCCCCCTTCCACGCGAAATTCTCAAGCTAAAGGCTAAATCTTACTCCAAAGCCAATCGGACACACTTATCCGATGTAGAAATCAACTTGTCGTAGCTTGTCGCAGTACAGAGGTTCGTTTAAAAATAGCTAAGGGTAAACATGCAAAATCTACTTCTTCTTGATAACCTGTCGATAGCATTGTTCGCTATAAAATATTCCACTTCGTAAGCAATCCGATGGTTAGGTTGAATTTTATCATCAATATTTCTTCGACGGAGAGAAGTGAGGTTAATTCACTTCTTTCCCCCTACAGTCTTCGTTTGGAAAACAATACTATTTTAGTGATACTGTTTTGTCCGACTGTAAATATCCTTTTGCGTTAAAGAATACGTGGCTAGCCTTAAACTAATTAGCAGTTAGTTAACTGTTTATCAGCTCAAGGCAACGTTTTGATATCGTGTGCGATTCATTTTCGGTAAATCCTTTCACGGCGTCAGAACTCGGATTTTCCGACTTATCAAACTCCGACACATCGGACACTCCGTTGTTATCATGTTTGCGCAATTTGAACAGCAACATAAATGCCCGCACGGAAGAAATATCACCTGGCACTGTAACAAATGGCATTAATGTTAAATTAACAGGCATAAGGGAGGCGATAGGAAAATTCATCGATGCAGCTTTTTTAAGTTTGTTGCAAACAGGATATTTTTTTTTAGTAATTCTGAGATTGTTTAAATCTTGTGTATGTACAAGGGAAAGAAATATTACCTGTACATCCATACAAACGACGCACTCAGCTGCATTGATGTTGGTTTCTCCTTCGTCTGCTTTGTAGCTGGTGGAAGGTTCCGCAGGAGGTGCCGAAGGTGTTTCCAAAAAGGTGGAGGGTTCCCTCGGAGGAGCAGAAGGGAGAGTCGAGGTTGTAGCTTCTTCGGAGACCAATTTCTTCTCCATTAAATAATTCTCCACTGCCATTATAATGGCGGCTCGATCGCTCTCACTGTTTATTCCAATCTGAAACAACCATCGCTGTCATTCCAAACCCCTGAACTTTGTTTAAACAATACCTACTGTTGCATCGAAGCTTGAAATTGTTAAAAATTTAGGCTTGTATGTCCTTACTTACGGCGATCAATTGTTCGTGTCCGAGGTTCGGTAACAATGAGGGCAATGTTGATAGAAATGGCAAACAATGTAAGGCTCCTGCTATTGCTACATGTCGGACCAAAGTTGGCTCGAGGGTTTCCAAAAGACCTTGCGGTCTTGCCTCCATCAACGACTGGTACTGCATCAGCCAGAACAGACTGTCTCTCCTTGCGCTCTTAAAAGCAATACAATAATTAACACAATTAACAATACAAAAGAATATATAATATCACTCATATATTTTGGGGCACTTGACGTAAGCAATTCTTAAGACGATATGGAAGTCGCTGTGAAATAAATCAACATTGTCCCAAAATATATGATCAGCATTATGTATGGATTATTAATTTTGGCTACATTAACGTCTCGTTGTTGCTCAATTTGTTTAATAGTGTCTAGAAGCTCTTGTCTTCGTTTTTCTTGTTGGTCCAAGAGATTGACCAGAATGGCGCTTAATGTCACTCTTCTATCAGCAATGTCGTTCTGTAAAAAAATCACTGATGTTAATGTATTGTTGTATTTGGTAGGAGATTGATGTCGGAAATTCCCTCACAAGCTGTTGGTTGATTTCTAATTTTCTTCGCTCGAGCTCGATGATAGTCAGTGCCGCTAATTGCGATTGCACTAAATTAACTTGTTGCACTATGCTCCAGGACCTTGCATCGCTCCTTTCCAATAAAGCTGCGACTGCGGCTTTCTGCAAGGCCTCGTCTTTCCGCAATTTATCGACTAGGTCTTGGCGGTATTTCTCTTGATTTTGCACTATTTGCTTTAAATAATCGTTACTCGTCACTTCCCTGTATGGGAAAATTAATGAACACTTGATCGATGCAACAAATTAGTCCACTTCCTCCACCGAGGGTCCCAAGAAAGATTTTTTAAGATTTTTTTTCGGAGTTATGGAACAACCCGATCACTCTATCCACTTTAGGTTTGCTATCGTAACGTACTCAAGATGTGAAGTTTTAAGGTTAATGACGCTGCTTCTGATTTATTTAGATATTTTAAATAGTGACCGATAGGAGGAAGGAAAAGTAAGATCAGTTGTTACTTACAAGCTGAGCAAAGATTGTGCGGTGCAGTCTCTGAATTTGGTGTACTCTTCGAGCTTCCTTTCTGTCAGTAACTCTTCTTCCAGTAACCGTTCCATCGCAGCTGAAATAATTTATTGTTAGCGTGTCGATGTCATTACACTGGACATCTCAACTACTTACCGAGGGTGTCTTTAGTACGCAGCATAAATTGTTCGGAGTGACATGCCGACAACAATTGCATCTCTTCTCGTTTCTCTCTCTTGACCAGTTCGGCTTGACTCTGTCGTTCTTCTTCGCTGCCTCTCAGGAATTCTTTTATCACCTTGTCGGCATCCTTTTCAGCTATACATGGATTTAAAAGAAATATGTATTATACAATGTACATTACACAGTTGCTCTAATTTTTTTTTTCTTTTAAATAATTTTCTGGACATCCTACCGTTGTATATGTAAGATAGTAGTCGAACACGGTTGTTCTCTCTCTCCTGCTGAACTTTCTCAATTTCTTGCTCCAGTTGTACTTGCTGTTGAGCCAGGTCTTCTAAAAGCTGAACGATTAAAAATTCTCTCAAATTTGAGTCTCTCGATTAACAATCACAAATTGTTATTACGTATCAAAGTGTCGTTACCTTCTCTTTGTTGACTTTGTGCATGGATTGCACCTCGAGTTCGTATTCCTTTTGTTGCCTGATATTCTTCTCAACCTCCAGCAGTGCACTTTGTCGTTGTTCCTAACGATGGAATAAAAGTCTGTTTAATAATAACGCTTTGTGAGGTTATAATTATATTTAAGGAATCAATCCTAGTGATCGCAGCTTGCAGCGAAGATAAACAAAAATGCATCGACAACACATTAAAGCTTGTACGTAGAAGCAAATGATTCTGTAACGATGTGTAAATTATATACTGTAGATTTGTGAATTAACGTGTGGCAAGAAAGCGCGGAAAATAAAACGAAAGGAACACCCACATGCCTTTATAGTTTCTAGCTTCGTTAGCGTGGCCTAGAAATTCAAATCAAAATTATTAACAATACGAAGCGTGTTTGGAGAGTGATTGTGGTGCATCTTTGGATGGTAAACCTGAAGATCGTTGTCTTTGTTGCGATACGTCGTGTCGAGATCCCTGGATCCTAAATCCCTCGATGAGGTGAAACTCTCCGGAGAGTAGTCGATGCCACACTCATTCGCTAGAAAGGCTACGATAATGATGGTTCCTCCGATGAGGACATCCGCTGGTGGATAAGAAATTAACAAGCCGTCCAGTTTGATTTGCTTCAGTCGCTGAGCACGACCTAGGGACTTTGGTAATTTCTGTAATAACCTGTTGTAACTAATATCCAACATCGTCAGTCGACACAAGTTTCCCAGTTCCTCCGGTAAGCTTTTCAAATTGTTCTTCGATACGTTCAGGATAGATAAATTAGCTAGGCAGCCTATTTCACTCGGCAGCTTTTTTATATTATTCTCCTGTAGATACAGCTCCTGTCGATAGAATTTCTTGATGTATGTGATGCGATTGAACGAAGTACATATTAGGGGAAGAGAAATTAAATCGATACCTGAAGCGAGGATAGATGAGCTATTTCGGGTGGCAAATTTGTAAAAACATTGCTACGAAGGTCTAACACAGTGAGGAGCGAAAGATCGCTCAAGGCACCTCCGCCTGAGAGGGAACTCAAATTATTCGAGTGCATCGATAATACTCTCTTCCTGAATACTTTACAGAGAGAGTAGATACCGCAGGGTACTTGTTTCAAAGCACACTCTGAAACATCAAATACCGGCTCAGGATTTTCCCTTGCCTGGAAAGTAATCAAGATAGAGATTTAAAAGTGTGCGCCGTTAAATATTCCGCTGTGACGTGCGTTGCTAGGGTTTAACGTACCAGGTACAATTTATGCTCCAGACGAGCTTTGAAATCCACGTTAACTTTGTTTCCATATTTTTTGGGCAGAGACATCATCGACGTTACGTCGTGGCAGCAGCAGAACATTGTAGAGTAATATCATACAGCGTCATTGTACAATTACAAGCCATTCGGAGCATTCCAAAGGGAACTTTAGCAGCGATGTGTCATTTTCACGATGTAAAATATTCCGTCGACCACTCTTCTACATGTGTTGGCTCCAAGTGTGATTATTTACTTAGGTCCTCGGCGATGCGTTGCTTCTCATGTGCCTTATCTTCTCGTAGACTTTTCCAAGTGTATCACAGTTGTTCGATAGGTTCAATAAGAGACGTAGCTTAATCGACAGCTTTGTTTAACATTAACTAGATGTATAAAAGAACATCGGTGTCATTGGCATTAATTGTAATAGCAGGGAACAGCGTCACAGAAAATTGCATGTCGGTTTATGACTCATAATTATAGGTATCGGTTGCTTTTTTGTGACGACCACTGTGATATATGTACGGTATTATGTACTGTATCATGTACTGTCATGAATAGTGCATACAAACCGTGACATATAAAACAACTTGAAATGTAAACGCTGCAGAGAAATTTCCAAGTGAATTGCGGTCGATTTTGGGCGAATTTTCATATCGTGCTCTCGCGCCGTCTTCCGGCCGCTTAGGGAAGCTCCAGAAAAATAAATTCCCCAGAAATAACTAGGCGTAATAAAGTACCAACGCGAAGATAAATGAACAGGGCTGGGTAAATTAAATACACTAGGGAAAAGAACGCTTAACGACCAACATTTCAGGTTTTTTTTTATTGAGCACACACGTGACGCTTTACAAAAGTAATCTAAAATGTGTAAACGATGAAATCATTGTTTTAGGGACTTTCTGGTTGAGTCGAAAAAGCTGACGAATCGTGTGGATTGAGTGCAGTCGTGTTTATGCACGCGGAATTAGAATCGCCCAAGGGACAGAATGGATTTCCTAAAGAAAATAAATGTTTATAAAGAAAAATAATGAATGAAAAAAGACGTTAAGTGGGCCAGGGACACTTCACAATGATATGTAAATAATTTTCATTAATTCTTTTTCTTTAGAAAAAATTTTTTTTCAATTTTGGAAATCCATTCAGCCCTCTGGGCGATTCAAATTTCGCGCTGCTCCCGCCGCTAGTACACCGCGCGGCCGGAGAGGGCAGTAGGTTCGCTAGGAAACCCTGGATGAGTGTACACCAATTATGTTATCAACAATTCTGGGTCAGCTCCTTCTGACGTAACCGATACTCGGTAGGAGTGAGCATGCCTCTGAAAAAAATTGGAGCAGAATTGATTGATTATCTCGGGGTTTCGTTTAACCTCTAAAGTGGAGGTTTTATTCCCAGTTTACCTCAAAACTGTGTCGAACGAGACATAGACCCCCTTGTCGCACATTCGTCTGTAGAGATGCCAGCATTCCTTCTCCTTCGTCGTTTGAAATTGCGGCTCTATGGAAACCGCCATTATTTCCGGTTCCGCCTTTCTCGTTGGACTCGTAGGTTCTCCGTCTACCTGTGTTACGTTTAATGGTATGATATCGAATAGGAAAGAATTATCCACTAACTACTTATCCAATAGATATTGCCAAACCAAACTTTAACATTCGACGTCTCCTCGGGTGGTGGCGCTTCCGGTGACGCACTTCCGGCTTCGCCGTCGCTTTCGAGAGAGGACTCCTTCCGGTCACTTGTCGCTGGATCTCTGGAAAGGTGAATTTAATTTCTAATCGTTTAATTATTCCTAACCAAGGTGACGCTCACTTTGAGACGAGCAAATCAAATTATTGTTAGTAACTAGAATGTAGTTACTAGACAATTTTACAATGTTAAGGTTATGCTGAAAGGGATTGTATACGTTGTTGCTTAAAGTATCTTTAAGGCAGTTTTCAACCCCGGGTAGGACGGAATACATTAACTGTTCGGATTTAGAACGATATCATAAATCGGAGGGGGATTTAAATCAATTTTACGATCGCGAGCTATCCGTGCATTTCCCTAGCGATTAAATAACTCCCCCAGGGCGGGGAGGAAGGGAAAAATGAATTTCGCCCCTTCGAGAGGGCCGACCTTCGCGATCGCATCGATATAATATTATTGCAAATTATAATACGACGAATCCTATCGCGATTGGCTCGCGACCCAAGGCTGATCGATGACTTCGCCTCGCATTTTTCTTTCGATATGTTGTATCGGGTTGGTCTATAAGTTCCTGCGTTTTTTTTTTTCTAACTAGTTTTCCTAGTGGAAAAAAAATCTTAGATCACGGGTCCCGATTCTGGGGCCACTTTCTGGGGAATTAGGCATAACGCCTGCAGATACGGCATCGCCTGTGCAGAATGGGAGGGCATCGATGTCTCCCGGTGTACGGCCAGACCTTGTCGCCGGATATTACCGGGCTCGCTCTGCGTGACAGCTTTTTTTTCTCTTTTTTTTTTTTTTCGCGTGTCATCGATTGTTGCATGCAATTTCGCGCGACATCTCTCGATACTAACGCCGTGTTCTGCCGTGCCGGGGCGCTGCGTGTCCTGAGGAGCTTCCGCTTCTTGTCGCGGACGTCGCCGATCGGCACCACCAGACATCTCTTCTCCCGGTCGGTCACCGGGGTCTCTGGCTCGGCGTCTACCCCGTGCCCGAACGCGGGGGAGGACGCCGGGACCGGAAGTGGCGCCACTTCCGTTCGCCACGTGGTGGTCTCTTCCGGGGTGGGGAGGGCACTTCCGGTTCCGCGACAGAGCACCGTGTAACGCGCTATGGAGCTCTTCTTCTCATCCTCCTTCTCCTCGTCGGGCAGGTCCTGCTGGAAGGAGACTAAAAAAACATCCGTACTTAGGACAACATAAAAAAAGTCCGGTGCGTTTTTTTTTGTAACTAGTTTTCCTAGTTAAAAAAAAAACACGCATTTGTATTGGGTTGGTGCATAGGTTTATGAGACGAGGTCTTCCGTTGCGGGTGGTAGAGCGTCGCGACAAGTACGCGTCCTTGCCAGGGCGAGACGGCACGATGGCATCGCCAATGGCCCATTTTCTACCGACTGTATCCACTTTCGATTATTTGCCGGGTCGAACCGCTCACGAAGACAATTTCGAGATGATCGGGGCCGATTAATAACCGGAGCAGGGTAATGGGTCGCGCGACCTCGCGAGCTGCAAGTTTCTACCCTTAAGGCGAACGAGTTTCTCCCTCGAAAGTGTATTTGGCGCGAAACTCTACCGAGTATCTTTACGGGGAAAGTGGTGGGAAGATGTCTCGTTTATGAACCTTTCCTCCTAATTTAATCTAACACACCCTGAACACCCGGGTGCGATCGCACCCCGTCGGTGTTGGCGAGCTTACGGAACGTTTACTAAAAACTAGGCCAGGCATATCCCCTGTCATCGATTTTGTCTCGCGATGAGACCGACGTATTAAAGTTCGGCCAGCTTTCCCGATTGTCTTGACTTCCTCCGAGACAACCAGGCCGAGGCTAATTGCTTCCTTATTAATTCCTGCAATTTTAACGTCGATGCGATTTTCATTTGGCTATATTCTTCATAATTTTCACGATGAAACAAAGGATTAATAATTTTTTGGAATTTTTTATCTTTAACTTTGAGGGACGTGAAAAATGTACTTGGCGCGGCGTCGAAAAAGTCAGGCGTATATTTTCGGGAGGACCTCTCCCTCGGTAAGGATAGGGGGAATACCTTTTTATAATAAATGATTAGCAGATCGGAGAATCGCGAGTCGCTTTTCAGGATTACTCCCGGAATTCAATGCTCGCGTGTCGCGTCTTTCCTAATTAAACTCGGTCAATTATCGCTGCCTCTTCACGGCCCTTTGCACGAATCTCGGTGAATTCCCCCGACTGCTCTTCCGTCAACTGGATATTCCATTATCACGGTAGATTAGCAGGAACGAAGACCTCGTACATGCCTATTTAATAAGATTCCCTAATTACCGAGCGCGGCCGCAATTAACGTTTTTCTCGTTTATCTCGTTTCTTGCGCACGAGGCGTTTCTATTAATTTCTTTTTTTTCCGCCGACAATTGTTTCCGAAAGGACTTTAAATTCCCTGGAAGTGTGTAATGACTTTTTCTATTAACCCTTTGTACACGGAGCCATCTCGACGTATGGGCGAAATTCCTCTGCCCGTGCAGGCGATATTCGACCAAACGTCGCGCGCCTTTAGGCGCTCTTAGTAGCCAAAGGGTTAAGGGTCCGATACTTTTTTTTTTCTTGTAGGATTTATCGATTTGTTCGGAAACCCGTTTTTTAACGAAGATTCACGGTAATCATGTAATTAGGCTGTTTTGCCGATTGGTTCGCAACGCGAATATCACGTGTAGCTTCTCAGGTAGTTATCGGGGTACCGAAAGTTACAGGAATCGGAATGAAAGTTTAAAGATTGCCAGGTGAATTTGGAAATTACCACCTGGCGAACTCGCACCTGCAATCGGGACTTTGTAGTTAAGCCGCTCTCTAAACACGCCCATTAATTAACCCCGACGAACTTATCCTTCCGTTCAAGATCCCTACTTCCACCACTCGAGTTAACGAGGGAATTGTACACGCCAAATGATCTATATACATCAGTTACAAAGCTTACTACAGCAAGATCATTGTTGCAAAATCCAGGGAATTTTTTCATGCCCAATGATGTGCGTGCATAAATTAAAAAGCGTACTACAAGATCATTGTTGCAAAAAATTGGGTGAATTTTCCATGGTAATTACCGTGCATAGTGGAAAATAATCGATCAACGAGATGTTTTCCGATATGTCGGTGGTATCGATATTGTTTTTTTTTTTTTTTTCTTCAATGTCCTAACATCAATCCAAAGAAGTCCATTACCCGACTTAACCGGCTTCCTCGTGGTAGTGATAGCAGGACTCCCCTTGATAATAGGCGTCGTGGGAAGTTTGTTCCTCAGCTCGTGAATCAGCTTATCATCCCTCGGTGAGTGTTCGATATCGCTATCACTATCAGCCGAGCTTACGAGGGATACCATGGTGACGACATCGGCGATTTTGGGGTCCAGGGTTCCTTTGTTAGGTCGAGCTCCTCCTGGGTCTCTTGCCTCCTCGCAGGGGGTTTTGCAGTGGACTGTAGAGGGTCTTCGTTTCACGGTCTTAGCACGCCTTTTCAACGTCGCTGATTTTATCGGCCGATGGGAAATTGCTGGCCTAACCGGCGCTGCTGATGGAACTTGTTCCTTTGGGTCCGGGGATCTCGTATCTTTGGGCCCTGATAAGGGCCCGCTGATAGCCGGGGCGTCTATCGTGATGCTGACCAGGGTTCTGCATGGTCCAGAGCTCAAGGAACGTCGCTGGGGAGGAGCCGAACCTGTCCTAGTGGCCAGGGTCCTCTGCTGATGGGGATGTTCCTTGATTCCTGACCTATCCACTATCGGGGCGCTGAAGGCTTTGTTCGCGTTGCTGTGATAACTCGCTCGTTTTAGTCTGGCCTCGGAGAAGTCCTTCTCCGGAACCCGGGGCTTCACCGTCGGGGACGTCTGGTGCCACTCGTTGATCTCCCCCGTGCAGCTGATGCTGATGCAGGATCTCTTCTTCGCCTCCTGGGGCTTTGGGGGGTTGGCCAGGTCTTCCCCGGGTTCGGGACACCCTGAGTCCCCTGCTCTGGTTGCAGGAGCTGGGTCGTTGTCGTTATCTTGAGCCTCGGGTTCGGTTGTTGGGGTGTAGGGACCTGGGGATGGGGTCTGGTCCGATACCGGTGGTGGGCATTTTGGTGGATCCTCTTCCTCGTCCTTTGTAAAGTCCTCCCGAAAGGAGACCCTCTTCTCCGCCGTCGCGAATCGCTCCCTCTTCTTCCTCGCCTTATCCTCCTTTCCTCCGAGGTCCTTGGTACCTCTACCCTGGTGCCCTCCCATCGTCCTCGAAGTCTCATCTCCCTTATCCTTATCTCTCCTCCCCAAATCTAATTCCACCTTATCCCCCGTTTTCGCTTCCGACTCCAGGACATCATCCGAAGCTCCAAAGGACGAGCGATCCCTTTCCTTCGGGGTTGCTCCGTCCCCCAGGTCCTGGGTGCGGATCTCCTGGTTTTCCTCGGATTCGATCCTTGTCTCGGGAGGTCTTTCCTCCTTCGAGCCCTTCCCTGATCCTGGTATCCCCGTTGTCGTTGTGGTGGGCAGTTCGGACTCGCTCCTCTCCTCCAGGACATCGTGGGCCAGGAAGATGTCGATGTTGGACTTGTTCTCCTCCCTATCCTTCCAAGCCTGTCTTAGTCTCTCCGCGAGTTCCTGTCGGGAATAAAGGATCGTCGCCTTTTCTCCAACGTTTGGCCGCCCAACCATCTTCGAGGTCTTTGTTGTCGGTGCCCTTGTCCTGATAGAAGCTGTCCCGGTCGTCGCCACGACCGGACTTCCATCGACGTGGTGGTCCTCTCCCCAGGCGATTCGTACTTTAGGCCTTTCCGCTTCCTTTCCAGGGTGCTTCCCTCGAATCGGGTTGGAATACATCCCCAGGGGTCTCTCGTTGTCTGCCGATCGTTGTCTTCTCACTTGCTGTCTTCTCTGAGGCTCCGGCAAGGACAATTGCCTGACCGGCCCAGGAGGACGTCTCATGCTGGACATTTTCCCCGACAACCAAATAGCCCCTAAATGTTAATTCTCATGATCAATCTCTATTCGGGATTGACGAAACGTCGGAAAGAATTTTTTTTTTCGATTTTTTAACTCATCCCTTGGCGACATCCTTTCATATTTATCATGTTTTGCTCTTGTCGCAGGCCTGGGGTATTTATTCTTCGGTCATCAGGGGTATAAAGAATCTCTTTGTTAACTTTTTTTCCCGCTCCGAAGAAGGAAAAGCAGCCTTTGGGGAAGAGGCTTCGGGTGGATCGCGACTTCGCTGAAGAGAGGGTCCAGATAGTTACAGAGGGCGCCGCGGTACCGGAGGGAGCGCCACCGGCGCTCGCCAGCGACGACTGAGACTTTCTGTCTGGGCGTCCTAACCTCCATCCCATGCCCTCTTCCACGCGCATCCACCACGAGGCATCCATAGTTACCACATAAGCGGAGGATAATCAACCTCGCCGCCTCCACGAGCAATATAACCTCCTCCTCAGGGTTAACGCCCGGGAGTCAGCGCCATGCGGCGGTTCTTTGTACTTCTACTTTACGATGGACCAGGCTAATTTCAAGATTTTCCATGTATATCGCGTAAACCAAGTTTACGATATGCAAGCATCGAAGACTTTGATATCAGACGTACAGTCCAACGTCGGTAACTTAGGTATCTAGAGGAATCATTTTGACCGACGTCGGTCGAATTTCTCGTGTTTCGCTTCGCCTTAAAAGTACCCCCAAGGGGGTTGGGTGTACCGAAACCAACTCCAGCAGTCACCAGTCGGTTATTGATCAAAAGTTTGCCTATCATCTGACAGGTTGTTGTCTAGAGTTGCCATGGCATCCCTCGCCGATCACTCAAAATCGCCCCTAGGAGAGGGCGAGGGCCGAACTTTAAATGGGAACTTTCGGAGCACGGGGCAACTTCGACTCGACTTGGCCTCCTCGTAATGGCCCGGATGCCTATTAAGGGCTACCTTTAATTGGCACACCTTATCCGAACCTCGGATCGGCATTAACGACCACGTGCTCGGATACGAGTTTGACAAGAATTTTACCCCCGTCGACCTGGATTTCGGAGTTGATCGGGGATTATTAATGGACGACCCGAGATAAATCGGGGGCACCGAAGAAAAAAAAAAAAAGACAATTGCACCTTTATCAATGAACCAGCATTGCTGATAAATCCCACTTTCACGTCCCACGTGTACCGTTTCAAACTTTGGAACATTAATGGAAGGTCCTGCCTGTGAAATTTCAATTTTTTTTATTTCTTCCACTCTAGGTCGTTTTCCTTTCCTGCAGCGTTGTTAATTTTAATAACTTTTAAATACTGGGTAATCACAGTCTTGTTCAGATTATTTATTTATATTTAGGTGAAGATAAGTGCACTTGTTATCTGAACACTCGTCATGGATGGGACGAACATCGAAAGCATCTTACCCGAGTTAAAAATATCCTTTGCTAAAAATAATAAACAAATTCTTGTGTATCTCCTTCTTGTAAAGCATGGTTATCCTTTACATCATTTTTTCTAGTTGTTTAAAAACTATTGTTCGCGTGTAGTTTTTTAGTGTTTTTAGGGTTACATTGGAATCGAAGTTTTAGGTACAATTGCATTGTTATTTCTTAATTTTATTAATAATATACGAGGCTTTGGGAGATCCGGATTTTGGTATCAGGGTGGAGGCTCTTCAGATATTAATTTTATCACTTTCACCTGAAAGTGGAAATTCTGAGGATGAATGCTTATTTCCGGTTGGCCCGGAAAATTTGGAGGAAAATTTCCTCGCTATCGCACTTCCCGCTGCTCGACAAACTTACGTTAAGGTAATTGATCTGAATTCTTGCGACACTAAATTAAAATAGTAATACATGTGTCTATACTTTGCATGTACTACTACTTGGCGCGGAACTCTGCCGAATTTTTTAAAAATTAAAAATTGAGGCTTTCACAATTGGAAATATCTTTCATATTTTCAATTGAAGGTAATCGAAGGAATTAAAGCGAGCTTTCTTGAAGCTGTCGAGGGCGCTTTGGAGGCCGTGAAGGAGAAATTAAATCTATGCGAGTCGATTTTGGATTTCTGCCAAAAATCCGTGGAATACGTAAAAGCTCTCGGAAAGATATCTGCAAGTAAAACGTATTCCCTTCCTGTGAACATCCTCGAAATTCTGAAAAGCTCCTTCGAGTTATGCAGAGACAAGTAAATTTGTCATTAAATCTTACGCATGGAATTTATTAATTTAATTTTCTCATTAATAATTTTTATTTTTCATCGCGCATTTTTATTAATTTCACAGCCGAGACTCGAAAGTACAGTCGGAGGCGTTAATTGCATTTTTCCGAAAAACCTGGGACCTCGTGAAGCTCTTTTTTATTGTCATCAACGAAATCATCACATTCGACTGCCAAGTGCATAAAGAAAGTGAATTATTGATAAAGGGTGAGAACAAAGATAAATTAAATTATTTATAAAGATGTTCCTTATTTTCCTCGGGTTATTTCAACACCTAATGAGCAGAAAATAGTGGAGTGGAAAAGTTGTACGCTCTCATTGTACTTAGTTGCAATTTTCTTTCATGTCCAGTGGTTGACACAATTGGCGAAATTGCCTCAACAATTAATGGGATCAACTTGAACACTCTGGCTGAAGTTTGGAAGGAATTTGGGAGGCTTTCGTTAATCCATCGCGAGGATATAAAAAAGTTATCGCCATTTTGCGTAACTCTGCACTTTAAATCCATTGCAACGAACATCGCGTCATGTCTGCAATCGACATGTCAAGTAAATGTACGAATCTTTGGTTATTTCAGTTAATTATCATCAATTAACGATGTGTTTTGGTAACCTTGGTCGGTTTCGAGACGTTGGGATGGTTTTTCATTATTTTCGTACAGTTTTTCACATCGATGAAGTTTTCATGACTTTTCTGACATTTTTTGGCATTTTTTTCGTATTTTCGGTGTTCAATGTTTAGGGAGTTTTTTCATGAGCTTTCTGGGGTTTTTTTTAGAACGTCGAGGATGTTTCTGGTTACCAGAAAACGGAGAAGACGATAAAGTGCGCCGGGATTTTGTTGAAATTGTTAAATAAATTATATTCCGTGTACAGCGAGCATTTGGACGAGGAGACGGTTTTAATTTTCATCAAGTCGTCTAGTGAATTGTACAGGTTGTATTGAAGTATCGGAAAGAAATTAATTCCACTTATTAGTAATTATTGATGTCATGTATTAATTTAATTAGGTGTTCTCCAATTTGTTTAAAATCAATCGGAGTCAATGTTCATGTTGTGGATGCGATCTCAAAGTACATCTGGAACGAGGTGATAACTTTCTTGAATATAATTACGAAGAATGTTCTATTCGAGGAGGTCTGTAATTAATTAATTATTAAGGTGATATGAAAAGAAGAGATACCGTCTCGATTATTATTGCAAATTTTTATTTGCAGGCCTTTTGTAAAAACAGCGAGCAATTGTTAATTGAAAATAGTCTCGGGTACCATCTATTAACAATTGCCGTGATGAAAAAATTGAGGAAAATGCCGAAAGGAGAATACAATAGATGGATGGAGGGAGCTAAGATTATAAATATTGCCTTTAACAACATTAATGCACGTTAGTTAAAATTTACATTCTAGCGTATAAAGTTGCAACAAATTTTCTTTATCATATAACTTCGACGACAGATTAATTTCTCCGATTATTACCGGCGTAATGATGCATAATTAATAAATTCAAGTACGTTTAAATGGAGTACATTTCTGATTTTTTTTTTTAATTGTTGCTATTTTGTTTTTAACAAGTGGACGAGGAACTTTGCGCGGGGAGAGTGCGAATCTTCGATTGCGAAGACAATGTTGAAGAACAAAAAAGCATAACAATTTACGAGGCTACTGTAATTCCAATTTGTTTATTAATCTACGAATTACCAGCCGAGAAATTCAACGCGATCGAATTGTTATTGTCGAAACAATTGTTGAGCGGAAAACTTTGGAGTTCGCTTTTGGCTTTGGATGTCTGGTGCTTTGTCGGCAGGTAAAACAATGAAAATAATGAAAGCAATTGTTATTAAAAAAAAAATAAATTTGAGACATTAATTGTTTAAAATGTTCATTGCAGCGTGAGTTCCTCCGAATTGCGATTCGATCACGTGAGGTACTTGATGAAGATTTACCGGAAGTTACGCCATCTTGAAAATAGCCTCGAGGTCCTTATTTTAGTGAAATTGATCAACCAATTGTATGGATTACTTTCGGAAGGCTCGGAATTACCGCTTATGCGGAATTTCCAGGATTGCGACACGGAATTTTGGGCGCCTTTGGCAAAAGTCTTACCGGAAGTGGCGAAAAGAAATATGTGGGAACCCACCTCGAGCGACATTGCACAGAGCTTGTCGAACTTCCGGCAACACCCTTCGGTGTTTAATTGGAATCGCCTTGTAAGAGTAATTTAATGATTAACAATTAATTGGGACGTGAGAGCGCTATCTGAGGAGCCAATTGTTTATAAAACTTTTCCCTGAACTGAGGGGGTAGCTTTTATGTTCATATTTTCAAGTTTAAATCGAGTCGGTACACCCAGTTGATAAATGAGACCTCGGAGGGAAAATTTAGTTTACTTCGGTTTCTTTATAATCCTTGCATGTAAACGTGTTTTACAGATTTTAGACTTGAAAAGAATAGCTGTCGTTGGTAATTGCCAAGAGGAGAAGACTATCGAAGTGCTTTCGGAGATTTGGAAGTGCATCGAAGAGACACTAGAAGAGAGCGAAGGGGCTCAAATGAACCTTCAGTCTGAATTAATTGTTGCTTTGTTAAACTCCACTAAACCAAAAAATAGCACGAGTCAAGCCTTTTCCACGGTAAGGAGGAAACTCGTAGAATATCGAGAAGAAACCGACTTAACACGTTATTTAACGCATTTTGAAGGCTTAGAGTCGAAGATGAAGAGTTTCAGGATCTAGTTTGAACAATTTAGAATACTATAGAAATGGAATATTACATAATTATATTGGAAATAGTTTAACAAACTTGTAAAGGAATGCTGCTAGAACGTTTCATTTCGTATAATTCTCATCGTAGAGAGATTTCATATGAACTTATGAGAGGTATAAACGTCTTTTAGTTGATCCTTTGCTTTCAGATTCTGACCTCCATGACAATGTTGACTTCCTATGCTCCGAGCAACGTGAAAATAAAGATCTCCCACTATTTGTGCGACAATTTCGAGAGTTTTACGGATTGCGAGGGCAAGGTGGCGGATTTAATCGCAGACTTGTATTATCAGTTGTTATCAGACCCCTGTCCTTGGGTCAAACAAGAAGCTCTGGAAAGCTTCGATCGAGTTTCGCGGGTTTGTAAAAACGAGACCTTGATCGTGAAAGTCTCCGACGTAGTCGCGAGAAATCCCTCGATTCGCGATTTTGTTATCCTCTATTTGTCCAATAAACAATTTCACGGGTTTACGGATAATTGCCGATCGGGGGAGAATTATGCCCGACTGTTGGCTAGGGAATTTTCTTCCGTTGACACTAGACACCAGTGCAGGAAAATCGGCGGGGAAAGGCTCGAGAAAATGCCGAGACTTGAGAATTTCCCGAAATCGAACGCCTGCTTGGATGTTAATGAACGCGTTAAAAAAGTTATCGCGGACCTCGAGGCGCTTTTGGAAAAGAGAAACGAGATTTCCGAAAACTCTTGGGCGGAATTGCGGGACAAGGCGCGGAAAGTAATCGAAGCTAAAAGGCTTGATAATTAAAAATCTTAATAAGCATATTCCTAATATACGAGTTATTTTCACCTAGTGGTTTTTTTGTTAAACGTTCATTAAACCTTTTATTGCCCTTTTTCGGTGTATTACTTTTAATCGTTTGAACTTCCGCCATTTTTTTTTGTATGTATTGATAAATCCCGGATTTCGGAGTACGATGGAAACGTAGTGCTATTTGTGAACGGGGATTAGATAAGAATTTTAATGTTACTAGGAAATCACTAGTCGCTTTAATACTTTGAAAATGTAACTTAAAGTCTTCTGGTAATTCAGAACAGTTTGCGACATAACCTATGTTTAGTTGAACCGAAGATATTATGTTAATATATTTAGTTTTGAATGGATAAAAATAAAATAATTTTTTTGTTGGTTAAGTGTTCGACATAACCTTAGGGAGTAATTAGGTGCACGATGAAAACGAACAAAAGCAGCGGCTCTCATTGGGGTGAATTACCTGCGAGAGAGACTCATAAACAAGAAGTAATTACACCAGATATAATCGAAAATGTCTGGAGACAAGTCATGGAAGAGTCAAATGGAACTGACTGCGATTATCAAGTCGATGGACAGCCCGATTACATTCAGTAATTCAAACCACTCGTAACTAAACGTACAGTTATTGCGCTTCAACCTTTTTATCCATTAAAATGTTAAACATTGCAGGCTTCCAATGGGAAATCTTCATGTGTTGAACACGATTAATCTTCACCAACAGTTGCGAACGATGGTAAATATTTTAATCGTAGCATCGATTGGTATTACGAGTTCATAAATTAATATTATAGTTAAGATTCGAGCGATCGACTCCAAGCTATGATTTACAATTAATCATTTCACTAGGAAGATGATTCTTTATTTGGAGGTGTAAGTTCCATCGAGTTGCCAACTTGTTTGGACCAGATGGATACGAGGAATCCATTTCACATTTTTTCCTCGCAGTCGGATAGGTTCGAAGCTTTTCAGACAATTTTTCTCCCTTGTAATTAAACGTTACACGTTTTAAATAAGGTATTGACTGTTTTTCTGTTTAATGGTACTCGAGCAGAACGGAATTTAAAGGATCGATGGTTATACAGCAATTACATCCTACCACTGCCCATAAATTTTTGAGGCATGCCGTTATTACTCTGTTAGCACATATTGGATTTGAATCAGCATCCGATATAGCCATAGAAACCTTAACCGATGTTGCTAATCATTTTCTGAGGAGAATGACTCTACTGTTGAAACTGGCATCGGAACGAGAAGACCACGGATTTCCTGTAAGCGATAAAGCTTAACTGTTACGAGAATACTTTTCCTGTATGGTATTTTTATTTTGGGATAGGATCCCATGGAGAGGGTTTTGGTGGAGTCTGGAATCGGGGGGGCTGTTGCGTTGTACGACTATTACCAAGAGTACGTTTTAAAATTCGAGCAGAACATGAAAACTAGAGTCGAAAAACTGGCAGAAGAGCAGAGGTTAATGGAGCTCAATGCCACGAACTGCAAGTGAGTTTTCATTTTTTAAATGGTATAATAATAAATAGCATAATCTTTTTCTATAAACTACAAAATACATATTTTGTAACAATGAAAAATATGCTCCGTAGAATGGAGTTAGACGAGGCTGCTAGTAAGTTACAATTCGAGGAGCTAGACGAATTTGGAAACGTGTACAGAGAGGTACCAACTTTGCAACTTCCCGATCCTGAAATGGGATTCCCTCCGAGCCTCGACGCAGGATTTCAAATGTTGCACAGCCTCGAACAAGATGAGTAAGCTGTGATTTTTTTATCTCCGATCATTAATGCGAAGTGAAACTCCATCGATTTGACTGACTTGAAGAGGGTTTCACCTCACCTTAATGATTAAATAAAATGAAGAACGGTAACTTTGCCACAGATTAAACAGTCTAGAAGTTGAGGAGGAAGAGGTTAACGTCAGTAATTCCCCCAACGCAGGACAACAAAGGAATCCACCCGAAGTGGCTGAGAAGAGAAAAAAGTTAAGTTAACTTAGGTAACGTAGACTATTTTCTTACTTACTAGGTAAGGTTTCGTGGAGTGCTCGAGCAACTTCTCCGGAGAGATTTTTTATTGTACAAGCTTTACAGCAATGTCAATTTTACATTGGCGACTTCGCGATGTATACCGACGGGGGAACAATATGTACAAGTTATATAAAATAATGGAAATCCTAGTGATCTAGTCGCACCTATTAACTGAATCCCAAAGTTATAACGGGGAAATTAGGCAGTCTGTTATAATTTAGGACCTTCGTGTGTACACACTTGATTTACTTCTACGACGAACATACGACTGATAAGTAAACCTATATCAGTCACGTTCTCACTAAGAGAAGGAAAATTATAGAATCATCTAAAAATCATCGCTCAGGTGATTTACACAACATATATTTATATATATGTAGACTGAACGTTGAAATTATATGCAACGACGGATACAGCGAATTTCTTGTACGCGGCAGTATTACATAATTAATTGCAACAGAACTTTCACACGATAAGAATTTTTTTTCCCATTCTGATCGTGTCACTGGATCGGTTAACAGATTTCATCGATTAAGATTTCTCTCTATAACACCGTTGTCTTCTTTCCTCACGGCTGTCTTCACATCATGTAAAAATATTTCTACGCTGTAATTATTACAACTCGTGAAGTAGAGTCCTCGAGGGTTAATCGGTCTGTTTAAAAAATGGCAATGTTCAATTAAATTACGGTTAGGTCGTATCTAAAGGTCTGCGTCTCAATATGCCGGAATTGTCATTGATTCGTATGAATCGGATACCACTTTCCCCCACCACCGGCCACATGGAGCGATCCCATTGGTCGGTGGAGCCACGCCCCCATGCAAAGAAGTAGCCATAGGGGGATCCGCGGAAACTCCGAGAGAATCTTTCCCACTCTCGACAGACCTACTTCAAAAATGGTGTCCCCCTTTGTCCGGGAGCGTAAAAATAGATTCTCGCCCCTCATCGACTCGAAGAATATACATTATATATATCACGCGTTTGCTCACTTATCGGAATAACGGCTCTTAAAAAATATCGCATCCACTACGTCGGATTTTCTCTCGCCTTATCCTACTAGATCCGTTCTCGTCCATTGCGGCATCTCGATACACGATTCCCAAAAATAACGCGATCAAATTCCTTGCGTTCGGTCGTAGCTCGTTCGAGCTTCAAATCCATAGAAAAAGAATTCCTAAAAAAATCACACGTTCAATATGGACGATCGGTCGCAATCGACTTCACGTTCCTGGACTCTGAAAGGAACTGAACAAATTCCTCTGGCCAATCCCAATTTAATAGGTTCCCTAAAATTCGCACGATTCTCTTTGCTTCCATTTCATTAGGTAATGAAACCCGGCAATTTCGAAGCTATAGAGAAATCCCTGTCGCCTTTTAATTCCTGGAAATTCTTTCAGTTTAGCTTGGCGGCGTGGACTTCTTCGACGGTCACGTGGTCTAATATGGCGGCGCTTTTCACAGCTCGCCACCTATGTGACGTAATGCGAAGTAACAGCCAGTCTTAGAATTGTCAATTCCCGAGCCCGAGGTGCAATTCCTGGACACTAGACCGAGTACTTAGGGCCGGATTTCTTAATCGGGGTTAACCTTAGGCCCTTAGCGAGCATTTGAGCTTCAAAGTCACGGTCTTCGTCCCGGTACCTGGAATGAAGAATTTCACCTGATCAGTTACAAGAAACCCTTAAGGGACCTTCCTTATACCCTCCATGTTCACATGGAAACGTTTGAAACGATTCGGTACACCCAATTGAAGGAAAAGTATCATAAACATTTTGACTTTACATATATGACATTGAGAAACTCGACAATTAGAGAAACGAATGGCATACTCTTTTTTTTTCTGGAAAGAAAAAAAATGTATTTTATCCTAATCACCTTACAGCTAAATACAGTGCATGTTTTTTTTTTTTTTCAAGGATCATGTAAAATATATCTCATTCGTTACTGATAAGAGGTGTGTATGTCAAAAGGCATGCGTTGCGTTTAACTAATCACAGGTTCCCTCGCGTGTATGTAAAAAGGTTAAAACATGTACACTGTGGACATGAATGCCTCCTATGCAGATATGACATCGCCTGTGCAGGTTGGGAGGGCATTGATGTCTCCCAGTGTACAGAAAGGAAATCCAACAAGGGGAAAGAAAATAAACGTTCAAAATGCGAGAGAGCCTGTAGTCGAGAATGACGTGCAGTGGGATTTAAAGCTTAAGGCGATGTGAAAGTGGCATCTGAAGAGTCAATTGTTTATGAACAACGAAGCTGTTCCGACACTCATGAAATTTCAATTCTCATAAGAAGCGTTTAAAAAATATTAGTTTGTCTCTTCGAGGCCAGTTTTACGCCATCTTGGAAGATTAGGCTTGTTTATTAAGGCGTGCGTGCGGCAATTGTGGGAGTCAGGTCTGAGAGATATAGGGAGACGCGATAAAAGGATGAAAGGTGGAAGAAGGCTAGATAGGCAAGCAGGATGGCTAGGAAGGCGAAGGTGTACGATATGTGGGACTCTTGGGCTTCGAGTGGCGGATTTTCGGTCTGGGAGGTAGATAATGCAGGTGCAGGTGCAGGTGCAGGTGCAGCGAATGTCGGGCACGAGGGTCTACGCCACCTTTGTCGCTCCTCCTCCAGAAACGCTATCAGCGAGTCGCGTTTCGCCACAATTTCCAACATTTCCGTTAAGATCTCCCCCTCTTTCTTTACGTCCTCGCTGGTCTTCTTGTCGTCTGAAAGATTAAGGAAAAATGAACGCCAATGTATATACGGGGAAATTAAAGCTTGCTAATAAAGTTGACTTCTTTTTATGGGTTAGGCCGAAGGGAACTTACCATCGTCGGCTAGTCGTTCGCGCAGTTGTTGCTGCAATCTTTCGTGACGATCCTCCAGCTCGACTTCCTTAGCACGGACTAGAAGCTCCTTCTCGTACCTACGCAGTTCGGTTCTTTCTCTCATCAAGTCGAACCATTCGCCTAGTAAATCAGCTTCTTCTCGGTCTGAGCAGTCTGCAAGCAGGAGGAGGAATAATTGTTGCAAACCTATCGAAGCCAGGTTGATTAGTGTATAAAATTGTTAATGTAGAGACATCGTGGTACCTCCTTCGCCTCGAAGGGCCTTCTCGACACTGACTCCCCTAACCTCCAATTCTCGTTGTTTAACCTCGGTTTCCTCCAATTTCCTTTGGATTTCCTGAGCCATTCGTAATCTGTAGAAAGAAACGATTTCAGTATGATCCTTCGATGGCATGGTTACGATGTACATGAAAATTTGTCGAAGTACCTTTTCAGTTGTGCTTGTCTACCTAATCGGCTGGTTGTTCTTGCCTTTCGGTGTATACTATTGCACGACCCATCGGCTACAGTTGTTTTGTGCATTTGCGAAACGGAGAGGGCTGTAGCTCTTGAGTCTTCTTCGGAAAGACTGTCATCTGGTGAGGAAACATGCAAAGGACATGCTCGGTGAGAATGTAACCTCCGCCACAGTTTTCTTTCGACTCTCTTACGTAAAGAACAATTTACCTGATATATTAGTAGTTGCTATGGAGTAGTTCAACGGTGGTGGAGGCACAGGAGGTGGACTTTCGCTGAAGAAGCTTCCAGCGAGCATTCCTTCGCAGACACTTTTAGGCCTGCGATCACACTTCAAAGGACTGGACTTGTCCAGCTGAAAGAAATCACACTTTTCAGACACTCTACGTCATTGTTATTAATCTGAAACTACCGTCAGAGTTCTCGTTTATGAAACTTTTGTAAATGAAAACATCGGTACGATAGGAAGGATCGATGCAACAGCTAGGGAAAAATGATAATCAACTAAAGGTTGTCGTACTATCGAATTTTGTTGCTTACATCTGATCCAGCTGAATACGACCTAAACAACTGTAACAGTTTAGAAAAGGGGTTTTGTTAGCGTAGGGGAAGAAAGGAAAGTTCTGATCACACCGTGGAGTTACTTACTTTTCCCTTATCCTTGGATTTAGGCGTCAGTCTAAACCTGGACAATTTGTCCTTCTGGCACGTCGAGGAAGGAGAAGAGTCCTTCTTCTTGAAGAAGTCGGAGACCGCCTGGATGATGCTTTTCCTCCTCTCAGGGTCCTTAGCTTTCTTCTTCTCTCGTTTGACGACGGTGGCGACGCCATCCTGCGCAAGGATAAACCAATCAGAAGTCGGCAGAGTTTCGCACCAAGTGCACATAATGTATACGAGGGTAGTTTGCATTAATCGTTACAATGGACATCATGGATGATAAAAATAATCCCCACCTGGGCAGAACCGGAAGCTTGAAGCTCGTCCATGGACTTCGTCCCGGAGGGTGGAAGCGCCTCCTCGCGAGACTTCCTGGCGAAGGCCTTGATGTTGTCCGTGCTCTTGCTGGCATGGAGCTTGCTCCCGAAGTGGTCTACGTCGAAGCTGTAGTGCCTGGACCTAGCTTCAGGGAGCAGGCACTCCTCGCTTCTCTTCCTGTCCTCGACGGAGAGCTGCCTCCTGGCGACCTTCATCCTCAGCTGCTTGATCCTGTCCTCGGGACTCAGGCCCAAGTCTTCGTCGCTCTTCAACCTGGCCCTTTCCCTGGCGTCCTGTTTGGCCTTCTCGGCAGTCCTCCTGGCTTCCTCGTGCTTCGGTCTAGGAGGTGCCACGGGGGTCTTGAAGCCAAACTCTTCCTTGGCGGACCCGTTTGAAGTTTCGCTCTTCAGGGACTGATAGGACGGTGTCTTCGGGAGGCTCGAGCTCTCCAGGGAGTCCTTCGCCGATTCGGAGTTGGTCTGGCCCTCGGAGTTGGGCCCGACCTCTTCCGACCGGGTGTCCAGACCAGGGGGGGTCTTTTCGGCCTCGGAGAAGGTCGTGGAAGTCGGGCTACCGATCGGCGAGGCGATGGAAGTGGGGACGAACCTCACGGGGACCGAGGACGATGTCGTGGGTAGCTTCACCGGGGACAAGGTGGACCCTCCCGAAAAGGACGTCGCCCTTGCAGCTCGCTTCGCCTTCTTCTCCGCGGACTTCTGCTTGTGGGCCTCCAACTTGTCCATCAAGAGGTCCTGGATCAGCGTCTTCTGCTTGGACCGCTCCCTGGTGATCTCCTCGAGCTTCCTCGACGTCGCCGGGGAGTTGAAGCTGTTGAAGCCGTTCGGGTTACCCTGGCTCTCCTGGCTCTCCTGGCTCTTGATCTCCTCCGCGATCACGTCCGTGGGTTTGCTCTGGGAGGTGACTTTGGACGTCTTCCTCTTGGACTTCCTGACGTCGATGGAGTCCTTGGCGTTGCTGAACTCGGCGATCCTGGACTGCAGTCTCTTGACGTACTCCAGATAATCCGGGTTGTTTACATCGGCGATGGACTTGGGGGGCTCCTCCTTGGACTCGTTCGCTTCTACCGGGAGCATTTGCACCTGGGGATTGACGGGACTCGCCAGGACGGTTATCACCTCGCTGGTGGTCGTGTCTTCGGCGGGCTCGACGATCAGCAGGCTGTCCTCCTCCATAGACTGGAACAATTCCCTATTTACAGCTTCCACGGGATCCTCTCCGGTCGTCGGCGTCCTCGCCTCCTTTTCCTCGGGGGAGACGCACCTGGACAACCCCGTCGACCCGTTCAACCTGTCCTTGACGTCCTCCAACCTGATCGGGCTGATCTCGATTACGTTCTCCAGGTAGGACTCGTCCTCCGACACGTTCCCTGCCTCTACCCTGGCTATGGGCGCGTCCCCAGGTCTAGAAGGTGCGGAGGAAGTCCTCACGTTGACGAACTCCACGTATCCTCGGTTCTTCAGCAAGGTGCTGTTGGTAGCATCCTGGAGGCTGTCCTCCAGCAGGGACTCGTTGTCGGTGTCCATGAAGTCGATGTTCTCCCCGTTGGCCAGGAGTTTCGAGGTGCTGTTGCTCGTCTGGTCCAGGGCCTTGTCCAGGGTGGCCGAGTCCAGCTCCTTGTCCGTCAGGTCGTCCTCCTCTTTCGCCATCCTGACCGGGGTCCAGTCCAGGTTCTCGCCTCCTCTGAGCTTCAGCTTCCTCCTCCTTTCCGCCAGGTCGGGGTTCAGCTCGAATTCTACGTCCTTGAGGTCCTCCGAACCTAGTGCTTCGCCATCCTGGGCCCACTCCGAGAACTCCGTTTCCGTCAGAGCTGCCGTTGTCACGTCGTTGTCCTCCGAGTCGTCTTGCTTGTTGGACAGGACCGAAGCTGGGCTGCTGCAGTTGCTGAAGCTGCGCCTTCCTGGAGTTCATAATTATCCACTTATTATTTATTTTTTACTTCTAAATTATTCATTAAATTAAGCCGATGGGAAAGTACCGTCGAGGAGGTCTCGTTTATGAAACCTCTCCGAATTTGGTGCACCGCAATTTGTTCATAGATTTTTTTTTTTTTTAATTTCATGGGTCTCAGGACCATCCTTATAGACTTCATATTGACATTGTAAAATTTTATAATTATTCGGCATACTCAGTTCGGAGAAGAGTTTCATGAACGATTGAACCTTCGGATGATCCTTAAGAGATGAACCTCTTTTCATAAAGAATGTTCATACATTCTCGTAGATATCCCAGGGATAGTGTCGTAGAAGGTAACGTCATTTATCGTCTTTTTTGGTATAATATACCAATTGTTTATAATTTTGGACCAACCATTGTCTCGCGGTTCCCGGTGTTCAGGGTTCGCGTCTTCAGGCCCGACTTCCGGGTTGTCCAGGTCGCCGGCCACCAGCTTCCGGTTCTCCAAAGCCTTGACCTCCCTGGCGTCTTCCTGACGAATCAGAGAACATTCAATGGAATCCGGCTCGAAGCCATTCCCATCATCCAGTCCTCTGTTCCGATGAACCTCGACGTCCAGGAGAAGGTCCCCGTCTATGCTGTGTATCTGCAACCTGGGAGGTGCAAGATTCGCAGCCTGGACCTCTTCCTCGGCCTCGCTCGAGGAAAGAGAATCGCTGTCGATCTCGGATTCCTCCGAGCTGCCCTTCTTCTCCTCCTTCCTGGCCCAATCGACCTGGGGAACCAGGATAGAGGTCTCGTGGAGAGGACTCCTAGGCCGACAGATCTCGTTCTCCTCGAGCTGGACCTCCGGGAGGTTTCCCTCCACCTTGGGGTCCACCCCCTCCTGGAGCACCATATTCGGCTCCGTCTTGGACTTCAGGATGCTGGACTCCTTCACCAGGTCCGGGAGCTGCGTCTTCGGGGTCTCCGTCGTCTTCCTCTCGCTCGCGCCCTGGGAGATGGAGGCCTTGTCGAAGGGGAAGGCCTTCAACGGCGAGGAAGAGAACAACGCCGTAGGGGAGATCGGCGACAGGGGGATCCCCGATGACCTCAGCTTGCTCGCACCCTGGAGGAACGCCTGCATGGTTGGACTGGGCTCTGGTGCAGGGTTAAGAAGCTTCTGGTGCTGGGAAATCGCGTCGGTGAAGCTCCTCAGCTTCGTGTCCACGTTCGATGCCGACCCCGACTTCACGACCGAGCCCTCCAGACCGGATCCTCCCAACAAGTACCTCTTCTTCAGCTCCAAGGACAACTTTGAAGCTATTCCCTCCGTCGAGTGGGTCCTGTTTAATAGGTAATCTCCTCTTCTCGGATTAGACAGCGGCGTCGGGCCGGAAACTTCGCAGCTCGGCCGCTTTGGCGCTAGTGACGCCTCCTCTTTGATCCTCGAGGCTGATCTTCCGGCCTCCAGCTTCGAAATTTCCTTTTTTAACGTCGTCTCTCTCGTTTGCTTCAGGTTCCCGTTTATGGAGGTGATCATGCGACTTTTTACTTGCACCTTCTTCGGCTCCAGGTAGTTCCCTCGAGTTTTACGGACGAAGCAGTCGTTGATCGTGATTTCTGGGATCTCGTGCTGGGTTGGAGTCGTCCCGTCGTGCTCGAATTCGGAATCCGTCGAGATTTCCGTTGCGGAATTTTCCTCGCTCTCCTCGCTCGATTCCTCGTCCGAGGCCACCTAAAAAATCGGGGGGGTCGTTTAGGTTATGCAAATTAGGTTATTGGAAATCATTCGGCAAATCTTGGGGAGCATACATTGTAATGGCACTCTTTAAAACGTATTACTTTGTTAATTGTGTCGAGGAGCGAACAAGGGGGGAGATAGCCTAAAAGATTAGTTAATAAATTAATATTTAATTTTTCAGCGCGTTTTGTATCATCTAGGGGAGAGACTTATCGTGAGACATTAAAAGAGAGAATGGCTGTTGGTAATCGCGGAATTACTCGAGGCTGGTCGGTTAAGAACGTGTCAAAGCGAAAGCACTGGAAAAATAAACGCATACGATTAATCGGTCTTGCTTTTGTTAATTCGTTATTAGTCAACGAGCAACGACATTCACTGGTAAATGGCTAACAATCTCGCTTTACCTTTTCCAACGGGTCTCGGGTCGCCTCGAAATAATCTCACGTCACCGTCAGCCATTACTCTAAGACTCGTCTGTACTTTATTCTCAAGTTATACCGTCACACAACTAAATAGAAAAATCGTACAACGCTGTCTCGACGCTACACTTAACTCGCAATTGTCTCTTAACTCATTTATCCTTCCGCAATGTCTCACAATTAATTCACTCCGTTAATTGAACGTTAATTCGGCTCTTCGCGTAGGACTCCACCTCGGATTTTCGATACGCGACGCGGGACTAGATGCTTCTCTGAAAAATACATTTCTCTTAGAATTAGGTTGTTGACGTGGGAGAGATTGACTATTCGTGACTTATCAGACTTCTTTTTTACCGATTTAAAATTTATTTATCGATTTTAAAATTCCGGCCTCTTTGCTAACCTGCACCGGGGGTCTAGGGTTCGAGACTCTTCGCCTCCCTTTTCTTTTTTTTTAATTATGAGATTTTAGGGGAGATTCTTGACATTTTTACGATATTACACACTTTTCCTTTCGCGATTTGGTTGAGGTGATGGATTTCACTGAACCGTGGATCTCGGGCTTGTGAGACAAAAGTCTCATCATGCCCCGGCTTTTCGGCTCCGGGGAAGAATTTCCAGAATCGTATTCTCTCCCCGAGGAGTTCCCACTTTTCGAGGCCCTCGATTTTGCGCTTCTTTGGAAAAGAGCTGGACTAGATTCTTTGCTAGATGGCGCGACGAGCGGCGACTTTTTTACCTCGACTTTCTTCTTCGAAGGAGTTTCGATTATGGAGGAAGTCACTAGTTTTGCGTTAGTTTCGTCGATTGTACTTTTATCTGCGCTTGGATTAACGTTTTCGTGAAGAATTTGTCTTCTTTCCGGCCTTTTCGGCGCTTCGAGTTGTCCATTGTCAGCGCCAATGGACTTCACTTTTCCCGCTGGAATTATTTCCTTCTCTACGATTGTTACTTTCCGAGCCGATCCCTTGATTGAACTATTTTTCGCGTCTTCTTCTTTTTTCTCTCCTTTCTTAGTTTTTCTCGTCGAGCTCGGTGTACTGTTTCGAGAAGACGCATCTCTGTCAGGTTTCGCCGGTAAACTCGAAGTTGCAGGGTTTATCTGCGAAGCGCCGCCATTTTGGTTCCTCCTGAACTCGGCTCCTCTCGTATGTTTATTAATTAAAGCTCGGTTTTCCGAAGCATCCTGTAAAGAGTCTTCTGCCTTTTGGTGGAAACTTTCCTCGAAAATATCAGAATCGACCGACGTCGGCAAACTTTGTAAAATGGCGTCGATCGTGGCGTCTAAAGCCGCAGCTTCGACCCCAGGACCTCTTTCTACCTTAATTCCAATTCTATCATCATCGACTTTAATAACAGCATCTTCCACGACTTCTTTCCCGCTTACAACTTCAATTTTCTGCAAAGTATTCTTTACGGAAACTTCTTCAATGTCCGAAGCGTCGTTGTCGCTTCGCGGCTGCGACTTGTCGAAGTATCTCATCAAGTCTCTCGCTTCGACCTTCTCCGATAATTTCGGCTTAACGTTTAATTCGACTACCGGAAGTTCCGAGGTCCCGGAAACCTCTTCCTCGATTTTCTTTCCTCTTTTTCCGGTTACTTTGGTCGTCGGCTCGAAAAATTGGCTCATCTTCATGCGAGCGCTCTCTTTGCAGAGAGGACGAAGCTCGACGACTTCGGACCTCTTCTTTTCTCTCCTTAGCTTAACTTCTTCTTTCAGGACCTCGAAGATGTCCTGCGAGGACATCTCTTGTCGAGGGGGAAGTCCTTGAGGAGGAACTTTGAGTCTTGCAGATTCGCAAGAAATCTTCTCCTCTGTCTTCTCCATTGTTGGAGTCGCAGCTGTTATCGTGACAATCGGAGTTTCAATAATTTCGGCCCCTTCTTTTTTAACTCCATCCGAAGAAGAGTCGAACTTCATTTGTTCAGCGTCGCTCGTTTCCGCTTCGGATCTCTTCCGACTTTCTGCACTTCCCTCTTTACTCGAAACATCCCCAAAAAAGTCCATCGTGGTCAGCAAATCAGTGCAAACAGCTTCAAAAGTCGAGGAACGTGAAGTTTCCCTGCTCAACTTCGGCGAAGAAGGAAAAAAATCTGGCGAAGTTGCGACCAAGTCCGGCAGATTTTCTCCCTTCTTTTGAAGTTTCCCATCCTCTGACATACTGATCCGAGAATCAGGAACTGCATCCGGAAGTATATTAACAAGAGACTTCGAGAGAACTTCACTCTTCGAGGAGAGTTTCGAAACTTCATCTTTTCTCAACCCTAACTCGAAATCGGAACTGCTAACGCTAAGTCGTTTATTGCAATTTAGAATAGAGCCCTCTCCCCCGATTTTCCGAGAAACTTCATCATCTACTTCGTTTTTAAAATCAGGACAACGATCTTCACTGAATTTCCCGACTTGAAAGTCGCTTGAAGCGATTTTTTTATAATTTGAAGCTACGCCGACATCGGAAGAGACTTCCAAAGATGGCGGATCATCGGAAAGGTGATTAAAGTCTTGAAGTACGCTATTTAGGGAGGCTTGAGAAAGCTTCACCTCTGTTTCGGAACCGGTGTCGGTGTCGGAGCTTTTCGTTGGACTTCTCGGTGGAACTTCTAACCTCCTCAGCTCCCTGGCTCGAACTTCATCTTCATCTTCGGTGGCGGTGCCGCTTTCTTCTTCTGAAACCGAACCCCAAAAAACACAGCTTCTGTAATGAAGATTCTAAGATCCTAACGCAAAGCTCCATTAGAGTATAAAAGATGATGATTTCGGCAGTTTTAAAATGATATATGAAACGCTTAAGTTCGTATAATTATCAACTATAATTTCCAGGATTTCCTTTTTTTTTTTTTTTTCCCCCACCTTCGCTGGTGTACTCGTCGCTGGAGTCTTCGTACTCGTTGCTTCCCGTATCCGAATGTCCAGTTGCGTGTTGATGAGAGTACCTCAAGGTCCAATTTTTAGCAAGCTCGAGAGTTCCTTCAGTCGTCAGAGGTTGGTCCATCGCCTCTTCGAAAACTTCGTTGTCTTCATCGGAATCACTGAAAAATCAAATTGAGTAAAATCCTTTTCGGTGGGAAACGTCCCGAGCGATGGCGCTGCAGTATACGCAGGTTTCCCAGCATGCCGGGATTGGAATATCGTTTTATTAATATCCTACGCGCCTTTCTCGCTTACGATGGAATTAATAATTGAGGGAGGATCACCTCATATCGGAAATGTCGTCACTGGAGCCCATTTCTGCTGCGGAAGCTCCGAAATTACGATCCGTCCATTCGTCCTCGTCCATCTGACTTCTTGCCTCCTCGGCGTCCGAAATGCCCGCCAAATTTTCAAATTCTATCCTCTCAGGAGTTTGTCCGCGATCGAGCAAATCGAGACCAGCGACTCCCTCGAGTGGAGTTTTCGTCTGGAAATAAATGTATCAACCTATTTCACTACTACTCCGAAGACAAAGGTCGATTATTACTTCCTTGAGATCGTTTCTTAATGCAAATTGAAACTAGAGATGGAATATTGAAGCACAGGGATCTTCGTTAACATGTCTTACTTTCTCCGGAGTCTTCATGTTCACCGACGAGTCAGGAATATTTTCTTTATTTAGTGTGGGTACTTTCTTCTTCTCTACTCTAGCTTTCATGGTGCCAGAGAGACCGAAATGCTGGGAACAATAGAAACGTCCGCCATTTTTGTCCCTGTCGAAAGTGTGATTTCCTGGAACGAAAGGAAATTGTGAGATTTAATTAAAATCTGTTACTTGAGGGGATGGAATTGTTTCGATGACCGTATACCCTGTTTTACTGACTACGGAGGTTTTGTCTCTTTAAAAGTAGTTCCGATTTTGATAGAGGTGTAAAGAGCGCAGAGGGCGCCAGGGGGCCTTTCAAGCAATGGCGGGAAATCTCTTTCTCACCTATTCTTAGCGATGTTGAGCAATATTCACAGCGGAAGCATCCTCGGTGGAAAAATTTCCCCTCTGCACTGAGTCTCTCCATTAAGTACACCCTTTTGTTACAAAAGTGACAAGTTTCTGACCCACCTTGCGCAGGCAGAACGAGAGCCGCCTTCGAGTTCTGTCGAGAAGAATTTTCCAAAATTAAATCCAACGTGTTAAATAAACACATACATCGTCATGCCTAAAGTGCAAGGGACGACAATCAGCATGCGACACTCGACGATCAATAAAAAGCCTCGAATGGCCGATATTTTAATTAATCTCCAAAGATCTCAGGAGGGTCTCAAAAACTATTAGTCAAGGGAAGAAGTACTTGAAAATGGAGGTCGCTTAGTTTTTCAAGCTGAAGAATACACGAGGGATTTCATGCCAAGAGTTTCGACGACTCCTTTAATTAACACGAGTTTGTCTAATTTATGAAATCGTCAAATTTGCTGACTCCCTCCCCCGGCGCTAATGATCGCGATCTGATAATTACCGATTTTTGCACCTTCGGCTCGGCGTCCTGATTTTTATTGGCAAATTGCTCGGCCATTGCCGAGACTTTATTGTGCCCGAGAAAGTTACCCTCTTTAATCTTCTTGTCGATACTCTTCAGGGTATTGTCTATGTCGGCGTACTTACTCTCCGGCTCGTTGGCGTCGCGGCCGTTCTTCTCCATCTTGATCTGCCGAGCTAAAAACTGCGTGAAGCATATAGAGACCTGGTCGGGCACCTATGTGAGAATATCATTACATTTTCTGCAACGAACCTGCTCGCGACTCCATTTTGGCACCCTCTCCACCCTGTCGTGGCGAACGCCTCGGCCCATCTTGTTCTCCTCGATTTTCTTCTCGATCTCCTTCACGTTCCAGTCGGTCTTCTCTATTTTCCCTGAAAGAATAACATTCACGCCATTAAATCCCTGCCACATACAAAATTTCAACGATTTTACGTGGTTTTAACCGAAATGGCCTCGTCGCTAAAAAGGGCATCTCAGGGACATTTTAGTTTAATCAAACTCACCGATTGCTCGCAACAGGTCCTTCGGCTTCTTCTCTGCCGGCGTGTTCCCTCGCAATTTGTCCTCGATATTTTTTATCCTTCCTGAGAACTCTTCGTCGATGTTTCCTCTGTGATGGCCGGCGTGCACTTTCGGTTCTCTGTCCTAAAAGAATTCCAATTTCAGAATGAAGGGATTCGCGACATTCGGCACTAACGTACTCGAAATGCAAGGAATACAGCTCGCAACATAAAAAGATACGCTTTGGCCATACGTGTGCCGAATTCATGATTTTTCCAGGACATATTTCATACCTTATGAACAATCGTAATCCCCGCGAGGAAAATTCATGAACTCCAGCACGAGATATCCGCAGAACGCCATTAAGTTAGTAATCAGGCAGCAACAATTTGCAAGTATACAAACACATATTAAACAAAAAAAGAAACAAATTGGGACGAGAGGGAACAAACGCAGTGTACAACAAAGTGAAAGGAAGATCCGTAGAATTAATTCTTATTAATCCGTGCTCAGTCTTGCGCTGTTAGAACAGTTATTAGGAACCATTCAACAGGTCGTATATTTTAATAAAATAAGAAATGAAGTAATGTTTAATCAATGAAGAAGAAGAAAAAATGTCCCCGCCGGGATTCGATCCGCAACCCTGCGGAGCCGTGTTAAACAATCCATTGTTATTCAAAACGCGTGCAGATCGCCACGGGGCTTACTGGGTAGAGGATTTTCTGCTCTAAATATTTCACTCTATCCTTGAAATCGGGGGCGGTTTGCCGGTACAAGAAAATCGAATAATCCTCGAAGGGCTCGTCCTTCTCCCTCTTGGCATTCGCTTCCAGCATCTGCATGCTCTTGTAGAATTGCTGGGTCGCCATTTTCCTGAGATACTGCCGTTTCCTCATTCGCTCGATTCTATTTCGCTCGATGTCCTCGAGCCTTTTCATCCTTTCCTCCTTTGGATTCACGGAGAAATTCGATTTACATTTCCCTCCTACCCCGAGAAGCATCTACGACTCGCTAATTAACCCGGTAATTCGCCCTTGCGAAGCTTTAAAAAAGATCTCAGTCGAGACTCTGACAACTTATCGCCCTGTATTTCGCTATTCGACTATATTTTACATTACTCATTACTTGGCAGTACTAGTGCTCGTAATGTACGATATGACTACGTGTATATACGGTAAGATGTTAAAAAACGGTTTACGGTATAACTGACTGTCGAGGTCTTAAGGGGAGGTGGGAGGTCTAAAACGTGATCACGTCTTCGGTGAGTACGGTCACGGCGAGTCCAACAAGAACAAGGAGCAAAGACAAGAACATGCCTTTGCACAATACCGCCTCGATCTTCTGCCACCATGACTGAGGGATAAAAGTAATTAAAAGCTTGCCGGAGAAATATCGGCTGCCTGGAACGACCGAAAGCTGCGCGAATGGCCGATTATTTCCCGCTTTCAACGCCGGAGGGCGCCACCTTCGATTCCATCCCAAGCCGATATCAAATTGTGCGGAAAATAAATGCCGCAACGCCGACGCCGTAAGGACTTATTTCATAAATAATAAATTGTTAACAAAGAATTAGGGAGATATTCGATACGTGGAGATGCCGTCCAGCGTTGTTATAACTTCCTGAGCGTTTCTTAAATCGCTGATCAAGAAGGGAAAACTTACTACTGTGGCGCCCATTTTTTCGTTGCTGCGTCGCTTCCTCGATCGCCGACTTATGGAGTCTCCTTTTTTATCGGGGACGTTTTGTACGTGCTCGTTTGTATGTCGAGACCTCGAGTGCCTTGGGCGAAGGACGTTGTCTTGTTTCGTGAGACGACCCAAAAGCTGGGCCTTTTGTTCGGGAGTCATTTGGCTCAGTTGTCGGGAGTACGAGGGCCTCTCCTCCTTTTCCGGCTCCTGGAAAAGAAAAAGAACTCGCCTTAAATACAGGAACAGGATAGGACTCAGTACGTGTTCGGATACTTTTTCGACATTTTCATATCTGCTCTCGAAGGGACACTTCTTCGACCGGAGCCTTATGCGCTTGCACTCGAAAAGCTTCTTCAGAGTGGAGACCCTTTTGTTGCTCTCGAGCCAGTTCCTAACATTGTTAAGCTCCAGTCTATCCCCGATTAGCTTGGCGCTTCTTTTCCAGCCTAGCTTATTGTTATTAAAGTCCAAGAGCTTTTCCGGAGGCTGGAAGCTCATGAGGCTGGTGAACCTGGAGATGGTCCTGGGGATCGTGGACTGGTTTCGGACGGGTTCGCGATGGCAGACGGAATAGGGACATTTGGTCCTGTGGGTCCAGGAGGAAGGGGTCTTCAGGTTGGATTTAGGGATCTCATTCATAGGAGACATCCTTCGGGCTCGCAAAAAGTCCTTTGCACTCAGCAAATTTCTATTCGACAAGCAGGACCTCTAAAAAGTTGGAATTAAGGTGGTACGTAAAAATGGCGTCGAAGAGGGTCATTCGTTTATGGTTCCCGATGGAATAAAAAAAATGGCAAGGTCATGAACAAGATGTTTATATAGGTTTCACCCTTTCGAGCGCTTCTTGCTTATGCGGGAATTTTATCAGTGCTCAAAGGGTTAATTAAAAAATCGGTACCCACCAATTTAGGGTGCTTGATATGGGGTATCTCTCCCCGGAAAGTTTCGTATATCTGCGTCAGGTAGGAGAACATTGCAAGTTTATCAGGCACCTCGCATTCCGTCATTTCCTCGCCGGTCATTATCTGCAATGATGAGATACCTCGGATGAGTTCCTATTAATCTTCTATAATTATTAGATTAGTTTCACTTCACCTTAATGGAACTTATTCGTTTATTTATTATATTACTTACCGGGGTGATGCCGAGCTCCTTCTCGAGGATGTCGAAGGCAAGTTGGTTGTTGATGGTCTCTTCTTCTGGCTTAAGGGAGTAAAAGTCTATCAGGTCGGGCCTGTATCGGTGAATAATGGCACAAATGGCGAGTCCGTCCTTAAAGGAAGCTCCCATGTCTTCTATGTGCACCGCGTCGTAGAGGGCCACTTGTCTCTGCAGCCAGTGTAGCAAGGTGTCCGGATGCACCTGGGTATCTATATAAACGTTTACATGATAAAAAAAAAGCGCGTCTCTCATCTCCCAGGGTTTCTTCCCCAAGCAAAAGGTTTTTTACAACCGAGGTATTACTTAAGGCTGTACTTAGGTTCATTGCTCACCCCTACGACGTCGTTTCTTCGGGATGTCCACGCCGGTTTGCACAGAGGGTTGTTTGATATTGTCCGGATCGTCGGTGTCCAGAAGACTCCGCACCTGAATCGGCGTCACCGAACGGACATTCAAGTTTGGGTACCTTGGGAAATGCAAATTCCACGTGAAAACATACAATAGGCAGAATTCCAAGGGGTTAAGCTAGAATCGCCGGGGGGTTAGTAACGTCCAGCAATGGATTATTCGGAATGGAGCGGTACAGGCGCGTTCCTCGAAAGATTCCGAACGGAAAATCTCTTTACAGAATCTTTGTAGGTTGCCGCGTTTGCGAGATATTCCCTGAGAATTAAGTCAGCCAATAGGAGCGCGGCTCTGGGGCAGGAGTGGGGAGGCCCCGCCCACTGACCTTGGGGCTCCTCCAATAGGAAGAGCGCCAGAGCTGCATTTAGTACAATACCCAATATAATTCGACAGGGCCGTCGATATAAATCCCGTCGGCAACGTAGGCATTTATAAGAATCCCTTTAACCGACGTAGATGAGATTTCTCGACGCGTTTCACTTAACCTTAACGGGTCGACGCGACAAATGTTCCAGTTGGCAAACACGTGGCAAGAAAAGCGTCACTCGGGGAAATAGAAAAACTCGTTCGGCTAATCAGAGTAGGTCTACTTTATTACAGTGTGCCAGTAAAGATACACGGCCGCGTCTCGCGTACGCTGCGCGCCGCCGTGTGTACTTGTCGCGAGACGCTACCGCGTCTCTTGGTACCAGTCGGCGGAAATGGCCTGTACCTGAACACCGCAGACCAGAATTAGTAAGTAATCAGTCTTGGTACCGGTACACTCTACGTACACCTCTGCCTAGATTCGTATCCATATATGCATTCTATACTATGTCGTATATGTTACATACGTATGTATATGTATATATACCTGCATTCTACGGAGCATAATTCAGATACCTTGTATGTGGGTCCAGGGTGTATGCCGCGTAATCTCGGTTTAAGTTCTCGGGTGTAGTTTGCGCCAAAAGCCGGTAGATGGACTCTCGCTCGGCCAGGACCTCCAACGGCGTCAAGGATGCTCCCCAGCCCTTGATGGCCCAACAGGCGTCGAGGGAACTAAGGAATCCCCTGGCACAGCCCGAGCCCGTCGGCCAGAACGGCTGGAAGCAGATTTCAATACCTTTTTTATCCCCTAATAACCAATTAACCTAGGAATTAATTCCGGTAGCCATTCCAACTGAGTCCGTTCGTAGAAGGCAACCCAGTGAGATGTTCTTGTCGTGAGACGCCACCTATAGTGGCTGGGAACGTCTACTTGGATGAAAAGTTACTAAAGATCTCACCTCCAGGAGACTGTCGCCCACCAGGATCATCAGCAGCCTGTGTCCGTATCTCTCCAGGACCCTGCTCGCGTTTTCGGCGGCGTACATGGATGTGAAATCGAACATGGCCACATCCGGTTGTCCGTAATGGTTTACGGCGAACTCCATGTCCATCATCTGGTATTCCGTGGAGAATTCGGCGGCCTCTCTGGCGTAGAGCATCAGGGCGTCCCTGTCGACGTTCTCCTTGGCGAGCAGTTTGGCCGTGTCCGCGTGATCCTGGGATGGCGGTAATTTTTAAGGGGGTGATTAGCGAAACTAAATGATAGATAAGATACGCCTTGTTGGGCCATTGTCTTCCTCTCACCTGGAGGATAACACCCTTGTCGATGAGGCTGTGCTTCTTCGCGGTCATGACGAAGTAATGGGTGTCGTCCTTGTAGTAGACGATGTTCTCCAGGTCGATCCCGGTCTCTTGGTGCAGCTCTTTGAAGAACTTCTGGTTGAATATGAAGGCCACCCCGCTGATCTCCTCGACGCGGGCCTCGGCTTCGGTTCGTTTGTTTATAAAATTTGCGGTTATTGCTATTGCCAACTTCCCTCGGAACTCCTTCCTCTTGAAGCCCTCCAGGGTGTTTCTTTTCCCGTCCGCCCCGATTAACACGTCGAATTCGTATTGGGAGACGGGGTGGTCGGCAGGGGTGGTTTTCGCCCTCCACCCGATTTCTGGAAGATAGAGTCATAATTAAAAAACCTCAGTTCCTTAAAATGATACGAAAGAGTCGGCCTATATACATTTGGGAAGTCAAATCCTTCGGGAAAGTGGAATAATGGCTTCACGCTTAATTTAGTATAATTGTAATAAATTTAACGAATTAGGCTCTTACTTCCTTCCTCCTGGTTGTCAGGGGGTGGCAGAAGCGAGTCGAAGCTGACGCTTTCGTGAAACTCCACCCCGAGGATGAGGGCGACCTTCAAGAGGATGCACTGCAGCTGCCGAATACTGATGTGATCTATAGATCCCGCGCAGAACTTCCCGAAGAACTTCTTCGCCCCCAAACTTCTTAGATCTTGGATGACGAAAGGCCACAGATGAAGCACATTGTTCCGAGACATGCGATCCCTTTTCTCCATGACGACGACTTTCGCCCCGAGAAGTTGTGCCTCTATCGCCGATCGCAAACCACAAGGACCTCCGCCTATTATCAGTACCTAAAAAGAGAACAACGAGATAGAAGATGACAAGCGACTAAACTTGGAGAAGATTACCCGGGTGAAGTTAAACTTCCTGCCGAGTCTTTCTTTCGTTCTCCATGGGGAATATTGTTTGATTAATAGTCTAGTAAGGGTGGAGGAAATTAATAACAATTACCCTGGTGTTCGGACATGCTTTCCCGCGGTTGTAGCACTTGTGGTTAGCCCGTTGGTCGAATTTCTTCCAGAGAGCTTGTGCCTTCCACGACCTTAGCTTCGACTTCAGCTTCGGGTAGAATTGCGGAAACGCATTCGGCTTGATTTTGAGGAGGTCGCAGAGGTGCCGGAAATGGCCGAGGATGGATTTCAAGGTCGTCGCGTTGCAGAAGAGGTCGAAGACCTCGTTGGCCATCGCCACTTCCGGCGAGACGAGTTGTTTCCTGGTCTGCTGGTGGTCCATCTTCCTTTCGCGTTTCTTTCGTGGATGGTGGACACAGGGTCAGTCACACATAACCTAGAAACGAGAAAATCCGGAAAGTTAGTCATCGCTGACGGTATTTAGAAAAGTCTTCTTTGTGTTCTAAATATATATTAGGAGGAAGAAATAGCTTAAAAATGGAGTGGAAAAGAAAATGTCGATAGGGCGAAGGCATCTTTGGCACGCGATTCCTCGTTACGAGGTGAGATCTAATTTCGGAGCGATCTTCTCATGGCTTAAATAGAAGCGATGAGAAATGCACTTTCGGCGAAACTCATCGATATTAAAAAGATATACCAGAAGAGGCTCGAGAAAGTCTTGCGCGTCTTTCTGGGACGCCATTGTGGGGTCTTAGGAAGAAACAGCTGATTTATCGACTAACGAAAGGTCGACTGTGTCGAGATGTACGAAATGAACGCCGAGGCATGCCTTTCATACAACACGGATGCAATTCCAGCAGATAAAGAACTACTTGACGCGCCGAAGCGTATTCCTTCTTCTTCGGCGGCATTCAAAATGGCGGACGAGGATAATCTTCCCTTCGCGGATTCTCTCATTCGTACGAAGTCATTGAACTTACTGAAAGCCGTTTATTTTATTTATATAATGTTAATAAAGAGGATTTCATCCGCGGAAACCTTCGAGAGCCTCTGTCGGTGTTAATGAATAAAAGAAAAAAAAAGCGTAATAGTTAATTGGATTTCCGGTCTCGGTGGGAAATGTGATCCCTTTTCTCGTGCTTCTTCAGGTCCGAGTGTTTCCTCGAGTTCGCGACCCAATAATTTTCTAGTCCACCGCTACGAGGCGCGACGGTGCTCCTCGCCACTCTCGCTCAAAGTTTTCCCTCTTCCGTGGCGATTATTAATTACATTCCGAAATTAATCCAGGATTCTCGGTTTGGACTAAAAATAAGCTGGATTCGACTTCGATGACGTTTACACAGACGATTTAAGCCGAAGAGGAGGCGAAACCATTTCGGATGCCGATCATGTCGGCGGATTCGTTGAACATTCCGACCGGCGTCGTAGATGCGCGTCATTCGAATCGACTGGGGATCTCTCGTTAGAATTCACGAAGCGGCTGCAGAGTAAATTCGGTCCGCGTATGAAGAAGTCATGGGGACGGAATAACGAAAATCTGTCGCCGGTGGGTGGCCATATTGGAGTGCGACCGTTGGAGGTATCAAGAAGCTGGGTAGAGTCTCGGGCCAAATACATTAATTTTTGTAAGATAAAACAGAGGAAACGTGAAAATGTTTAGCAATAGTGATTCATTACTGCTATGCGCTCAATTATTATTCCATGGTTGTTCTTATGGACACACGGGGGTACAACGAAGGGTATGTATACCGACATAACTTATGCATTGCTATACACCAATGTCAGTACATCTCATATTAGGCGAAACGGTAAACCCATCGAGTTGTATAAGTAACTGGGTAATCGGTTTACTGGGTTGTCTATTAGGAGTCACTGGGTAGTTGTGTAATTGGCCATGTACAATTAGCCACAGGGTAGAATGTTGGATCGAAGCCACCGGGGAGGACATTGTTCCCGGCATCGGTAGCTCCGTGACGTCACGAGATGTTTCAAGATGGCGGAAACCCCCCAAATCGGTCGACTCTAATGAGAAACATTTTTTAAGGGTTCAGTAACTCAAGTAATCCTAACCTCAACGATGCAGTTCCGTCCGTCTGCTTGGAAATGAAGGTTACCTCGTGAAAAGGAATGCCAGAACGTGATTCGAATTATTATACGGTGATATTTTAAATGTCGGCCATCTTGAACCACAGCCGAGACGGCCTCTGCTTTTTCCATGCTACGATGATCTTTTATCTTGAATAACCACCTCCGACGGGAATAATTAAGGTTCCTTTCGTTCCGCCCTGGATCTTAGTAGGATCCTTTCCTTCAAAATAGCGAATATCATTAGCCATAAATCCATTTATTCTTCTGGAAATACTCGACGTCCACTCTTACTCTCGAACGGCCCGAATGCAATATTACCAAACGAGAGAAAATAATCTCGCCCAGTGATTAGACCTCGGCTATTATTTCTTAGATAAGATCTAATCTTCATGCCGACAACCTCGCATATTAATCTCTCGATTAAGGTTTAATTAGACCCCAAAGAATTCACTTTCCATCCTAAGCACCTTGTTTGGCGCACCGAGGATAAATTAATGAATAAAATCCGTTTCAATCGACAATGTAATTTTTCTTCTGAACAAAATAATTGTTTCTTGCGGTATATGTATATATTTTCGCTCCGGTTAATTGATATTTCCTCTCAGGGCATCGTAATTCAATTTCAAATCGGACGCGGGAAGAAATCCAAGATGGCGGACCGCGCGTCGTCAGGAAGAGTCGATCGCGGGGATTATGCGGAATGGAAAAGACAAGTCGGAGGTATATCGTCAACTGGTAAGACGTCGAATCATTTCCTCTCCTCCCTGCCGAGAGTATCAACTATCTATATAGTTAACTGGAGATGAGTCTGCTTCTATAAATACTGCGCAAAGTGGGCGACAAGATGCAATCCGACCGAACTAGAGCGGTGCGCGCCGATTTTACCTCCACCGTAGATATTAGGTCGGGGAATAAGTGCGTAGCGTTTTTATAACAAAAGTCTTAGATAAAAACGCTATTTGACCACTTAAAGAATTTTTTCCATAGCTTAGGTTCCTCTCAGTGGGATTTATTAATTTGTACATGTAAATCGAGGAGAGTACTTATACTGAGAATTTTTTGCAACCGATGGGCTTCCATTTTTAAAAAAGGGAAATCCCCCCGATCGACATTTCCTGCAAGGCTGTTTTAGCCTTAGAGAAATATTTCCGTTCCTGTTACCGCACAGCCACGGTTCTTGCGGCGATTTGCAGTAATAACGCCTTTTTTTTTTTTTTTTAATAAAGTGCATCTGATGCACGCGATGCACGAGGCGTTACGTGATCGCACGAAATCCATATCGATTCGGCCCAATTGGTCGACTGGCTTACTTTTAAGGTACCCTCGACCCCATTGCCAAACCATTGGACATGCGGAAATATGTGACGCTCGGGTGGAATCGAGGCAGACGACGTTATGTGGCGGGTGGAGTGATCCGAATCTCGAAATATAAATATCCAGCGACCGGCCAGAGGGAAACGAAATACTGCGGGGCTCGCGCATCGCCGGCGGATAAATCATAGAACGTAGGTAGGTCTTGCTGGACGCATTAATAGAAGCACTCGGGATTTTCACGCGGCTTTCTGCTAAACCGAACTGTGCTCTTGTCCTTACAGACTTTCGGCCCGGGTTTAAATTAAGCCGGTGCGCTATGCGCGCGATGAGCTGGCCTGTGCTTTGACATTGGAACTCCGCCGCCATCTTGGATCCCCGCAACTCGTATGTTTAATATATCCAATTCCATTTCCAAACGTAGAAAAGCAATCTTCCTTTCGTTTCCTTCCTGGGTACATCTTAGATTTTAATTATATCCGTTTGAAAGAGGTGCCATCTTGGAATTGAAAAGCGAAACTTCGGCAAACCCGGGAGATGTCTTTTCGGGGCGTTCGAGGAGCACTCCAGCGAGTTCCGGAGTGATGTTTGAGGTTAAGTCGACAAACGACGAGCATCCCACCCTTTGGCGTCCTTCCCCACGACCCCCTCGATGAGCAATCCCGGAATATATGAGAGGACGGGGACCCGGTCTGGCAGTGACGTCACTCCTTGCGCGGACAAAGCCCCCGCGGCGGCGCCGGGCGTCGAGACGCTCCTCGAACCACCGTAAGGCACCCCCGGGGTGTTTCGCCCCCGTTTCGCCCTTTTTACCCGACCCCGAAGACGCGTTGCGCCTCTACATCACGTTACATAAAACGTTTCACCCTCCCAGACTGAGTCTCGCGCCAAGTACATTTATCGCATCAAGTAAAAGCCAATGCCCAACTTTTCAGACGCATGTACTTGCTTTTTATATTAGTAATCCAAGTAATACACTTTGTGTCTCGTTGTTACGTATTATAAATTAATTTTTTATATAATAGTGTTTCATAAAACAATAAGCCAAGCGCTATTGCGCTGTTCGGCCTTATTCGACCGTGTTTCTTTTACGAACCTCTGGTTAAAAAGGTGTTAGAAATGTGGTTTAAACTGAAATGCGCATTATCGCAATGCGAAAATCGTCATAGGGATTATCCCGGTCGTGGTGCTGGGGCGGCTCTACCTCTGGACGACGTCCGACGCCAACCCCGACGTCGTAGCGTCGTTCTAAAATCGTCGGGACTAATTTTAAAGGATTCGTGGGTTACTCTTGCGGAGGGGCGTAAAAAGCGAAAATAGACCTCGTGTTTTCACCGATTACTCGGGATCGATAAACCCATCAATTATATAAAAGCTCGATGCCGTAAATAATACTTCGTTTCGTGAAATACTCGGGGACGTTCGCGCATGCTTTTATACGTACTTGGTGCGAGACTCTACCGAGTTTCCTGATAAGACGTTCGCGTAACATTCTAGACACTCGCGATTAACGAGATGCACTCTAGAATTTCGTAATTAATATTATTTATGGATTGAGAATCTTTTCTAATAATATTTCCAAGTAATCCAGAGATAATATCCGTTATCAGGATCTGGTAATAAAATGATAAGCCGGTTATTATCGCCCAAGGAAATGAAAACGACCTGCCTGGAGGTTTCCTCGATAAAGATTATTCCTCGTTGTTAGATAAATATTTAAACGGTATTATTCATCAATGTGGAATATTGTTAATTATTTAGTCAATTTGGGATTACAGAGATTGAAGATAATATTCGAAATCCTAGGGTGAAGGTAAAAAAAATGAGGTTAATTTTGAAACGGTCCGATGTATCCGAGTATATTAATTAAGAGGAAATGCCGCGCATATACCGAAGAGATTAAAATTCCGAAACGATTGTGAAAATTACCATTTTTCAAAATACCGGATCCTTTCCAAACAATTTTTTTATTATCTCGAGATTGCAGGAAATAATTTCCGGGTTATTTCGGAAGAGATGAGGACTTCGGAGTGAATGTTAAAAATTAGGCGAGTGTCGAAACGACATTAGGAAAGATTTTCGAAAAGGCAAATGGAGGGCTAGGATTTCGAAAAGACCTTCGCTTTCCCCACAGGAATCAAAATCATAAATCGCAGCTGGCCTTGGAGCCATTGTCAGGATTTTCAAAAGTCCCTCCGCCCTCAATCCGTCTTCCAAAGGACATTCAGCTGTCCGTCAAATTCGGATTGAAATACGAGTGTCCGCAGAAGGGCCTTAAGGGCCTTAAGGCCCTCCTTATTCATCTGGAAGGTACACCTCCTCTCTATAAACTCGATACTCAATGAGCCAAGAGGCTCCTTACCGTCAAAGCTCTACAAACAGAGTGGATACACCCAGTTAGAACCCTATGAACCCTATGAACCCTATGAACATTATGAAGAAAATGGCTCAGAATACTATAAACAATATGGCAGTACCACGACAAAACCTTAAGGCATAAAATCCCATAGTGTTCATAGGGTTCATATGGGACTTTCATATCGCCTTAAATTCCCCGACCACGCAGAAATGACAAAGGACAAAGACCGGCCTTCATCTCCACAATGAACGGAACATTCGACCCACTCTCGACAACTACCCACGACATGTCTGCCCGATGAAAATTCGTATCGTCGCGGGAATTAATCCCGTAGGGAATTATCGACGAGATGCACATAAAGGAGACACTAACGATCGAGCCATTACTTCCCACTTGGCACCTAAACCCCCCCCAAATATTTATATTTTAGAGAAAATAATCAGTCGCGCTTGTAGGGTGAATGGTGATGGCATGACTCGCGTGGTACCACTACTTGGCAAAACTATTTTCCAGGTTAATGATATTTTAATTAATTATTCGTTTATATTTTTTAGATGATAATCCTTCGCGCTTATAAGAGGAACGATGATGGCATGACTCGCGTAGTACCACTACTCTAGTCCTCCGAGAAACGGAACCATTTTCTCGGTTTTGTCGGACGTGCGTCTGTTTATTTTTTAACGTTTTACGGGTAATTGCACGTTAACCCAAATACACGGAATGGTGAATCGTGTGAACGACGAAACTGTTAGCGAGTGCATGTGCGGAATTAATCCGTCCGAACGAGCGATTTCCTTTCGTTGTTATCCGCGGTTTCGCGCGTTATCAGTCCAATCTGCCGGGGTATATATACGTTAAGTGGCAATTTGCATTGCTCGCCTCGGTATGGTACATCGACATGTCAACATTACTCGGTCAAGAACTGTACAAAATGTAATTAAATCAGGAAATTCTTCGTGCACGGATTAAACCATTGAGACGATATATACATATAATACACGTACTGTATACGAAGAAAAGACGTAAAAGGAACGACTGGTTCACCTTCGAGGAAAGTTAACGCAAAAAGAGAGTACTGCGACTTCTGCCGACATAAAGACGGTATTTTACAAATACCCTGGACCAGCTACGAGAGCCTTGACTTTATATATCTACAATCTTCAACGTGAAACGAAACTCAACCTAAACAACTACTCGGATTTCAATCGCCAGCTAGAGTAATTGTTGTAATGTCTTAGCATGACTCACTATGTGAATTCTCACCTGCTTAGCAAGACTGAGTCACATAGAGAGTCTGCAATTGACTTTGCGATTAAAGATAATTTTATTATGCATTTATTGTCATTGTTATCGTTATTATTTTAATGAATTTATTTATTATTTCATCTTCACCTTAATCCCTTACCCAGGTCTTGGTGCCGCGAACACCTGATTAAGACCCACAACAATCCTTATAGAGACAACCAGGAGGTCCCAAGGAACTTCATCGACGTTCCTGGCCAACCTGGTTTTCTCTGGAGGAAAAACCTCCGACGTCGACGTGAAAAATCCCAGCCAAGACGTGACCCCCTGACCCGGGGCCTTTAAGGTTTAAAGCCCGGCCCAGGGTCGCGTAGGGCACGGAATGCGAAACGCCTGCGTTATCGGATTGGGACTCGTCCAAAGAAGCGACCCTAACCCATTTGCATAAGCATGAAAAAGAGGATCCTGGTGAAAATTTTCATATTCTGACGTTTTGCTGTATATGAAATCACCCTTTCATATGGTGATAAAGCGATGACAAGGGAAAAGGAGCGACAATGAGCGAAAACGAGCGAAAACGAGTCAAACGAGGAAAAGGAGCAAAACCACCAGGAGCGAGGACACCTTCTCCGTAGACCCACCCTGGAGCAGGGCCACGTCGAAGTGTCCGGCCATGGCGGTGCGTGCACAGCGATACGAGGCGAGAAATGCGAGACGGAGCGGTTGCGGATCGTGGATCCGGGTTTTCGGGATTTTACCTCGCAGGGAAGTATCCCGAAGGAGCAGACCTTTCGCGGCGACGGCTCCCAGGACGCCTCCCCTATTTACAACACTACGGTCCACCGCACGCGTTCACAGTTCACATGATAATTTCCCCAGCACGTATTACCGTACCCGCGACTCACCAACCGTCCACCATTGGCATTTTGTTCGGCTCGACTGACGAGAGCAGCATCGAGAGGTCCGAAGTTGGCTGCCGAGGCCGGGAGGGGGTCGAGAGCAGAGATGAGTTGGGAGATTGCTCACGGGCAGGACCGTGCGATCGCATTCTGTGCTGCCATCTGGTTTCGTAAAACGGTGAAAGCTAACGTACGAAACCAGAGGGCAGCACAGGATGCAATCGCACGATCCTGCCCGTGAGCAATCTCCCAACTCATCTCTGGTCGAGAGCGGTCGGCGGCGGCACCTAGCGGCAAAACGAGGAACGAGACGGCAGCCAGTCGGCAAACCAGCGATCGTGCTCTCGCTAAATAGCTGTAGATACGTACAGCTTACCGCTCTTATTCCCGAGGATTCCCGAGGATTCCCGCTCTTATTAACGAGGACCTTTTTGCATTAAGTATGTACAACGTATCTCTACGATTTATTACAATACTCGTATGGAATGCGACAGATTTTCAGGGCTCGCGAAAACGCATCACGACAAAATTCTATCCTGAATACGATACTATGCGTTTACGTCAACGTTAAGCGCACACTGAGAAAAAAAAAAATATTATTAATCATTACAAAGCGTGCTGTGAAAAATAGGCAGCAGTCCCTAAACGCTATACGATCTACAAATACAATTTTCAAAGTTATCAAGAAACTCGGTAGAGTTTCGCGCCAAATACGTATATGTATATTTCGACCTAGTTATTTTCTGCGTTTTTTAAGTTACGAACGAAACCGATTGGTACATTTAATACGAAGATATGCAATTTAATATATTTCACTTCGCTTGGGTTGCTTGGAGTTCTTCCCGACTGCATTTGCATATCGTTCTTATTTTCTAGGAACTGACGCCTTTTTAACAACTACTTGTAGATTGGAAATAAAGTGACGCCCCGCTGTTAACCGCAGGATTAAATAAAACTAAGGTTAAGATAATCGGCAGGTGTGAAGCAAACTCGACCCTCTAATTCGCCCTCGTGCTCGCAGAGGGAGCCAGAGTGGTCCGTTTACCCCGCGGGAAATTCGAAAAAGATAAATAATAGTAACAATTGCAACGACACGCGGCTACAATAAATAACGTAAAGTATAAATATCGAGTCTCCCGTACGTTGGATTTGCAGGATTAAATCTACCTCCGATTAATTATCGCCAATTAAGATTAATCCTCGCGGACACCTCGGGCAAGATCTACACGTAAACGGATTCGCGTTGGGACTATTATTTAATAATTATTAAGTACTAATTTCCTCCTAGTACTTCGGCCCTACTATTCGACATGCTTAACACTGATTTTCGATACAATTCCTTCGGTTAAATCGGCACTAACTACTTAGAATGACTATTACGCATACGTAATTGCTAGTTCTCTCGACGATATTAATTTCAACGATAATTCCCAATTGCCAACAATACTTTCGAACACGAGAGCTTCGTAATTATATCTCGGATAATTTCAACAATTAATGGGTTTACTCTAGAGGATATACGTACACCTAAATACATATCTACTAGTCATACTTCAATTTCGTGGATAATTGGATTGGCATCCGAGTGATGCGGAGAAAATATTGCGCGATCTATGAAACAATATCTCGATATAGTTTGTCAAATCGACGACTAATGCGATCGTACCCTGGGAGACATCGATGCCCTCCCGACCTGCACAGGCGATGTCTTACATGCAGGGTAGGCATCCATGTCCGCCACTGCACAATGCGCCACCTTTTTTAATTTTTTATTTACTATCCGAAGAAACGGACCATAAAAATACCGAATAAAATAGACGGAATGTATAACAAGTCAGTGGTTACCGATAATTATACTAAGGCACGATGAAAAGTATGAGAAGCAACCTGGAACTGCGTCGGTTTAAGGCGATGCGAAAATGGCGTCGATTATCCTGAAAACTAGTTCATTGATATTTTCGACATTTGTTTAACAAAGAAAAAAAAAATAATTCAGTACACAGTTCATAAAAAAGTATCATGAACGCCACCGCTTTCGCACCCCCTTAAGATTATTTGCCGATTGTTAAACTCTTTCATAAAATTCAACAGAACCACCTCGAAACGATCAATGAATAATTCAATTCTTCCCAAGAAGGATTCGATATTCGCACAATCGTCTCGCATAATATATTAAACAACCTTAACACGTCACAGGAACGCATACACGTATGAGATATAATTATATGGTACAAACAAATACCGGTGAACAAAATTAATGTTTTGCATACTTGGAGTGGAACTCCACCGAGACTTTAGACATATAACAATGTTGAAAATAATATAACAATTACGCCGTCGATGTATACATTTCTCGAATATTCTCAGCACCGATTATGTCGATATTATTAATCACTCGGTCCACCAACAACAATACAATGTACCGTATAAATATATTACATGTCTTACGCAGTATGCCCCTAGCAGGTGTCGGTTATATTCGCCACCGTAAGGATATATTGTTTATTTAAATAATTCCCCGATCTTAAGGGGATGCGAAAGCGACATCTGTTAGAGAGAAGTATCATTAACGAGACGGCACTTTCGCATCGCCTTAATTCACGTTCTTATTGCAACAACCCTAACAATTGTACAGCGGAACCATTTGTTAATAACGCGTTACATTTGTTACGTGTCGCTCAGCACCTGTAAATGTATATATATATTTATATATAGAATTATTTCTCCGACGATAAACAATCTTAAGGGGTCTTAAAAGGGCCCTAAAATATTAACGATGTCGTTACAGTAATATTCTAAAGGTAAGTACTTTACGGCACGAATTCGGTATACTTAGAACACAGTCTTAACGCTCGGAATAATTGTTAAGGTCGCCGGAGTCTTTAAAGGTCGAAATTACCGTATTCCCTTCTCGGAATATTAACCTTGGTACAGGTTAAAGAAATAACTTAAGGAAAGGAGAAAAGGAGGGTCAGGATTAAAATAAAAGTCACAGCGGGCTCTACGTAAACGCGAGACGAGATAAAGTTGTTAAGAAAGGAGAAAGAGCGCCTCTATCGTTTCTATTAAGTACTATTTGCGTAAAAAGGAGACGTAACGATAACCTGTGCAATTAGATCGAGATGTAAGGCAATCGATCCCACAAACTGGTCCTTTCACCATTTTCAAAGACACCTCGTGAGGTTTGTAAAATGTTCTGCATCGACAGAATACAGAGACGATAAGAAAACCTAAAATAATCTGGAAGTAATTGATGAAGAATAGATACATCAAAAAGAATGTTAAAAATGGGGAAGAAATAGTCATCGAAGCCTCAGGGAATTTTCAAGTATCTAAAACTGCATCGAAGGCTCAAAAAGATAAATAGAAATTTAAATCGAATCCTTATAGTACATTTCTGCGATGCGCCAGTCACGATTTCATTTTTTAGAAAACGTTTCTCTCTCAATTCCTGAATGCCAGGACAGATCGGACACTCTGTACCTTCGAAGGAGCAACTTCGCAAGTGTTGGCCTTAATGACTACTAATTATGCGATTCTATATTGGCAGTAGAGTCGATTTGCCTGAGAATTAGTGTGGTGTCGTGGAAGTACTTGCTCGCCTGGTAAAATTAATGGTCGCTCTAGCGGCCCGTTCCTAATAAAACTACCTGTTAGTTAATTATTCCTAATTACTCCGAATAAATGCGGCATGACCGATCCTAGCGAGGAAGCGAGACAAGAGGATGCAACATAACTTAAAAACCAGACCTAAGGTACCTTTACAAACGTCATTATGTGCAGTCATCAAGAATCTTTGAGCATTTTTCATGATTTAGGACCGGGCTAGCTAAAAAGGGATAAACATTTACCGACTTTTACTTGTCTAATCTCCCGCCAGAGGGTGAATTTCCCTTTTTTTTTTCAGGGACAATTCACCGAAATTGTAATTCAAGAGGCGGGAAGGGATTAGCAAAATCATGTTTTAGGTACGCAAGACTTTCGAGCCAACCCGACGGAAAGAATGGAGAAATGCAAATTGAGGATAGTGGAAACTTTCCGAGTTCCCACCAGTTCCAGAGCGGACCTGGTGCACGGGGTGCCCGGAGACGCGGGGATCGTTCAGGACGATTGGTTGGCAGTCGGCTTGGCTTTAGACTTACGACCTAAGAGTTTGCGGAAGGACGAGGTCCACCTGGACCTGGTGAATCCTGCGGACCTGTGACCGTCGATTTCGCTGCCCGACGATTCGCTGATCTTCCGACTGTTGCTGCCGCCCTCGTAGGATCGCGATCGCCTGTCCCCCGTTTCCGACGAGAACCTGAAACAAACCAACAAACTGTAATTTCCTCCCCTCGAGATGATACACAAAAGCTTAGAGGAATTAATTACCCCGAGTCGGAAGAAAACGCCCTGGCGGTCGGAGGGGCACTCGAGGAGTTCGCAGAGGACAGGGAGACCTCGGCCACAGGGGTGCTGGGGAAAGCTTCGTCTTCGGAACTGCTGCTGGAGTCGTCGATGAAGCTGATCCCCCGGTCAAGGGGTGAACTCGTCCTGAGGGGCGGCAAAGCTGCAGGAGTGCTGGGACGCAGCCAAGTGCGGAAGTCCTGCAGAGGTGCTTGAAGGCACTTGAAGAGTTTCCCACTGAAACGAGTCGGTATCCATTTTCAAAAACGCAAATGGACCCCTCAACTTATAAACATTATTCACCCTATGACTATCAACCGACGCCATTTTGGTTGTAGTCTAGGCTAAGCCAAGGAACTGGTGCCCAAAAAATCCAAGTGTTCGCTCCCCTTGAATTCTCAATAAATCGTAAAAAATGAATTATGCTTACTCGTCGCGGATGTCGTCGACGTCGCCGAAGGTGCGCTTCGCGTAGAGGCATACCGAGCATCTTCTCCGTCGCCTGCAAGAAGTGGCATGCAGCGCCGCGGCGCGGAGGTGTCGCGCGGCGTGTCTTAAGGTAGCAGCCTCGTGGGTGAGCGCCGCGACGCCCTCCTCCCGGCGACGTCGCTCCGCACCAAGCTCGCCCTGTTCGGCTCTCAGTTTCTCCTTCAGCGTCTCGTTCTGAAAATCCAGGATAAAAAAAAAACACACACAAACGACCTCATGTAGATTCGGGGGGAGTACACGCCATCGTACTTTCTCCGGCCTGTAATCACAGCCGGCGAAAGTAAGGTGTATTAATATCACACACCGTGTACATCGGTTTTCCGCAGACGCGGAACGGAGAAGAATTATACAAAGAATTATTAAAGAATTATCGAGGATATTAAAGCGGTGGTCGCTCTCTTGCCATATCCAGGCTTTCCTGTTCCCAGAAGAGGACGATCAGCTCTATTCGCGGAACTGGATCGTGACTTCATCTATCCTGAATCGATCATCAGCTTCCTCGTGGCTACTCTCTACTATTTACTCGGTAATCGGATGTCTCCGTTTACCGAGGATCGAACGAGATCGAATGATCTTAGGGTAAACTAGGGGATATGTCCTCTGGGTCGCTGAAATTCTCCCTCTATGATATTTAACGAGATACCCCAAGCCATCTAACTAAAGAAGTATGAACCTGAACTTCCGACATTTGTTTATACGTAACTATTTGTCTGTTAACGCGTTACTAATTTTATAACTTCGTTTATAACCGATATCAACCGCGTGAGGTACTTTCGGAATAGTACAGAACAGCCTAACTTAATTTGCGATTTATCGACCAACGCACTTGCGTTCTCGACTCTCTTCCTAGGCATCGAGAACCCTAACCTAACAAATAGGCATAGAGCCGTAATATCTCAATTAATGATCTCGCGAAAGAGAACGCCGCTCTTGCAAACGAGCCCTCTTAAACGACCTTGCGGAAGAGAAAGAAGATGGCCCGAGGAGAAAGTCGAGCACCGACCAGGGACGCAATTACCGGGAATTACCGGCGTCTTATCGCAGGATTTACCCGGTTTCCGGGACCGGCTCTTTTTAATTCCCCTGCGTGGGACAGTCGCGAAATTCCCAGACTCGAGATTAACACCATCGGCTTTCTCCAGGGAGAGAAAGACGACCGCAACTTTGCATCCGACGTGTTATGATCGAGGTTTATACGATACCATAGCGTGTACACTGGGAGACATCAATGCCCTCCCAACCTGCACAGGCGATGTCGCATCTGCAGGGGAGGCGTTCATGTCCGCCATTGTACCTCGGCGATGAGAAGAGTCGAGAAGACAAGCGTGGAAAACCAAAGAGAGAGCAAAAATCGTCAAGGTGAAAACCCCCACAAATCAGTCAATTTTAATAAGAGACTTTTTCTTTTAAGGGTATTGCAACTCTCGCGAGCGTTCGGCGACCCAGGGATTTTTTACGCGCATCTGTTCCTATCATCGTTCGAGGAAATTGATTATCTAGAGGTTAAATCGCTTCGATAACAGGTAAGCGAAGATAATCGGGAAAAGTGGGGGCTGCTCGATCTTCCGAGCCGGTTCCGCAAACAAGTTCCACCGTCAATGAAAATAAGAACCGGCGTAGATCTAGAAGAAGTCGTTCCGTGGTCGCGGTTCGATGCGCCATTATCGGTCGATTCTTCATATCGACGTGTTTTAGTGAGTGTTAGCCCTACACCGGGGTGTGCGTTATGTATTCCCCCTCGTAAAAAAGGGGGAGCGGAAAGGAAGACGGCCGCCGAGGGGGTTCACGTACCTCCCGCTCGAGAGCGTCGCGCTCGGCGCGGATGACGGTGGCCTGGCGGACGACGTCCTGGCGCGCGCGCTCCAGGGACCTCCTGGTGATCTCGTTCTGCGTGGCCTGCAGCTGCAGCTGCCTCAAGGTCGCCGCCTGCTGGCACTCTAGCTGGTCCCGCGCAGCTATGCAGGCGTCCCGGTCGGCCCTGACGCGCTCCAGCTCGTCCTCTAGGCGTAGACTCCGCTCCAGCTGCAGGAAGAGCTCCTCCTCCTTATCCCGCAGCTCGGCCTCGCAGCCCTCCAGTCGCTTCTCCAGGAGTTGCCGCGTCTCCTCCAGCCTCTCTCTCTCGGCCTGCAAAAGAAAAAAAAAGAAACGTTCCTCAATGGCAGGATCTAACTTACCCCAATTCCCATTCTAACATGTTACAGAGGCGAAAGTTTTAGCAAGACTCATTCTAAAATCATCCCCATTGTGCCAACCAACCCCAGTTCCCCGTATACCCCGGGTGCGAGTACCGCGTTACCCGTGCAAACTAAATCCAAGATGGCGCCCGCGTATCGGGGGTAATCCAGAAGAGGCGGCGTCCGTTTCCCCGGGGCGGACCGGAAGCCGGCTCATCTCGGCACGTCCGATCGGTCCTATTACTCGCTCGAGTAGAACTGGCCGGCATTACGCCTCGTGTGTACACGCGTTCGCGTGTATATACTCATCGCGCGTGCATGCACCGCCGACGAGTGGATCCGCTCGACGAAGCGGGCGCGCCTACTTCCACGTCCGCGTCCTAAGAATCCCGAAGTCGCCCGTTATCTCGTATTGGGTTTCAGGGAGCGGCCGTCCGTGATAGGGCACCGGGAAGGCGTTTCATTGGTTTCGCCATGGCTTTGCGAGCGATTCGCTTAAGAAGGATTTCGATCCGCCATTTTGAACCTGCCATCTTCGTTCCGCCATGGCTTTGCAATTGATTAGCGCAAGAAATTGTTGTGTCCCCCCAAAAAGAGTAAAGAAGACTAGTTTAAATCAACGATACACATTTGTTACGGTTAACTAATCCTTTTTTCTCAGTCTAGGAAGTAAATCTTCCGATCGGCGTAAGTTAAGCCCAAGGGAACGCGGACGAGGCTCGTCGCGAGAACGCGGCAAGAAATGTCGCAGCTATTTCGAAGCGTCTAGACCAGCGGAAACTAGAATAAACCCCGTGCGAGATGTCCGCAAGTCCAGCGGGACGTTTTCCGCCTCCGGGGGGAAAATAGCGAGGCATTTGCACGCGTTAACCGAGGTCTTCCTGGGACTTTAGCTCTACCTCCGCGAGCCAAGATGGCGGCCACGGATAGAAGCAGAACGCCCATATCTCAATTTGAAATTTCCCCCGAAAAAAATCTGACCTTTCGTATATATTCTCTTAAGAAGACCTTCCTCAGCTTGGAAATTGGGAAGGTTTTCGAAAGTTTAGACACGAAAAGACTCCGTCGAAGGAACGAGACGCACCTAAGAAGCGATCGGCGTTTGATAGAAAGCTGTAAATATGGAACGCATCTGCCCCGACGACTAGTTCGATTCCCGGTAGAAATTCAGGTTATTACGGGCCAGCTTCCGTTCGCGCGCGAAAAGTATGCCGTATCGGAATTCGATGGAAACCTGCTCTCGGGGACGTCCTGCATAGGACACTAGTCTCATCCCAGGAGGTTAGGGATGCCCGACATTCCGCGACTTCCAGGTAATGGACGTCGCGATACCAGAGATGAGCGAGATGTGGAGTTTGCGCTCGCACGTTCCACTGTTACAGTTTATTACAGTTTGTTACAGTTTCCCCCGAGTTGGCCGAGGAAGGGGGGTAATTATCCCGGTCGTAGGTGGCTCATCCACGGTACTGTTAAACCACGGCCTCGAAACACCAGGTGAGGTCACCAGCTCTCACGGTCTGGTGAACACCTCGGAGAGAACGCTGCAGGCTTCGCTCTGCAAGACCCGAATCGATACCCTAGCCGATCGATCTCCAATCTAGCTGATAAGATCCCCGATAGCTGACTCTTCCTCGAGTAAATTGATTTCTTCAAACCGTTAAGGGGATGTGAAAGTGGCGTCAAAGAGATTTTCTTTATAAAGCTTTTCTCCCACCTCGATCTACATATTAGTATGAAACTTTACAACGTGAATAGGGAGACCATGAGGAAGATCCTGAGACTCATGAAATTTCAATTATTTTCATATTTGTCTATAAATATTTTTAAAATAGTTAATAAAAAATTTAATTTCGCGGGATTCGAAGTATGAAACGATTTGAGACACCCAGCTCGTAGGAAAGTATTATGAACGATTGAGCTTTCGGGTGCCACTTTATCATCCCCTTAATGAAATCTTTTTTAAAACACTTTTCAATATATACATATTGTACATTTTGCTTAGCAGATTTCCTTCCTTTGTAGAGAAGCAGATCTCGGAAATTGTGGAAATGACTCAGAGGAAGGCCGGGCAGTCCTGGAATTAAGTCCCTAGATTGTCCCTAGAGAATCCCAGGAAGGTCCTGGTAATAAAATCAGGGGGCAAGAATAACATCCCTTGTAAAGTCTCGAGCTACCTCAATTGTAAAGAGGATTATATTCCGCCGGAAATTCTACCTGGCTACGAGTGAACCTTTCGAAAATTTCCAAATTTCGAGCCTCCTTCGAACACTTCAAGGTCCCGGATAAAAGTAAATCCTGATCTCGACCGTGCCGAGTTCCCGAAAATTTGTCCTCTCAATTGTAACGCCCTAAACCAGGGTCTAACGCAAGGAAGAAGCTTTCCCTTTTATTACAATATTTCCCCAAAAGATATTGAATCTCGACGAGCATTTAAGGCGATGCGAAAGTCCCGTAGAAGGAAGTCTCATTTATGAAACTCTTCTCCGAACCGAGCATACCGAATTCATTCAAACTTTACAATATGTAAACGAAGGACCCTAAGGAAGGTCCTGATAAATCATGAAATTTCATTTTTAACATAATTTCCATACAGCTGTTTTCATAATTCATTCTAGATTTTTCATAAGGAATTTAATTTACCGAGTATCAAGACCTACCTCAACCTCTTTGATGGGACTTTTGTATCACCTTAGTGGTGTAAAGTGATATTAACCAATAAGAAATAGGAATTTCCCAGGTTCTAGGGATATCGAGAGGCGATTTAATTCCCCGATACGACTTCTAACCAGGAGGAGCTTTCTAACCGTCTCGAGATCGACATTGCTCGGTGTCCTGCAAAATCATTTGCGGATAGTAATTCGTCATTCCGTCGAAACGGGGAACGGACGTCGCGCTTTCCACGAGTCGTTAAAGCCACGTCCCGTACGGTTCCTATAACGGACGTTAAATTCCATTCTGTACCGAAGCACTTCTGCACTCTCGCGGCTGAGTTTCGCAACAAATATGTTATGCGCCACACGTCTTAAGGTTATTTTCACCGTTTTCTAATTTGCGAATATTATAGAAAAAAAAATAAAAAATAAATAGAACATCCCTCGGCAGAGTTTCGCGCCAAGTACACCCAGAGCGGTAAAACGCGTTCGCCTATTATTTCCCTAATTTCTTAACAAACACCCAGCCGCCCACCACAGTGCAACAAGTCCGGTCCTTTGCTAGAAAAAGCGAGGAAGAAAATAAAAAATAAAACAAAGACAAAGGAAGAACCCTGTCCTCAGTAGTTGGTTTTTCTCCCTCGCTTCCTGCTTGTGGTTTTCGCGTATAGCGTCCACCTCGAGTCGCGGTCTGGTTCCCCGTTTTTTTTCTCCTCTTCGTCTTTTTTTTTTTTCACGCTCCCCGGTGCAAACAAAACCGAAGGGAACCTCGGAGAGGAGAGAAGGACGGAAAGACGGAAGAACCGGGCATCCGGAAAGGAAAAGGAGACCCGCCCGAAGGAACTAACCGTCGATGGGAAACGTATCGGGAGGTTCGCGTGCCCGAGTCTCTTTACGGTCGTAGTGGCCGATGAAAAACATCTCAAAGTCCCCACCGGTAGAGGAAGAAAGAGGAAAGGACGAGAAAAGGAGAGGGAAATACTCGACCCTGTACGGAAACAACCTCGGAGAGTCGATCGATCGAAATGTTCCCACGAGGCATCCTCTCTCTCCCTCTTCCCTCTTATTCCGGAGTTCTACTTCGATTTTTTTTTCTCCCCCCCCCCCCTTCTTTCGGCATCCATACTACTTACACATTTTTTTTTCTACGTTTAACAATTTTTTTTTTTTACCGTGAAGCACCTAAGTCGCGGCCGTTCCGTATAATTGACGATTCTAAAAAGGTTCAAGGACTACCGGTTTTTTTTTTATATATCCGGATTGAATGTTATCTCGAGACGCGTTTCAAATTGCGATTACGACGATAAAGGAACCTGAGATCATGCCTATAATCGCGATCGATCGATTTCCGTGCCTCGAATCATTTAAGACTTTAAATTTGAAACCGCTGAATCGAATTTCTTAATCCCACAAAAGATCTAGATGGTTAAATTGTTATCAGATCACAGAATAGGAGGTGTTTCGGGTTATCGTTTCACAAAGACTTACCTCTACCTATCGATAGATCGATATACGATATGACCCCGACCGATCTCGACCCCGGCGAGAAAGTTAAGTCCGCCGCGTCTGGGCGCAAACTTTCGTATCGTTAACAATGCGGTAAAAGCGTACACTGATGCAATTGCACTAGCCGGAGAAAAAGTTAAAGTATAAAAAAGAAAAAGATTCTCCGATAGTCCGCCACCCCGAGAGAAAATTCCGATTTAAATATAATATTATACCCAGTTGTAGGGTAAAAGGGCGAAATAGGAAGAGAAACAAAATGGCGGCCGTCTCCTTAGAACTCGCGCTTAAGTTACTCTACATACTGATCTAATTCGAGGCCGTGACGAATCGTACCCCCTCGGGGAAGGGAGGGAATCCCGCTAAAACTGTCCCGGAAAAATGTCCCTCAAAACGACCTCCGCCAGCGAAAAGACAAACTGACGTAAAAATGAAAAAAAAAAAAAGAGAGAAAAAAAGAAATTGAATTTTCAGGACTTTCGCGACCTTCCTTATATCCTCAATATTAATATTGTTAAGTGTAACATGTATGGCGATAAGCAAACTGTACCGCCAAAATGTTTCTGGAAAACTAAGAAAAAATAAAAAAGAAAGATGGAGACAAAGGGGGACATTACAATGAGACGCGCCGAAAGTGTCCTATTGTCTCGTGGGGTCTCTTTACGGAAATCTCCTCCTCCGAGATGCAAATCACGAAATCGGGGAATTGTTCCTTGGCCGAGTAACACGGGCACGACTTCTAGTACGTGTCTCGACGAACAATGTGAACAAAACGCGAGGATACCGTTTCGAACGGGACGTTTGTCCTTCGAGTTCATCCTTTGACATGAAAGGATCGCATCTGATATAAAATAATCTTTACACGAATTTTAGAATAAATTTTCACGAACAGATTCAAAGGAAATTAACCCTTTGCAGTGGTATTAAATTTAAGGAAAGGAGTTTTTATTGCTGAGGATAGACATACAACCGCAAAGGGTTAAACTTCATGGATGTTGGCTCGGAGACTCCATATTCGCATGGTGAAATTTCAAACGACTCGGTACACCGACTTAGGAAATAAGTTGTATAAATATTTTAACCTTGTATACGTGTATGTATTTAGAATGATCCTTTCATGTCGCCTTAAATAAAAATGTCCGAGCCTAATTCACACACCTTGACTTCGTGATAACGTTCCTCGAGATAGTAGGCGATGCCTCGAGCCTCTTCGTATCTTGCTGCGAGTGCCACATACTTGTCGTAATGCCGTTTGAACAAGACGAATCTGCAACAATGTAAATAAAGTAGTATTTAGTATTAATTTATTATTAAAATAATATATATATATTGAATGACCCTTTCATATCAGTTTAAACGACAACTCGAAGGCACAAAGACTTATTGATCGTTCCGTCACTGGAAGAGGCAAGACCCTGAACTTGATCGGGAAGAAAAGGTGCACTTGAGCATTTAAAAAGCAACCACTCGAGAGCCAATAATGCGGCTACCAGTCGATTATTTCCTGGCAATTCTACGTCCGGATAAGGCAATCTTATCGGCCTAATAATTCTAATCTCTATATTTAAGAGTCTCTTGAAATGACTAATTACCTGTAGAGGTCGTTCTCAGTGACGATGTCGCGAATAGAATCCTCGGGATCCACTCGATCCGCCAATGCCCCAGGAGAGCCGGCAGCTCTCGGAGGAAGAGAACATGGAGGACAAGCTCCGCACTCTCGCAGAGCGGTGGCTGCTACGAGGTCATCCTCCGAAGCGGTCGCCAGAAGAGGACTCGGCGTCCTGGTAGTTGCAGAGCCCAGTAAGTCTTCGCTCCTGGAATGACGCATCTCCGAATTCCTGTACATGCCGGCAGAACTATTCCTGAAGATGACATCCCCGGTGCTAGTCGTTCCTCCAGCTGAACCAGGAAATCCACCACTGGCAAGTCCGATCAATAAGTCCGTCATCGATAGACGATTCTCTTATTTACGATCCGTATCGAAGCGGCACGACTTTTACTTTCTAGCCTATTCCTGATTTAACAGTCTTTGTTATCTCGTCTACTCGAATATCTCGGGATAATGAAATTCGATATCGTGACTTCCACTGTCAACAGTGGTAACATTTTCACGTATCGTTCTTATCCCGGAAGTGGAGGGTCGATCTGGATTTATTACAATTCCGTAGCCTTGTACATTAAAAATTCCACACACGGTAATCCGTGTTTACAATTCCAGAATTAATCTCACAACCTCGGTTAACAGGCACCAAAGCATATTCAAAGGACTCGATTAGTTACGCAAAATACAAATCTGCATTAATCCAAGTCCTCTGCCAGGAGTGTACGCTTCTCAATTTCCTTGGTAATCTTGCGCGCAGGAGTTATCTTCGCTTTTCTATATAATGACGTGCAGTGAATACAGCAAGCTGGCGGGACTCCAAAAATCCTTAATACGGTACAATTACCGTGAAAAATTCAATTCCTGGCGAACGGTATTCGTAAAATTCCCTGATGCGGTCTAGCAGATTCCACAATTCCGTAGTCCACGGTTCCTGGAAACACTTTTTCACTGCTGCACTACCGGAGCCGATCAACGTTAGAGAGAACTTCACTTCGGCTTCATTCGGCCACTTTTTTGAAAGCTAAAAACTCTTCTAATAAAGTACCGTGGACCTTCAGGTAGCGTTCGAGTTAGCACGAATTTCGGTGAATTACGTCCGCGTCGTGCTCAACGAATCTCGACCAGTAAAAACCGTCTTCAACCGACTAACGAACCGACCGCGACCACTGTAGACTGCAGACTGAAGTAGCGTTCCGTTCAGGCGGGAGCGAATAAAGATGGCGGCGCACAGCAGCGCACCTAGGGGTCGATTCTGTAACTCTTCTATAATGATTTTGTAACTTTCACTATAGTAAAAATGTGAGATCACTCGACGAGTTATTCGGTCTAGAGATCTCACATTTTCACTTAGAGAAGAGGAGCGAATAAACTCATGTCAGATGACAATGCGAGAAATGAAAACTTTCACCAAAGATACGGAATAGGACCCCTGGAGGCGCAGCTTACTAAATATATAATAATTAGTAAAAAAGAGAGATTCTAAATCATTTCTGAACTATCAGCGCCTCTAGCGGTCAGTTTTTAATCTGCAGCAAGATGCCTTAATAACACGTCTACCCCATCTACTAGAGTTACTTAACCTATTCACAAAACCATGCTTGCGTTTCTTGCCACGTGTTTTTAAATGTAAAAAACAGTCATTAAACATGTTCCTTTTCCCCATAATTAGTTAAATATTACAACTAATTAGATACTCCTCGAAATAATAAGTTTGGACATGTATAGGTTATATTAATAATACGGATATAAATAAATTCATAGTGTAATAACTGAACTATAGTAACATTAGAAATAGATGTAAAGAGTAATGAAAGAACTATGAATATAAAAGAGGAAAAACTGACCGACGAAGAAGATGGAGAATTTTATTTCGAGTCGGATCATTTAGCACTGAAAGGAAACAAGGATTATTGTTCCCTTTTAAAAACTATAGTTATATTACAATCTCAAAGAACACAAGCAATTCATGACTTAGACAAGCTTCTAGCATGTCAAGCTAAGGCGATACAGGATCCAATTTCATTTGTGGCACAACTGCAAAGCGGAGACCTTCCAGAGTTTCCGGGACCACAACAGGTTCCGGAGATCCCTTACATCGATTGGTCACAATACAATGTCAATTTACCGAACAATCCGTTACGTCCACAGACACGACACGGTCAAATTCTTCCTCAAGTGCAGATGAAGTCAGAACAGGACGATGGAAAGGTATATTATAGTAGAAGAATAATTTTCGATAAGAATAGTGCCGTATAAATTGTGTTCACTATTTTTCTATGTCAATCTCTAGTTCTAACTACCGATGGCGGTTTCATTTAATTTTTATCTTTCAGATTTTAGTAAGAGGTCGTGCTTTCGATCAAAGTAAACCGGAAACGTTTAACCAGTTGTGGACAGCAGAAGAGCAGAGACGATTAGAGGAACTTTTAATAGAGTATCCACCGGAAGAAGTGGAAATGCGTCGGTGGACCAAGATAGCCAATGCATTGGGTAAGACCATTTAATGCATGTACAAGTTAAATTTAATCCTTTCCTAATTCGATCCTTTATAGGAAATCGTACACCGAAGCAAGTATCTAGCCGAGTACAAAAATACTTTATCAAATTGTTACGTGCTGGTCTACCAATCCCTGGGAGAGGTCCGAAGATGAAATTGGATGCTAAGAAGAGTGTAAGCCATCGACATCAACGCAATAATTATTTACTATTTAAACGGTCGACCTTCTTCCCTCACAACGATCTATCATTTGCCATTGGTGAAAATGCTAAAAAGCACTCAAACACAGAGGAATCGGTTTGTACATTGATCTTAAATGTAGGACATAAGAGAACTTAAGAGAATATATGAAATAACTTAATTCTGAACTCAAGGAGGATGACTTTGGGAATGTAAAAATGGAGGATGGTGCGGAACTCCTACGTAGAGTGAAGTCTGAAACTAAAGAGGAATCTTCTTCGTCGTATCAACACTTTGGATACAAGGTAAAGTTTGAACCAAATTAAACGTACGATAAGAACTAACAAAGAAAAGACCTATGTAGATAGCTAGTAGAAGTTTGATAAAGCAATCAAACGATTTCCATGCATTTGCAGTGCATTTCTTGTGGAGAAGAACCGCTGAAGGGCACACGATGGAGATGCACAGAATGTCCTGAAGGAGTTGACTTGTGTGCCGACTGTGCAATTGTTCAAATGGAAGCTGAAAATCCAGTACATCCTCCGACCCACAAGTTGACTGCAATTTGTGCCCAACAGGTCACGAAAAATTACGATACGGACTACTTTCCACATAGTTTCAACGGTTCATCGTACAATTATCTAGATCCAAATTTTCTACCGGAATAGTGTACCACGTTTTCTATTGCTACAATAAATACGTAAAATATGTACCCAAAACTTATACTCTAATCAGTAAATCCACGTATTAATTATTAAAAAAGTGCACCCATAATAGAAAATTAATTTTCTAAAGGAACTATGTAGAGTTTACTTTTCAGGATTTGGTAGAAAACGTGAACGTATCTTCTCCTGGAATTCCGTGAATGTACCCTGCTTTAAGTGATCTCTAATAGCTTCGAAAAATCGAAGGTACTGATGTAGGTTATGTCTGTAAAAAAAAATTAATAGTGATGTTATTAAATATGCGTTAAAATATTTCTAGAGATTCAGATTATACGTACATCATCAAAAGCACCATGCAGAGCAGCTCTTTGGTGTGGCAAAGGTGGTTGATGTAAGCCCGTGAGTGATTCCGACAAGTTAAGCACTCACAGGAATTGCAAATAGGTGAAAAGTCATCTGCATATCTGTTTATATATATGATATTATTATCATAGTACTTGTTTATAGATAACGATAATGCTCATGTGTAGATATTTTAGAAGCAAGCAGAAATTAATTACCGTTTTTCTGCGACAGATATTGTATGTTTCGAAATGCCATTACTAATATGGTGATGGTCGCACATAAAAATCAATGCCTGAAACGACTCCGTCATTAAGTACGGGTACGATGAGTCAAACACGTCTACTCCTAACTCGATTAAATCTAGTACAGTCGTTGGATTCCAACTTCCCATTGATACTCGAAGCTTGTCCGAGGGTAACCTGTCCTGCAATAAGATAGCCTGTCCTGTAACTTAATTGTAATTATTTCAATGTATGCATATGTTGATTATTTAATACTTACAATGGTATATTGGATCACGTCTTTAACTTCTTTTATCATAATGTTTTGTACATCAGGTCCATTATTATGTAAGCCATCTATTATAAATCCCGTTAAAGGTTTATTCTCTAAATGTTTTATGGATGCCTCGCGAGCGTTTAAATTATATCCACCCTCAACTGCTCCTAATATAGACTTTGATTTTAATACTTCGGAAGAATTATGCCTCTGTAAACATTGCTCCAGAAACATTTTACTTCGCTCCACTGCTTTTGATATTCTTTTTGAGCTACTGGTGGAATTTGTATCGCCGTCGCAAAGTGCCACGTATAAATCAGGCTTATAAGCCTCAACGATATCCATATACTTATCCGGTGTTAAAGTATACCTTCCACTTTTTGACCAAATGGAAACAGAATTCTTTATCTGCCCACCACTTTGTGTTGTATATGCAGGATCTTGAATCGAAAGGAATGTGGAATACTCCTGTAAAGAAACGATTAAAAATCATGTAATCAAATTATTTGAAATAATTGACTTCTTTCTCATGCTCATATAACATACCTTTAATCCAACAAACTCGCTGAAGGAATTGACTTGTTTCACGCTTTCACTCATGATTATTGTTGTCGGTAATGATATGGATAGCAAATGTTGGTCAGTTGTTACTTTCTTCAAGACATCTTTTGTTAAATGTGGAATACTGCCTCTCTAAAACAATTTGTTTTGCATTAGAATGTCAGAAATGTTAGAATAACGATATAATGTATTACCTTTGTATAAAGCAATAGTAGCGGAGTTTGTAGATTTACATTGGGACTTCGATCTAAACTCATTAAAGTCCCTAGACGTGCTTTGCAGTGTATCGCTGATTCAGGTAAAAACTTCATCCTTTTTCAAGTTTAATTTCACTTAGAAAAATCAGATGAAAACACAACAATTATATTCTACTCGATACCCATCTTCACCTATGAGAGTATCGCCCATTCCTACAAACTCTGGAAATTAAACATTTCCATTTAAGACGAATATGTAGATGAAATAATTATTCTAAATGAAGAAAAAGGGCTAATACTGATAATAGCATTTCTTTGCAGAATGCTTCTACATAAAACAAAAATGAGACATTAATAACCTCAACGATGGATAGATTTATATCATGGAACGTGTACACGTGATTTACCACGATTTACTAAATCCGGACCCGATAAATCCCGGATACAGGTGCATGATTTTTGTTTACAAATGGCCGAATAGAACTGTTTTACGAGCTCAATACATAATTATTAATAATAAGATATTATTGCGTGAACAAAATGGTGTATTTGCATTTTCCGTCGAATCTGACCGAAGAGGAGTTAATGTTGCAAGCGAAATACAATAAATTGAAGCGAAAGGTAAATCATCGTCGATGTGAATCTGGATGTAGAGGTTATGTTGATGTTTATTATTCTCGTATAGAGCTGTTAATTAGAGGTAACATCTCATTACGGCCAGCGCAGTTAGTTCCAGATATATTCCTTAAATATTCACGGTAATAACTAATTCAGTATAATTTTATTTTGTATTAGAAAAAAGCACTGCAAGACCTGAAGACACCAAAGCTGGAACCAGAACGTATACCACAAGCTCCTAAAAGACCAACAGAAGCGAGAGACGCTCGGGAGATTGCAAAGAAATTAATAAAGTCTGGAGTTATAACTGCGCCAAAAACGCCGAAGCGTCCTGAACAGTCGTTCAAGAGACCCAGAGGTCTCGAGAGGAAGTTGAACAGTACGGAGAAGACGGTGTGTTCTTATCAACCTTTTTCGGCAACACAGCCAGAAGAAGAGGATATCGAAACTTCTAGGCCAAGAGTTAAGGATTTGTACGACAGTTTTGTAAGCGCCGAAGATCCAGAAAACAGAGGAACGACCGATAAACCTGCAGTGGAGAAAGTAGAAATAAAGCCCCGTATTGGAAATACAATATTTGTTTGCGGGTATAAAATATCCGAGGACTTCTTGAAGAAGCACTTTCAAACGTTTGGAGCTATCGTTAATATCTCAATGGAGAGCGAAAAGAAGTGAGTGAAACCTGATTTCCTTGTAAATACGTTTACCAATCGAAGTTTAAGGCTAAGTCTTGTTGGATGTAGTGAATTTACAGTTAGCTTTATATTAAGGAATATCGATGATTTAATATTTATAATTTCAGTCGTGGCTTTATAACATTCGATAAATCTGAAGCGGCCGAAAGAGCGATCAGTGAGATGGATGGGAGTATGGTCTCTTCGAAACAATTGGAGGTTTCGTTAGCTCGAAGACAGCCAGTTATCGATCCAATAAACGATGTTACGTCCAGTGCAGTGTGGTCTACGATAGCAGCCAGCTACTCCCAGAAAAGTGCTCATAAAGATCGACGAGAACTAAAAGTTTACGAAGAGGATTTATTTGAATGAATGTTGGCACAGGTGATCTAAGTTTTTCAATCTATCCGCAAGAGTTAACCATTTGGCGTCGACTGAGCTAAAAAGTATATTTATAATTGAGAGTTTGTTAAATATGTTAACGATTAAGATTTATTTAAGAGCGAATCGACCGAAATGTAATATACTCATAGTGGAAATAAATTCCATCCTTTATATTAATTAAATCGATCTTTCTTGGACGTAGTACACTAAACAACCGACATATATGTGTCCAATAAACTGCCAAAACTAACTTGTCAACGATCCAGCTGCAAAGAATGGCAGCGATGCCAACTGAATGTCTTCGATCTCATCGTCACCAGAGCCAACTCCACTGAAACGCAACTTGCAACAAGAATAACCATGAAGGTATTGTAAAATATATCTTTATTGTTGCATTCGTATTTTCACTCTTGCTTTTTGTACATTTCGCATTACGCGGCGACATTGGTGAATAAATAATAGGATTCGGATTATGCATATCCGCGAAGAGCGGGATAATCTCAATACGATCGTCAGGATCGCGTATCGACGGATTCAAAGAACGCAAGGTGATTGATTTGCACTAATTCATACGTTTATTAAAATGTAATCTTCAACAAATCTATCCTTTTCCCTTTTTTCTTCTTTAACGATCGAACCGTCCTCTCAACAACGACCTTAGAAACGTGAACACGTTCGTTATATAAAATGATATTACAACGAATCTATGGCTGAGGGTGGAAACGAAGGGTACAGGCGAAGAGTAGGATGCAAATAAATAATTATCTAGGCAATTTGTCGGGGTAAAGGAGGTCTAGGCGTTGAAAGAAGACGTTGGAGCACCATCATCGGACCGCCTAACTCCTGCTGATTGCTGAGCATTTACGAGATACATCTGAAATATATGGAGGTTTCAGCGACTTATTTCAGAAGATAGAAATAGTCCTAGGAGCGATGTAGTAAATAAATCCAGAATAATCCCAGGGGACAATCTACTGCGGGGGGTTGAAGTAGTCCCAGTGATGATGATGCGTGACGGTACGCGGGCTACCGAAGCAGACGATAAGAAGTCCAGCAACGAGGAGCAACAAAGCGCACAAAGCCAGCTCGACCTCCCTGATCTTCTCCCTGGACTCTTCGGAGCTCATCCTGGTGCTGACGTATCCAACAAAGTGCCGCATGGCCCTGGTCCCGGCGAGTCGCAGGGCCCTCAGGAGTTGCTGGGTCGTGTCGACGATGTCCGGCTCCGGCTCGATCCTCGAGGATCGCGCCTCTCCGCCGAACACCGTCGGCGAGGCCAAGGAGAAGAACTGCGCCGGGATCTGGGAGGAAGGAAACGCTATGAACTGTGTGGTTTGTCCAGGAACCGAGGGCACCGGCGACTGAGAGTCCTCCCGGGTGTCTCTGCCGATCTCCTCGACGGCTTCCTGGGAGTACGAGATGACGGCACGTTGAGGCTGTGCCTCGGAGCGGACGACCTGGCTAGGGACCGTGTCGGTTCTGTCCGGAGTCACGGAGATGACCGGGGGCATAGACTTGACGGGGGAAGCTGTCTGGCGAACCGGTGCGTTTCTGCTGGGCGACGACGACCTGGACCTGGACGTCGACCTGGCGCGTCTGGTTCGCTGCTGTTCGACGTCCGAGTCGGCAATGGCTTCTGTGATTTTTGGGTCATCAGGGGAAATGGTCTTTGGCTCGTCTGGGGATGTTTCAGCGGTGTACGCGACCTCGACCTGGGGTTTTGGTTCCGAAGCAGGTTGCCGCAGATCCTCTGTTGAAGCACGGGCATCCGGAGGCAACCGGGACCTTATCTCTTGCTGCTTGTCTTCTAGGACTCTCAGGGTCTCCTTCTCGTGGTCACCGTCGCTCAAATGAGCGTCCTGCAGGGACGATATCAATCCGTCCACATTTTGCCCCACGGATGATCGTTCGATAGTCGGCCTGGGTGATTCCGTTGTAGCTCTCGAGGTAAGGACGGCTTCGAAGGGCGCCGGCCTAACTTGCTGCTGGGCAGCTGCAACGGCCTCCAAGTGGCTCCTGATGGCGATCAGCTCCCGTAGGAGAGAAGGGTGCAGGCTCGTGTCTACACTTAGGGGAGTTGCCACCTCGGAGGCGGATATCACGGTAGTGTCTAGCTCCGACGCTGAGATCTTCTGGGCATCCAGCTGAGAGACGCTCAGTCTGTCCACTCGAAGGTCTCCGACTTCCAGGCTGGTGACTCTCAGGGAATCCTCCACTCCCGCCGAAGGAGTTGGCGCACGCTCCTGAGTTCTCTCCGTCTCGGTCGGTACGCGTCGTTCTTGCGCAGCACTCTCGATCGGCGTGTCTTCGGGGACGTCTGGAGATGGAGAACGCTCTTCGCGTCTCAGGTCGGATAAAATAGGGAAAGCAGGTATGGACGCAGCAGCGGAGAGCTGGCTAGGGCTAGGGATGCGCTCCATCGAGACAAGGATCTGTGACCCCGTCCTGGACGGAGCCACCACCAGCTTCGCTTGGGTGATCTCCTCCTCGATCACAAGGTCATCGGGAAGAGGATCGGTTTGCGTAGAAGCCACGACTTCCGTAGCCACAGTTCCACGCAAGGCATCCGCGGATCTGTCCCTGGGACGGTCCATGGAGTCTCTTCGGACCCTCGGAGGCCTCGGAGGAGCTGGAAGCGGACGGCCTTGCATTCTGCTCAGGACCTCGCCGCTTCTCAAGTCCTTCAGCTCGCTCTCGTCGGAGTCCAGCTCCACGTAGGGCGTGGAGCCGCGGAACTCCATCGCGGAACTCGTCCTGGAGGGCCCTAGGGTGCTGTAAGCTCTGATCGGTCTGGTGGGTGCGGACTGTCTGGGCGTCGTCGAGAACTTGTTCCGCTTTCTTCTAGGGGGAGGCGGTCTGGGAGGCTTCTCCCGTTTATCGATGGTCGCGTACCCTGGAAGATCCCTGGAGACCGTATCCTCCCGTGGGAAGTCTTCGTCGTAACCGAACTCCGGCAACGACTCGGCACCCCGCGACGTCCGGTCGTCGTCCAGCGCGGCCAGCGACGTCGCTCTCGACCTGGAAAGCCTCTTCGGGGCGACGGGTGCTGGCTCTATGTAGTCCTGCTCGAGTCTCTTCAAGGCCTCTCTGTTCAGGACCGCCGAGGAGCCTCGATCTACATTCAAGGAAGCCAAGGATGTGGTCCTGGACCGTGACATCCTCTTCGGGGGCACTGGTGCAGGCTCTATGTAGTCGTGCTCGAGTCTCTTCAGGGTATCCCTGTTGAATATCGAAGACTGGCCCCGATCTATGGTCAACGAGGCCAGTGATGTCCTCGACCGGGATATCCTCTTTGGAGGGACTGGTCTAGATTCCGCATAGTCTCTGTCCAGCCTCCGCAGTGCGTCCTGGACCGTCGACTGGCTGCGCTCGAAGTTCAAGATCGCCAACGACGTCGCTCTAGACCTGGACATTCTTTTCGGTGGTATGGGGGTCGGTCTTCTGTTAATCTGCATGGTTTCAATTCCAGATGGGCCGCGGTCGACGTTCAAGGCCGCTAACGATGTCGCCCTCGATCTAGAAATCCTCTTCGGAGGAACTGGTGCTGGTCCCGTGTAACCTCCATCCATCTTCGAGAAGATCTGCCGGTCCCGAGCCGATGACGACTCGCGGTCCACGCGGTCCAGGGCTGCCAAGGACGTTGTCCTGGAACGAGATATCCTCTTCGGAGGTCTTGGGGTCGTTTCCATGTACTCGTGCACCAGTTCCTGGGGTAGGTCTTGCCTGGACTCTTTGCGGAAAGCCATATCTTCTGCCGCACCGCCATCACCGGCTTCCGTCCATTCCCTGTGTCCATTGCAGACGGTGCCGGTCCTCCGCGTCGCCTTCTTATCGACCTCCAGTTCGTCCCTCCCTCGTTTCCGGCGACGAGGAGCTATAGGGGGAGTCGAGCAGACAACGTCCTCCTGGTGAATCGAGTCCAGGTGAGATCGGCTACGAATGGACGACCTGGACTTCTTCCGCGTGGGTTTAACCACCACGATGTCATCCAACGGCTCCGTGGAGGGTTCATCCGCGTAAGTGAGCTCAGCTTGGTACAGAATGTGGTGCCTAGATGAAGCGTTTAAATCCTTTTCAGGATAGGGTGTGTCGTAATCGTGTTCCTCGATGCTTTCTCGGACACTGCGGTGGATGGACTCCATGGAGTCGTCCTTCCGCTTCCTCGTTGACCTCCTACTGGGTCTCTGAGGTGGAACCGACGAAAGACCAATGTCATCGTCAGCTAATGCGTTCCCGGTCGACCTGAACGCCTCCCGGATCTCCTTCGCCAGGGACCTACCTACGATCATGTCGTCTTGGCTGATGCCGCGCGCCCTGAGGAAGAACTCATCGGAATCGAGTTCCTCGATGACTCCTCGTCTCCTGCGATCGCAGGAGCTGCCGCTGGACTGCTGTTGCTCCCTATCGGAGGGCATGGATTCTTCCTGCTCCTCTTCCGCCGGCTCCTCTTCTTCCTCCTCCTCGGTCTTCACCGAGGTCGCGCTCTTGCTCTTCTCTCTGGGGTCCACGGGCAAGAAAGACGGTTCGTACAGCTTCTCGTGTTTGGAGACTCCGTTTTGGTGCTGAAAGGCGTCTTCCTTCTGCAGGTCATCGAGGTCCCCTTCGCGCCACTTCGTAGTGACCTCCACCACGTCTACGCCGTCCTCGGACTCGCGCAGGTACACGGCATGAGCCACCTGGTCGCCGTAGAGCCTGGGGTCGATCTTACCCCGGTCGAAGGAGTCCTCGAGCTTGAAGGACCTGTGTCTAGCTTCGTCGGAGTCTTCCTCGTACTCGTCGTAGCCCTGGGTGTCCTCTTTGTCCTCTCTGGACTCCTCCCAGGGCACGCGGTCTGGCTCATCCAGGGAGTCCTGCAACCTCAACGCGACCCTGGGCTCCTCCATGGAGGGCCGTCGCCAGGGTTTCGCCCTCTCGACCACGGTTCCTGGTTCGTCGTCCATGAAGTTCATGTCGTCGAAGCCCTGCGCCCAGCGCGCACTCAGCGGCACCGTCTTCCTCGCCCTGGGGAAGGTGGAGACCTCCGCTGACTGGGCCCGGGACTCCTTCGGGGACGAGGTCGTGTACTCGGTGCGCTTCTTCTTCTTGTCGAAGATCCGAGGGTACGTGCTGAAGTCGAAGATGTTCCTCTTGGACCCGGAGCTGGACCCTGTGGAGCGCTGCGAGCGCTGCTGGTCCTTCGGCTTCCGCGACCTGCTCAATCCTGGCAGGTGGATGTTGGGCTTCTTGATGCTGAAGCGGGACTTATCCGGGAAGCTGAACCGCGGCCTCTCTGGCAGGTGGAACTTGGATCTGTCCGGCAGGTTGAAGCGGGGTCGGTCCGGCAGGGAAAATCGAGGACGTTCCGGCAGGGAGGATCGCAGCCTCTCCATTCGCGTGCGCTTCTCCGTCCTTGGCTTCTCGGGCTTTGGACTCTTCGTCTTCTCGGGCTTCTGTCGTTCGCTCGGGCTGATGAAGGACGGACGCTGGATGCCTTTCAGCCGGGAACGCAGCTTCCCGGCCTGGCTCCGCAGGCGTTGAGGCAGACCCCGGGCTCCTCGTCGAAGGGGAAGCTCCTCCAGAGCCAACGAGTCTACCTGGAATCCACGTCAAACTGGTTATCATCCGTTAATGGTTAATTGTTAATCTTTGCTGCGACCCCGTAATTTGGGTCGCTATTGTCGGATCGGCAAAGAATTTGTTATAAACAAAAGGCAGGTTACACGCGACCAGAAGACATTACCTGGCTGGTGTTAACTTCTCCATCGGTTCTAGACTCGGTGCCCGGGGTCGCCGCGTCGAGGAACCGCTCCTCGAGTCTGTCCTGAAGCTGTTGGGCAGTTTCCTGTTCCTCGGAGGTGTCGACCGCTTCGCCGAGCTCTCTGCCTTCCATCGCGTTGTCCTCGATCTGACCATCCAGTGGAAGGACCACATCTCCGTCGAGGAGCAGCGTCGGTAAGTATTGTCCACGTCCGTCGAAGCTCTCGTCGCTGTCCGCGACGTGGGTCACGTCCGTGTCGGTGATCTTGACCACCGGGGCGATTTGGTGGCCAGGAGTCCGCGACGACGGCGAGGACGGTCTTGCGATCGGCTCGTACTCATGATCGCTGAGATAGGAAGTCATCTTTACTCTCTAGTCTAGGGACTTTTTACATCCAGCGGATATTCGGGAGGGTATTCGGTGGTAGCTGTGCCGAGAGTCTTGGTTCAGAGCTGTTCCTTTGAAATGCGCTTTCGATACCGACTCGTTTCGCAAGATAATGACGTAATGGAGTTTCATTCGGATTGTTTATATTAATTGTCCGTTACATAATTCTTGGTCTATTTCTTCGACCGAAAATCCCCATTAATCAGTTCCGCGGGACCTGGGAGACGATCCGCTAGGAGCGGAGGGACCGAGCGACTGGACTGTGGAGAACCAGGAGCTTCTCGGGGATCTATCTATAGCCACCCGGGATGAACCTTTAAATATAGCCGCGTTCCGCGCTGAAGCGAAGTTAAACCCGATACTCCTAAGCTCGTAGATCGGCCCAGGAGGAATCTCCCCCAAAAAGAATGAGAAAATCCGGCGAATAGACCAAAACGAGGTGGTGGACCCGGCGGGGAAGCGTTAGGTCAGACAAGGGTCAGACTAAAAAATGAGGATGCAGAGTTGGCTCGGAAGCATGCAGTCCAGACTCGGGTCGGACCAAATCGGGTTCATGCCCTGTGGTCTGCGAGAGTACGGCTTGGTTCTAATAGGATCATGAAAAGTTTACGACTTGGCACGCTGTTCGTCAAGCTTGGATCAGGTCAGACCGATCGTAGTGGTCTAGCGTCTTCAGGGAATTGGTGTATGCAGAGTGGCGAGGAAGCGTGTTCGACCTGACCTGGGTCAGGTCAAATCCATATATGCAGAGTTGGCACGAAAGCGGGTGTCGTCATACCCGGGTTTCAGGGCGTTCCTTTATTTACGCAGTGCCGACGTGCAAGCATTCACCCAGACACGAAATAACCACCCCAGGGTGGACGCGGAACCGCTGGGGGTGGCCGGTCTCGTGCCTACTCACCAGGGTACGATGACCACGTGCGACACCTGCGGCGGCGGCGTCTGCATGGCGGCCCTCGAGGACGGCCTGCCCACCAGGACTCGCCGTTCCGGCAGGAGCGAGTCGCTCTGGTAGTACTGGCAAGCACACCGCACCTCGCGTCCGAGGCTGGAGGTGGAGGATGCACGGGACGTGCGTGGCTTTTCCCGGTCCATCCCCACTCCCGCCCTCGGGGCTCCTCTTCCTTCTTCCTAGACTGCCACCTCCACCCCGGCGACCGCCTCCTCCTCGGAGAGGAGACCCCGAGCTCCCTGCCGTCCTCGACGTCGCCGCGTCGGGATCTGGCCGACCTGGCCGCGACTTCCACGAGACGTCGAGCCGTTACAAGCGCGATATTCTTAGACCGCTTTCCTATATTCCGTTACGGGTGGAGCTTTCTCGGCGGACTGAAGAGGGCCGTCGTCGCGCGAGTCTCCCCAGATAGAAATTCATGATCATCGCTTAATGAGGATAATCGATTAACAAATAATTTCCAGGAAGCATACTCGAGTCATGCGCCAGTTATGCCATGACCGACATTTATGTACTGAAAATTTATGGAAAATTTTGCATCACTGCTCTATCTGGGTCTTCTCCTCGGTTTTAGAGCGACGCATTGTTTCGACTCTCGATTATGTAGACCAGCACGCCGCCATGTTGAAAACATAGAGCTTATGTTGGGCTCTTCCATCGTCATACATATAAAATGAAAATATTTATAATACTTCTCTCCAAACTGGGTGCAAATAATAATGTCAATCATTAGCACGTGATTACGGAGAACGGCACTATTGTTAGAGATACAGGAGGAATTAGGCGGAATCATTTCCAGAGAGACCGGGGCCCTCCTCAATTGCGTTTAGCGAAACGATTAAACGATTCAAGATGGCGGCGCCGCGCGTTGCGTAACCCGTTGAGGCTGGTCGTGTCGAAGATCGACGACCAGAAAGAAACGAGGCGGTCGTGGTCGGTTAACTCGTAACTTTCTCGAGGGAAGGTTGCCGCCGACCGCCTTATTCGAACGCTCCGCCGGATTTTATTTATAAATAAAACGCGAGTCCCGAGCGGAGGTGACGCCACGAGGGAGCGCTAATGGCGGCGGCGCGTGGGTGGAAGACGCGCGGAATTGGGAGCGACGAAAAATTTAGATCGCGCTTCCTCGAGAGTGGATTCTGAAATTAAACCGACTTCTCTCCGGGAAACTGATCCGACCACTGACCCGAGTGTGGTCGGAAACGCTTCCCCCGAGGTGCTTGGCAAGCGGTGACATAACCTCAACCAATGTCTGGCGAGAATCGTAAACTCGGAGCGAAAAGACATTTTTTTCTTCGAAAGGCTTAATTGAAAATCTCCTGAGTTTCAAGACCTTCGTTAGGATCGAAGTTTAACCATGATTCGATGCACCCAGTTTGCAGAGAAAGTTTTAGGAATGTTTTCACATTTTATATATAGAATGATTCATAATCGCGTGCTGACGTTTCAGTTGAAAAGATCATCGGCAGGGAAAAGAGCGAGCAAATCGGAAAACTTGACAAAGTGTGCCGAACTTGCATATCCCCGGCACTAGGAGAGATCCCCAAGCGGGCCATTTCAGCCCCGCAAATAACCACGTCCTTTTTCCGTAATAAAAATTTAATAATAATCCCGATAATAGTATTTTATATCCGGCCACTAATCTCGAGTGGCGAAGCAAAAGCTCGCCGCAAGGCGTCGCTTCTCGGCGCTCGTGTCTGTCTCGAGTGGCGCCGCCACGCGGAGGCGTCTCTGAAGGGCGTGCACGCCTTCCCCGCGATAAAAATGTAATAACGACCCGGACGATATCACGATTAGTTCCCCGTCGATTATTTAAGCAAAAGCCCGCCGTCTCGGGACATAACCTCCAACTATGGCGCCCCCTCCCGTGATAAAAATTTAATAATGATCCCGGTAATAGCGCTTCGCGGTTCCACCTTCACTCTTAATTAGTTAAGCAGAAGCTCGCAGGGGGACGCCGCTGTCCCGGGGATTTCCCCGGAGTCGCGGCAGTCCGAACAGTCCGAGCACCGTGGAGCCACCAGGTCGCGCAATGCAGGAATTTTAGCGTAAGGTGGGTTTGCCCTTAGACGCAGGCGCGCCTCTAATGAGGCCTCGGCGTTACGGGCTTATTGTAATTGTAGTTGCAGTAATTGTAATCCTCGCGGTAGGGGTTCGACAGGTGGGTCGCGTCGGGCACCGTACCGGAATGGTGCCGGGGTCAGGCGAGCTCGTTGCTCTCGGGGAAGTGGTCGCGCGCGTCGATGCACTCGGCTAAATCGAGAACGAGATGATGTAGATTAGGGTGCTCGAGCACCTCCTCTTCTGGGAGGGCTGGGTGGCACCGGGGGCGCTGCTGGCGCCCTCGGAACGAGCGGTGCAGGTGCAGCACCACGTCGCAGAACACGTAGCGCACCAGCAGCAGTCGCAGGAAGTCGTCCCCGAAGAACTGCAGTATACTGGTCTCTACGGAAAGATGTCGACATTAATTAAAAGTATTAATATCAATTATTCCGAGGACGCGCGAACCCTACCTAGCCTTTACCGCAAGTTTGGTACCTCGTATCTATTAATATTAACACTATCGGTCAGGGTTGATCGGCTGCCATATGTCGCCCTTTGCAGTGGACGTCACCGGAGCGAAAGGGTTAACGACGAGACCCTTTCGGATCATCGGTACATAAGACATATCGGCGTGAACCAGCTGAACTTCCCCCACGGATTGAAATGGCAACCCTTCACCCGTAACAGATGAAAAAAGGACACCACAACCCGCAGAAAGATGTTGAAAAAAAAACTAAGCAATCAAGGGATACCGATGGGTGACTAGGATGCGGCCTTGGGGTCCAGAAAGCTTCATAAGGGTTGATCCAGGTCGGGGCTCCGCGTTTCCTTGCCAGCGGGTGTCGGGGGATTCTTACCGCATCTGGATCGGATAACGAGCCGGCTGGCCTCGATGAGGAATCGTTCGACGTAGCTCTGGCAACGGTCCCAATGGTGCACGGCGAGGCTGCCGACGTCACATATAAGGCAAAAGGCGGCGAGGGGTGCGTGGAGGAAGAGGGTGAACAAGCTGCCGCCGTGGCGGAGGTCCCTCAGGGTAGGCGGCGTGTCCTGGGGCGACATCAGGACCATCAACGGCTGCCCGAAGTACCGCGGTATCTGCTGGAACACGAAGCTGTTGTTCGAGTCGACCACCACGAACAGCGGCTTCCTGGTGAAGGGATAGAGGTCCCCAGGGTAGAGGCAGTGCGGCTCCTTCCCTCCCATCGGCCTCTTCCCGTGATCCGGGTCCCTCTTGCTGCTCGTCGAAACGCCGCCCCGGTCGTAGCCCACTGTCGGAGAGGACGACTTTAGTGGGCTTGGGCATGCACACTTTTCGGGACAGGCGAGGATTGGGCTCCTTTTTGGGCACGGGCGGACATGGGACAGCTTCACCGACGGTACGATGTACTTCGCTTTGCTCTACTATTTTTACGGGGTCACCAGTGGTGGCCAAGAGTGTTCTCGCGAATTGCCAGATTTGTGGCGAGTCTCCATGCAGGAGGGAATTTATTTTTAAGCTCGTGCCAAAGTAGCACCAAAAGTGGGACGAGCGCGGATCTGCGCGGCGCTGGATGCGCGGAAAACGCGGAAGCATACGTGTGCTGGGCCCACGTGTACGAGCTGGATTTATCGCCCTGCACATTACCCTACTATTTTCGAGTTCGGACCTCCGGGGAAAGGGAGGAAATCGAGATCTTACGCGTGCACGTGTATACACCCTCGTGCGGCCAGCCAACTCCGAGAAGGGATGTGTCGGTAAATTATAATTAATGGCCGGAATTTTTCGGGCTCTTGGCAAGGCGACGATGGCGGACGTTTGCGTCCTAAAATGGTCAAATATCGAGTTATGCCGCGATTTAAGCTTTCTATTCTGAATATCTCCGCCGCGGAGACAAGAATCCCGTGATTTGACCGATTGTACAGGAGTGAATTCCGTCTAGTTCCAAATCCTCCCGGTGCAGGGGGTGGAGTCAAAAGGGTAACACTCACTCTCCTCGGGGTGCTTGACGTTGGAGAAGCATCCATCGGCCGAGAGGTAGAGGAGGAGGGCGCCATTGGCGGGCAGTTCCTTGAAGCCGCTGGCCAGGAACACCTGGACCTGGCTGTAGGTGGGCTTGTAGAGGAGGTACTTGTGAGGGTTGTCCCTCCGGGGGGCGCCGTTCTCGGCGGGATAGGGCCCGGGCCTAAAGGGCATCCTGCCCGCGGGCGAGGCGTCGTGGAGGTGGCCGGGATCGTCCCTGGGCTCCCTCTCTAGGGTCTGTAGCATCCTAAACATATCCATGGACAACTCACTGAACTTAACCTGGTCGGCGCAGTTGCCGACGATCAGGATCTCTTGAAGAGACAGGCACATGGGTGGCGTACGTTCGACAGGTGGGGAGGTCTGGGGTCCGAGTCTATGGGTCAACACAACCGGGTTGGATTCCGAGTGCAGCACCCCTACCGCGGCCTCCGCCTTGACGAACGCCTTGATTTCGTCCAGGACGAGGTTCCACTCGACCTGATCCTCCGGCTCGTACGTACTCGCGTAGTCGGCGATCTGGGCGTCCAGCTCCTGCACGAGCTCGCGCACCAGCTTCATCCGATTCAGCAAGAGGCAGACCACGATGAAGCGCGCGTAGTACCTCAGCTTCTTCACCATCAGGTCGCTTCGGTCTTCCTTGGCTGCCCTACTGTAGTACGCCCGGCCCCGGATGGCCGCGTAGAAGGAGTACGCCTCGTGGAGGTAGCTGGTCTCGCTGGTCCTTAGGTAGTAGTGGTAGTATAGCTGGCCTATCTTGCTCGCGATCTCGCCGATTTGCCACCTCTTCAGACCGTACTTCGTGTCCAGGATCATTCTGTCGAAGAGAGGTTCCTGGTTATTTCGCAACGTTCCCTCCTTAGGACGGTTATATACGAGCGGGGAGATGTTCCTGGCGCGAAACATCTCCCCGCTGATTTTAGCCCCGGTGGACTTTAAAGGATTCCAGACGCACAAAATCAGCCACATCAAATACACCAAACATCAACGGTGAACCTTGGTTCGAAATGAATCCCAGCCCCCTAGTCGTCTTTCGGTCCCAGGACGTCAGGATCCCTCATCGTCGCGTTCCCGCACCAACGTCCACATAACCGAACACCTAGAGAACCCCACATCGGGCAGAGTTCAGGGAGCGTCGAACACCCGGAGCCAACACCAGCCACACCAACAGGGTCCGAAGATCCAACCCAAAGGCAGGGATCCGCGTTTACGGGCTGAACACAACAACACCGGTGGTCCCTATCCGGGGTTTGGGGTGTGGGCAGACACTTGGAATCGGGACTCCCAGACAGGGATCAGCTCTCGGAGGATGACTCACCTGTGCTGCTGCTGGAACTTCCATAGCTTCGTGTAGATGTCGAACGTCCGCCCGAAGTACGCTTGCCACTGCTTGTGGCCGTACTGAGGTAGGTCCCTGAGTCCGTTGAACAGCTGCTTGCTCTTCTCCAGGAGGTGGCAAAACTCGACGACGACCTTCCGCTCGTGATCGTCCATGCCAGCCATCATGACCATCTTTTCCGAGGGTGTTAAGGGTAGGCGGCCGCCCCAGTCGCGGTGGCCCCGCGTGATGGCGCCCACCGACGACTCTTCGTCGTCGACCCCCTGCCCCCGGCCGCCAATCAATACGGCGCCGCTCTCCCCCGCATTGGGGGGCGCCGCGTAGCGTCGCGACGCCGAGGCCTCCGCTTCTCCACCGACTGCTATCCCAGCTGGTAAGTCTGGCCAATCGATACGTCGAACTCCTCGATACTAACATGTGGTTCTTTACCCCCTGAGCTTATCCACATGGGGTTGTTATCACCTGCCACTCTCTCTTCTCTTTTTTTATCAGCACAAGGAACTCGGATCCGCAGTTGGGGATACGTGCGCTCAGGTGGCGGTTGTTTAAACATCGGATCATTTGATCCTTAGGCACGTGAGTCAAAAATGAAACTTCACTGGCAACTTCCTTAGGACTTCCACGATCACGTGCGGAGGTTTCCATCGATCCGGTGCATCCAATTTGGAGGAAAATGTTATAAATATTTTCATGTCTTGTATGTATGTCAACCCTATCTGCATCACCTCGTCCTTTAAATCCCCATCCAGAGGATTAACCCCGAAATGACTATGGGGATGTAATTAAAATTTCGGAGCATCCCTATCAAGGCTCGATCCACCCCCTGGTTAGGTATCCCGGTTTAGTTTCGCCAGGTCGCAAGTTGTGCCACTCGGCAGCCGTCGGCGGCGAAGATTAATTAACCAGATACGGCAGCTGGTAGCGAGACCCTCTTCTGGGAGTCCGGTAGGACCTGGCCTACCCCTGTTAACGCTTAAGGCGAAGTGAAACCCCCCTCTTGGATTTTCCCATAATTTTGGGCTACGTTAGGGAGAGTCCCACTTTACTGTGGTGGGCCCCCAACAAGGCCCGATATTTCGCGGCTGGTCGTCCTTAGAACAGGAGTTGGAGGTTGTATCGACTGTCGCCTCATCTACAAGTCAATCAGGCTCGCGTGCCTGGTGCTCATGAAGCCAGCTGTAGCTGGATTGCCCGGCCACATCACCTTCTCCTAGGTATGCAAGTATAATGATGTACCGAACTGTGCGGTGCATATATGAATGCTTATGGAAATCTGGCACGCTCGTTTCCTAGAGCAGATAGAGCCGGATAAGAGATACGGAGGCACCATCGAGTTCGGTATCGGCGGGGATGTGTTGGGGCAGGCTATCTGGGGGCATTACTGGGGGATTTTAGCACCCTAGGAGGGGCTGGAGTTCCGGTCTTGGGAGGTGATGCTGGGGGATAGACGCCCCGGATCTCTCGGCAGATCTGACTAATTACCTCGGGGCTGGAAGACAACCGAAAGGAGTTACTAACTAGGCACTGATTACTGGGGATGGTCTACATCGCGCTTTAAAAAAATCCCATCTCGGATTACAAGAAATAGATCAACCTGGACTATAAAAATTGGTTGATCAGGGGATCTCGAGGTATTGCGCTTTAACCTAGGGGAGTCTTCTGCACGCGAGGGGCGGCAATGGTTATCGTCTCGTGGCTGTTGGGAGTTTGTATCGCGAGCTGGTTAAGACTTATTAGCTATCCATCGCCCTGCCCAGCTAGAAGGAACGAGCCTGGAAAGATGGAGGCGAAGATGGGGATCCCGGGCGGTCGTGTGAAAATGTTTAATGGTCAGCCTTACGCAGACCTAGGTGACTCAGCTCGACTTGCCAATGGGGTTCTAACTTCGCTCGAATTTACCGGCAGCCTAGTCGATCCGCTGCTCGACCGGTCTTGGGGATCGCGATCGGATCAGCGATCATATCGGCTCGTTAACTGATATTAATAGCAGGGCGCGGTGGGCGTATGCACCCTCCGGCCTCGGGGGCTTTTCCACCGGCTTTGTCCTAATTGTAACAAATTAAATCACGCGATGCCAATCGTTCCCTTGGGCGATCTGCCCGATATGGACTGGTGTCGGGAGGGTGCCGGGACCACCAGCAGCACGAAGGTTACTAACGTGCTGGTTCCTGGTGGAGGTCTCTATGGGGTCCATTTAGGGAAATCTTCAATTTTAATGCAGAGCGTAGTGGTTGGGGACGAAGCAATTTTTACAGCCAATATTTCCGCTTCTGTGCGTTGGTTTTCAGGGTACATATAAAAATGGAAGCGCCGCGTTCGATCCTAAACAATGGAGTTCAGCCGAAGCTGGGAATAAAACGTGTCACTTCGTAGGGAAAGAGACAAAATGGCGTCTCGGGTGAGCGTCGTTGCCGAAAACAATGGCGGTCTATTCCAGGCAACATTGATCACCGAGACTTTGCCTCGTCCAGCGAGCCGTGTCGCCTCATTATTTATTGTTGAAACGACCCAACAAACTTTTGCACAAAGGCAGCTCAACTGTACACTTTTTTTTTTCATCTGTTTTCCCTCCGGGAGAAAATGGTGGATTTTTAATATTCACCCCAGTGACAATTAACGAAGTTCAAGGCGAAAATTAGAATTCATTGTTCGGTAGCCATCCGAAGTTGGGTGATTAACTCTACCCCCGCGTTAATTCTTTATTAAGGATTTTAATTCGAACGTCGATGCAATGGATCCAAAATGGCGGCGACGAAACACTCTCGAAGGCGAAGCAACGCATTGCTGCATTGGACACCTAGGTATGAAAATTGGGTCGAAAAATCCCTATTATTTCGAGGATAAATCACCAAAGGCGAGGAGTATAATCCGAAGTACACCAAAAGGCGATTAGAACTCGAGAAGTAAATAATGGACTTCGAAGTGGGAGCGAAAGTGGGTGAGGAAGACTCGTCCCGATATTTCCTGGGCTTACTGTATCAGCGAAAGGCACGGCGTTAGCCGGTAAGGGGTGGAAAGCCTCAGGAAGCTCTAACTCACGGGCAAGGGGTACCCACCCCCCAGAAGCCTCCCCATCCCCTGCCATTAACATTAACCGAGTATATACAGGGTGTTTGCAGTGGCATTATCGATCGTTCGGGGAGGAGAGGGCAAAAAAAGGCATTTCAAGCATTTTGTAATAGTTCGCTCTCACGAAACCCGGGGGCACACGCGCGCCCTGATGGAGACGTCCGTTTGCACTTTGGCCGTGTCAATGGCGGACAAGGATCGTTCCGGTGCCGACGAGGAGGACGTCGTCCAAGCCGGGAAGGCTCCTCATTTTTGCTCCCCTAATTCCGGGATAATGTAGGAAAATTATACCCCCAAGGGGAGCAAAGAAGCGCAAGCTCGAGAGCGGGAAGTGGCGCCCCAAGCGGCACGGGAGGAAACAAACGGGCCGAAGAAATTAGAACTCGAGAGGGACTTTTTCTTACCGAGGCCTTGCGTTCCTTTTGCCGGTTCGAATCAAGTCGAGAAGGAATATATTAAATAAAGCTTTGAAGCGACGGCGTGCCTATCGAAGAGATGGAAAATAGGAGGAAGTGGACCTCTCCCGCTCGTATATCGTCGAAATAATGGGGAACCATGACTCGTAATGGAGAGTGTCACGAGTTCCAGCTACCGAATGGGAATCTTCACGCATGAAAGGAGAGGTCAGAATAAGCACCGGTCTTTTATGGGGAGCAAATGTTGAGGAAAATTCCCCGGGAGTCGCCGGTCTCATTGTCTTCGAGTCCATGCCCCTCGGGAAGTTGTCCAAAACATGTCATCGTTGCTCGACTTATCTCAAATCTATACCCACGGAATAATCATTCATTTCGGACATGCTCGATCTATTCCCTAGGGAACGATTAAGGCTAAGCGAAACCATTCGGGAGCACCCCGGTACCTACATTTCCTCCCCCAAAAGCGGCTGATATTTTCCCAAACGTTTCCATTTCATGAAAAAAAATAAAAAAATAAAATCATGCGACGCGAACACAGAGGTCCATTAATTTCCGCATCCCTGGATCTCAAAACAGGACGCAAGTACTCTTCATCTCGAATCCCACTTAGAATCCGGTACGAACGGAAGAAGGGCTCGCCTTCGTCGCGCAGACGAAGGCGCGCAAGGATCGCAGGACACGACGAAGGGAGACGCGTGTACGCGCAGGGGAGGAGAAGGAGAAGGACAGAAGGGGGGGTGTCGGGGAAGGTGGGATCGCGGGTAAACGGAGATCCTCCCTGCGGATGATCCCGCCTCTAAGGAGCCGTCGGCCGAGGGGGGGATGCGCCGGAGGGACGCCGGGCGTCCCGGCGCAGGCTCCGATACAGCCAATCGTCGGACCGCGACTGATAACGCTGCCAAATGTGCGTCCGTCGTCGCGCCCGAGTCCCGCGGGTCCAGGACGCCAACACACGCGCACCCCGTCTCGTTTACGCGTCCCGGCCTCGAGGACGCCCGCGCCGCGACGTCCTGCCGAGCCCTAAGTAGCCCTTCCGAGTCTGTCCTAACCTGTCCTAACCCGTCCTACCCTGAGGAAAAGCGGTTAGGAGGTGAAGGGACCATCGGGGATATCCACGAGATAGGGCTGGACAGGAAACGCCGGGCCCGGCATTGACGGTGAGTCCTTCCTCGATGAGGTGCCGGTAGCACCTGCTGGAGTAGCCGGAAGTGCCTAATCCTGACCGTAAAGGGTGGCTGGAAGTGCCTAGTCCTGACCACGAAGAGTGTCAGTAGTTACTTCTGGGGTAACTGGAAGTGCCTAGTCCTAACCGCAAGGGGTGGCTCAAAGTGCCTAGTCCTGACCACATGGTAGCTCCTGCTGGGGTCACCGATGTCATTGGGACTCCTACTCGGTGTGGAGGATGGAACCACTGTGGGAGGGAGGAGGGGGAGAGTGGGTGGTTTTTTGGCGACCTTGTGATCACTTGTTCACTCGAAGGGGCCTCGATGAGACGTGTGGAGGTGGATGTGAATCGAGGTGGGTTGGAGTTTTCCTTGGCTGCGAGATGAGACTTCTGATGGGGTAACTACTGACGTTAGAAATGAAAGGGGGATGTGTGGTTCCCTTGTGGGTTTTTGGGGAACCGTCCGGTGGGAGGAATGATTTCCATTTTTTTTTTTAATTTTTTTTAGAGCGAGGAGAGTTTGTTCTTTGGTCCTTACGCCAGGTAACTACTGCCGTTATAGTTAGAAGGGATTTGTGCAATCCTTTTGTTGCTCTTTGTGTTTGGTCGGAGGTAATCCATGTGGCTCTATAAAATCCACCCGAAAGAGAGCGTTTTCCTATCCCATAGTTTATTATCGCCATTATCATTGGTCATATAAGATTTATCGACTACCGGCCGAGGGAGCATTTTATGACGCCCGGGAATTGATATCCATTTTTTCCTTTCCTGTTTCTATTTAGCCATCGAATTACGGCATCAAGTGAAGACCATTCGATCTCCTATCCGATGCTATCATAGGAAACGTTTCCTTCCATTTCATATAATGAAACGTTCATGATATCGTTGAAAGTAAATTTATCTAAAAATGTGAAGAGTCGAACGCGATTAACGTAATTTCACTAAAGAGTGTCCTTATGAAAGAATTTTTCGGATTAACTGGAAATTGGGGTAAATGTGAAATTAGCCCAGACCGTAAAGAAACGAGGGCATCGGAACAGAACCTAACCGTAGGGTGTATTAACATCCCAGGAAACCGGAAAAGAGTTAAGCACCGTCGCCAAGCCACGCTTTCCGGCGATTCTCCTTTTTTCCCGCCACTTTTCGAGTGCACCACTCGAAAAGCATACATTTCCTATGTTCAGGTTTTTCCATAAGTCTCCCCTTTCTCCCTCACACCATTGACCGCATATTTAATAAACCGGGTGCATATGCAACCTTTTCCCTCCCTTCCCCTTTTGCATCCAACGTTGAAAATGAGGAGGAGTTTTCATTATTTTATTTGTTTTTCAAAGGCAGAAACTCGAAGGATGCCCGGCTACTATATTTAGATTTCCACACAATTTCCGTAGTAATTCCCTCTCCCTCGCACATATGTGCATTTAACGGAGCGAGTACACGTGCAACATTGTTCCTCCCGTTTTGCATCTAAACGCGGCATTATCTCCTTTTTCCTGGAAGCCGCTTTCGTGGGTTACGCTCAAAAAGCGTGCAATTATGATATTAAACCTAAGCCAACGTTCGTTCTGGTCCTGCGGTTCTTCTTTCGCTTCGGTTTATTACTTTTTTACGCAAACTCCGATAGCCTGCATGCACGCACGGGTAGAGACACTAAAAAAAGAAGATATCGCTTTTGCAATAAATCCCTGCCGTCGGAAATTCCAATTTTCCGCCATTTTTCTTCCGCTTCATTCGAGAAATCTTCGTCAGCGCTTTTTTCCAGCGACCACACAGTAAATAGGTATCTCTTCCTGTTTTCCCCGTATTCGTCCTTATTATTAAACTCCTTTCCCTCGGTTCTCATTCCCGCTCGTCGATTAAATCTCTCGGCGCCCTTCGTGCCTTCTCAATACAGAGATATGGAATTTTAAACATTTCGCTTCACTCGGGTTCTTTTCAAATATCCGTTCTTTTTTTATTTCCCGTAACCTCGGCCTAACCCAAAGGCCCCTCGCTTCTCCGCCGAATTTCTGACTCCTGCATCGTCATCAGCGCCATCCATCGGCACACACCCACACCCCGCGGCCTGTCCCGTGTCGCAACCCGGTCCGAGGTGTTGGCGTCTCTCTCGCGCTCATCCCCCGGCCCATGGGTCCCTCTTCGTCTGACGCACGCAGCGCGCCTATCGGCTCGACGTTCCACTTAAACGGTGTGTGTAGGTACATGCGAGGAGAGCTTAGACGAGGTAGGCAGAGGGGTTTCCGGCGAGCGTTAACAGAGTAACAGAGTGATGTAATGAGGCCCGGAAGCAGCCAATTTGCTGGCCGCGGCGGCGGCCGCAGTTGCGCGAGACAACCTGCCCGGTGTACCTTCTTCCACGTACAGGTCCCCGTCAGAGGGCCGATCCTAAGGCCCCGACAAGGCCCGTTCTAAGCCCCCTTCGAAGTCCGTCCTAACCAGTGCCGGCGGTCCCGCATAAGGCCCACCTTAAGGCCCACCTGATATATCAGGGGCAAGTGTGGAGGGTAGGGAGGCAGACAGGTGCCTCGGCTCGCCATTGGTCCCCGTTTTTGGGCACGGAAGGAAAGGTCCTTCCTTCTGGCACGCCTTTGGGGCCTTAAGATTCGACCTAGGATTGGGCCCGACATGCCCCGGACGCGCCCAGGGAGGGATCTCGCAGGATCAGGTTAGGGTGACCCCTCAGTGATCTTCCCTGATTAAAATGATACGAAAGGCGCTAAAAAATCTAATCGACGTCGAGGAATTAACATTTTTCTTCGTAACGTCATTTCGAATACTCAAGTGGTTACACTTTGTTACGCGAATTATATTTTACAAGATATATTTAATGCGTGATGTTAACTGCATTCGGTTCCGAGGAAAGCTTTAATTAATTAATTAACGTTATCGGGCGTAAGGCTGACACGAAGAGGCGCCATTTTCTCCCTCCACGAGGAAGGCGGCGTGAATTAACGCAAAATGGTGTTGGGCTCCGAATGATTCAATTAACCCGGTTTTAAATGTTGATTAGCGGGGTGCGTCGGGCTTTTCTTTTTACGGGGCTCTTTAATGGGTACCTTAAATTTCGCGACAACGCTCGCGATAAATCCTCCGACCACAAAGTGCACCGAGGATGTGCAACTGGTATGAACGCGCCCGTGATTTACGGTCGTACACAGCTCTCTACGTAAATGTAAATTTTCTTCCGACGCGTCCGGCCAGCGAGCATTTACACGCACCGCCATTAATTTCGGAGGGCATCTCGAAAAAAATCATCGCCCAAGCCCCCAAGAAGCATGAAACATCGAAAACGTGCCCAGTTTCAATGTTGAAGATCCGTTGCGGATGCAGTGGAAGATTCAGTCGATATATGTGCCCAGTTTCAATGTTGAAGATCCGTTGCGGATAGTAGTGGAAGATTTAGCCGATATGTGTGCCCAGTATCAATGTTGAAATGATGGGGTTAAAAACGTAAAAATGAACCATTTCAGGGGCGGTTTGGTGATGTACGACAGCGCTAGCTGTTCGTACGCAGGTGCGCTCGACCTAAAGGGACCCTCGGGGACGACTGCCGCTGGCGTGGCGGTCACCGCGGCAGGAGTCAAGCAGGAGAACTGGCCGTACCGGGGCCTGGCCTGCGGAAGCACCTTCCAGCAGCTCAAGCAGAGCGTCGAGAAGGCGAAGCAAGCCCTCGTGGACCGAGGGGGATACCTGGCAGGGGCATTTTCTCCCCCGCCGCGCGGCACTTCTTCGGCCATCTCGCCACCCGCCTCCATCACTGGTGAGTCCCCGTCGATATTTAAAACCTTCCATTTTTATCAACTACATTCTTCCTTACCGAAGTCTCGGCAACACCGGTCCGGCAATTTGTCGAATCTCCGGGGAGACTCGCCAAGCCTCGCGGGCGGCCCGTAACGCTTTGTTGTCGATTTCCGATCGTTTCTTCGTTTCTTCTCTTTTTCCTCTCTTCTTTTTTTAAACACCGGCCGGGGGGACATTAATTACTCGGCGACGTAAATCACGTTATCTGCGATCCATGGCGCTCGGGAACGGCGCGGCCAGGCGTGGCGGCCGGCCGCGGGGGACAGGGTTGCCAAGTGTGGCCGGCATTGCTGCCAACGCCCGGACCGAATCTCTCCAGGAATCGAACTGCTTCTGCCCGCACCAATATCCTGGGCGCAGCTCCTCCCGGGATTTATCGGCACTCTTCTAGCCTTACTTTTCGAGCTCATTCCACCGCACCTCGTCGAATCTTCCACCCTTTTCGAAGAGCTCGATCGTTCGTTAAAAAAGCTTCAGCCCCATCAAAGCCAGTACATTTGAACGGTCGACGTTGTTCTTCCAATTACCAGTTCAAGCGGTTAATTGGAAAGTGTTCTTAAGGAAGTTGACCAAGATGGCGGCCTGGTATCCCAGGCTTCGATCCATTCCTAAAGCATCGAAAGAACGGTAAACATATTATAATATGGCCGATATCCCGATGGTCGGAATTTTCGCGGGTTCTGGCCCTCGAGGATGGTGGGCAAGATGGTGGGTCGATGATGGCGGCTCGGCTACGAGATGCGGATGACGAGGGAGGAGCGGTTAGGGGTTAGCCGAGCTCGTATCCATGACGACCGACCGCCCCGCGAACTACCCTCGGGATCCCGGATGTTCCGGGGGGTCTCTTTCTGCTCCCCAAGGGGTGCCGACTATCTACCTCTATCTCCCCGAGGAAGATGTACCGCTACTTGGATTTTCACTTGGACGCGCTTCGACCAGCCAAGCTGCTCCTCATTTCGCTCGAAACCTGAAACAAAATGGCGGCTAGGTATTTCAAAAACGGAAGAGTCATCTAAGGCGAGAACGTTAAGTGGATCACCCTGTATGTAAAAGAGCATGAGCAATTAACGTCGATGTACTCCTGATCGAGTTTCATCCCTCGAGCTGTATGTTGACGTTGGTAATTGATGTTTAACGAGGAGTATAGATGTGCACGCCTGACCATGGTTTACCATGTGCATAAGTCAACCCACGTAATTATGGCTAGGGTGCCGTGAAAACCACTATGGTTCACGAGGTTCTTTAAGGTGATACGAAAGGGTCATTTCTATCTATTAAAATGTGAGAAACATATTGATATAACACGACCATCGCGTTCTTCCTTAGGGGTTGAAATTTCCAACGATTCCAATTGGAGAATTGTTCTATCAATATTTTGACTTTTTGTTTCAGGTTAATAAAACTAAAATCGAAGTGCTCGTCGATTATTTTCGACCCCGATCGCCGGCGATCGGCTCTTTTACGTTCAATGGTGCACGCGCATAGAATTACGGATTCTCGTTACGATTCATTGACTCTGGAATTAACGATTTCCGGACAATTGTCGAAATTCGCAACGCTTATCTGGCGAAATCCAAACGCATATAGGGGGCTAAATTATGTTAATACCGTGTCCTTAGGAGGGATTTACAGAGTGGTTTACAATACAAGTACAATTTGTGAGGTATTTATCACGTTATCCGATGTGCCCCATACTCTATCCCACCACCCACCAAACACCGCCCTGTAACAATACTTCATGTTATGTTAATATCATACAAGAGCAATGCTAGGAAGGTTGTAACAATGTTACCGAGCGGTAATAACTCGACGTTAAATGATATTAACGGATCCTCTGAATATTTGTTACATGCCACGTTATTCCAGGGTTATGTAACTATGAGATAGGGTGGTCGGTGGGTGGGTGTACTTCCGTTTTCGAAAATCCTCCCCGATAAGCCTATCCCCGGAGTTGTCCGGGCTTTCAATTCCGCCGTCACCAGTACAATGCTTCGTTACGAGCAGTTCTGATGCGGAGATAAATGGCGATATATCGATATAACGCGACCCCAGGAGTAAGTAACGGCGAGGGTGAGCGGACGTCGCGCGTCGCGTCGATAATTGCCGGTATCGGTTAACCCGGGGCGTCCCGGACTCCCTAGGACCCTCTAGGACCACCCTAGGACCACCCTGTGGATCTATAAAAAAAAAGGGACGAAGGGTATCAGGGTGAAAGTACGAAAAGATCTGGCCCTCCCTTTCTCGATTCGCGGAGTGCCGACTGACGACCTTCGCGCCCCTCGCGGCGCTTCCGGAACTACCGGGCGTCCCCTGTTTCGAGTCTGCATCGAAAGACGACAAAGCCTCGCGCGTCCTCCTCTGGCTTTTGTGTCGGGGCCCCTCCGGTTCCCAAATCGCCGGGTGTACCGCAATTAGGCGAGAAATCGACGTCCACTCATCTTGGATGAAACGCGGCTCGGTCGGGTGGCGTAATTGTTGCGCAAAGATACCGCCCCACCTAGGGCTCGATTCTCGAATTTATATTCGCAGAAAAAAATTATTCTCCTCCCCATAACAAGGGGGCGATTTTGGCCTGGGATGAGATCCTCCTAACCCATCGCGGCTTAACCTAACAATTCGGTCCCCAACGGCTAGTCCATCCTCTTTCCCATGGGCAGCGTAAAACCGTGACGAAATCGACTCTCCTCGCCATAACCGCTCGAAGTGGGAGGTTAAGGTTCGCGCAACAAGACCAAAGGAGATCCCGGTCGGGTGAGAGGTCCGGGAAGTCACCGAGGCGTGTCGCCACCATCCCAAGCGAGGAGAGCGATGATCGACTGCCTACGTACCCCCGCGAAAAGCGTTTATAACCTAGGGGATGCACACCCCGTGCATTAGAAGCGTAAAATTCTAAAGAATTTCCAGGCCTAACATCAAATTAACGAATTATTCCTTAACCTGTTAACCGGGGAACCCGTATTCATACGTCCCGCTCGGTTAACAGGTTAAAAACACGTACGTGGTAAAATACGTCGAAAAACCCAATTGCCTCGCCCCCTTCCCGGTCTAACCTAACCCCCAATCTCTGTCCTCGGGAGCTAAGTCCACCCGTGCACATCGCGAGCCCCGTGACTAATCACGATAGTTCCGGCCTGGAACGGCAGGGACACACGACTCCTCGGTTCCGGTTCCGGCGCGTGCTGCCGCCTGTCGATCGGGGCCCGAACTACCGCGAGGAGTCGCGAGATCGCCCCAGTGATCCGGACCCCTCCTACGCAATTATTACGCCGCGCACAAAGCCCCCGGCCGAAAGGCTACGGCCGTATCCGTATATGTATCTGTCGTGGATCTCGACCCTCTTCTCTTTCTTTTGTACCCGGTCCGTCTCGCTCCCGTTGATAGCGCCACCCCAGGGGGGGCGGCGCACCGGCAAAGCTCTCCCACACTGTCGTCGCCGATCATTATTCATCCTCGCGCGGACCGTCGAGGGTGGCGGGCGCACCGAAATAACCTCGTTATGCACGTTAACTAGAGGTCCGGCTAAAAGTCCGTGACTAGGCGGGCCGGTTAAATGCACCTCAGGTTTGTTGCGCTTTCTTTTCTTAGCATTTTCTAACCGCCTTTTCCCTTTATTGCAGACCCCGCGATTTTTCCCAAGAGAACGACGAAGCCGCGATATTGTTACCAGATAGGATAATTGTGTGTATGAAACGAGGAAATACACTCCGGGGGCTTTTTGAGGCTAACCTTTTAATTTCCCTCTTTATCTTCCGGGAGGCCGGGAGTATATGCGGTAGTCCTGTTTTTAGTTATGCCGTCGTAAAGGCTGGCGCCATTAGTGCAAACACGATGCACATATCCTTGTTTTTCTTGTAAATATTGAATAGCATCCGCGAGGAGGCATTGACATACTTCCATTGTGCCAAGATCAGCCACATTGTCACGGATAATGGCGTTATTTGCACCTCAAAGATCCCCCGCGTGCGCCTATTGTTTAACGGCCGGTACTAAATGAAAATGCCGCTCGCTTCGGAGTTGAGTTAAGAAAAAAGAAAATCCAATCACAGGGAACGAATTACACTTTTATGCGGAGGATCCTTCGCGGAACAATATCCTCCGAGGATTTCTCTCCGCTTGGCAAGAAATGCTAATTTCAAGATTTTAACCGCAAAGGCCGAAAGAAAATTAAGATACACATTTGCGTCAATGGCCTTAACGGTTATCGGTCAAGAAGAACGTGACGAGACCATCTACTGACTGTTTCCAGGATGGACGATATCTTTGTTCGGGTTTCCCCTCTGATCAATACGAGTCTGCCCTGCGGGGGATGAACTTGGATGCGCTTCGCTTCTTGGCCAAGAGATGGCGTTGCATCCCTTATTGCGACTCCCTACCCAACAGATGGCTCTTCCATTTCCTAGCCGAAATCCTTTTACACTCATAGCATCCAGTTTTAACAACGATGAGTTGGGACATTGCTCATTAATAGAAAAAATTACCGAAGGCCGGGCACCCCTAAAACCGACCGAAAACGCTAGAAAAGCCGCAGGAAGACGCGACGCAGAAATAAAAAAAAACAACCAAGTAGAGTTTTGAGCCAAGTACATTTGAGCGATGACGAATGATATTAAATCAGTTCCGATACGTTTTTCGAGTGATATCGAGGGTATCGTTCGGCAGGAATTCCGAAACTATAGAGAAGCGACGATTTTCCACCACGACGAAACGTGAATTTCATTTACGCGATGATACCTTATCAGCGTCTGCAAACGTTCAGGGCTCGTTATGACGTGACGGAAGAGGATCGTTTAGATTCCCGTCACGCCCAAAAGTGAAGTTCAGCAGGATGTATCGGTGACATCGCAAAACAGGACTTTCGACGTGTCGACCACTGGGGTTCCCGGGAATGCCCTAGGCACCCCCGGAGTCCCTAGGGTCCCTAGGGTAATCGATGATCGGTCGCGGAGGGCCGGCGAACAGCGGGGAAAGTCATTAGCCGTTTAATCGTGCGTTATCGTGTGTGCTTAATGTTCCGTCAATGAAGGAATGACTGTGGGGGGTGTGAGCGAATAGACTTCGGGAGAGATCGGCCCTTTGGAGGTTCCTCGGTTTCGTAGGCAGTATTGTCGAGATGCAGCCTCGCGTGCCCGACAGATCACTTCGACTTGCGCCCATTATTTATTTCCGGGCGGCGTGAGACCCAAGTCCGAAGTCAATTCCTCCCGATCTGACTAAGGGAGACGAGAAATTAAGGTTGTCTAAAAGAGCCAGCCTATAGATATCTTCCAGGTACCTGATTTTCTTCATTTTTAAATATGTTATAGAGGACTAAAATCTAAAGGACCCGTGTTTTTTTTTATCGTCAAAATGTAGGGAATGAAGAATTATGAAACGTGCATTTGTAATTTTTCGAAAAAATTCATTTTTACCTTTCAAAGGATATGGAGCCTTCCGATAGAACGCCTAGGTTAAACCTTCGATTCTAAGTGTCATGGCGACCATCCCTAAAAATGGAACAACGATATCTACGCAGTTTAAAAAATTTCTTCGATAATTCCTTCAGCCTCGAAAGCGTGCAACGTCCCTCTCGGAGGTTGGAGGGGAAATGGGCGCAGGAGGACGACCGGTGTTTGCGGCGTCCGCTGCCGCCCCGGCCGCCGACAAAAAGGCGAGAGAATTTCCTGAAATCCTTTCTGAGGGGCTGATTGCCATCATTATCGTGGAGTGGGCAGGAGTAGCGCAGTAACCGGGGAGGACGGGCCAGGGTAGGGTGGCCCGAGAGTCGAGGGTCGGGTAGGTAAGGAGAGCGCTGCTAGAGGCGCTGCGACCGCCGATGCGCGCGCACCCAGATTTATAAACGCGGTGACTTTAGTTACATTTTTTGTACCATTGTACCAGGATTAGAAGTCATCATCATGGGGTTTTAAATCTGGGCGCATGCAGATTTGCAGATTTTCCCTATTACGGGGGAAACGGTACTCTCTAGTC